CCGTGCCGCAGCTGCTGGCGCGCACCGGGCTCGAGACCAAGGATGTGCATAGGTGGGAGGTCAATGAGGCGTTTGCGAGCCAGGCGCTGCACTGCGTGCGCGCGCTCGGCCTCGAGGACGCGTGGGCGCAGGGGCGCGTCAACCCGGACGGCGGCGCCATCGCGCTTGGTCATCCGCTGGGTGCCACCGGCGCCCGCATGGTGGCCACGCTGCTGCATGGGCTCAGGAGGGACGGCAAGGGGGACGTGGGCGTGGCTACGCTGTGCATCGGTACGGGCATGGGCCACGCGGCGCTGTTTGTGGCGGAGTGAGTTGGGGAAGCAGGCGTGTCAGAGGGGTATGCATCGTGTGTATATGTATGGAATAAAGAGTAGTCACAAGCAAGCAAGCGAGAATCGTGGTTGTCAATTTATGGTGGAGCAAATTACGACAGCACAAGAATAGGTGCTACAATCAAAAAGTAAAAAGACTACAATCAAAAAGTCAAAGTAGATCAAGATCGAAGAACCGACTTGGCTCGCACGCGCTTGCTCCGAGTGCAGTCGCTGTGCCGGGCCACGGCGCTTCTCCTGCTCAGATCCCTGTCCCGGCTCTCGTTCTGTTCAAATGAGCAAACTTGTCCGTTTCGCGGGTCGCGTCGTACGCCGTTTCCGATAAGCCGGCCCCCTACAGTCTCCCGGCGTACTTGTTGCTTCTGAATGCTGCCTCTGGAACTGCTCGACTTTCGATAGCTGCTCATGTCAAAGGAACCTTCCTTGGCATACTGACTATCTGGCGGAAGCCAACACGATGGTTTCGGGGACGGCAGGGTGTCAAAGAGTGTGGCCAGCCTCTTACGGCATGCGTCGAGCAGAGGGCTATCTCGACCATATTTGAGTGGCTCCGGATCCTTGTCCCCCGGATCCTTGTCCGAGTTGCAAGTCTGCATTTTATAGGCAGAAAGTTGGGACAGCAGATAGTGCCGTCCCCATCGGCGGAAAGTATTCCAGTCGTGCAGAGCCGCCGAAATCTGACCACCGAGGTCTTCCCTCAGAGACTTGTTGAGCGGGTCGGAGAACTTGGAGAGACGCTCCATAAGTTTCTGAATACATTCTTTGGCCCAAGCCAATCTTTTCACAGAGAACGCATGCTCCATCTGTTTGTTGAGAGGGAACAACTGCGAAAGAACAAGGCAAAGCAAAGCTCTAGACGCGTGGTATGTGACATTTGCTTCTGACATGGTCGGCTTGGCTCTCGGATCAGCAGTGGTGGATGCATAGTTGCCCGCGCTGTTGTGGAGGACGGGCTTGTACCGGACTGTGGCCTCGACAGTGACAGTAGGCTCGGACCCTGGGTTTGTGAAAACTATGTCACGCGATTGACCGTATTGTAGATTGCCCAAAGGAATGTCAAGTTGCATCATCCTATGCCCCGACGAGCTCATGAATGACACTGCGTTTCTGCTGCGAACAGAAGTGCCCATTACCTCTTTGATGTGCGTCTCTGGGCGGTACCTGAGTTGTAGCGTGGCCTCTGTGGCATACGTACTTTGACGAAGGGCTATGGCGTGAATGAAGTTGGTGCCAAGCATTCCAGAATCGGAGATGAAGGTGTAATTGCCTAAGCCACTCTCTGCGATGGACAGGAGTAGTCCGGACTTTATAGACTCGCCGAAGCCAAGAGTGTGGAGAGTAATAGCCGGCGGAAGCATCCTCTGAATGTTGGGTATGTATCCGCCATCGGGGCACCTAAACCGTGTCAGTAGAAACGAGAGCCATTTTGAAGAGTAGTCTTACATGTGATTCGGTTCGCCGTCGGTGAGAACAAGAACGGCGGGAGCCTGACCATTTGAGTTGACACCCCTCAACTGTTCTATCCCGGTCAAAATGCCCTGCCATAGATTCGTTTTAGATTGGTGACACATTCCATTGATATTGTTTAGGGCCGTCATTTTGTTCTCTGCGGTCATATACACCAAAGGTTGTAGGAGTTGGGCGTCCTCGGCGAATGTCACGATGGAAAGGCAGTCGTGCTCGGTCATGGCCTTGACGATCATCCTCGCGGTATGCTTGACAAGGTCCAAAACCGAAATGCCATTATTCTCGGAGGAACTGTCGCCAGGCACCGGCGCTGGCCTGGACATGCTCGCGGAAACGTCGATGACGAGCACGATAAGGCAGGGGACATGATGGACGGGAATGCTCGGCTGTCTGGGTGGTTCCAGGCTCGCAATTAGCAGACTCTTTTTGGGGTCGCTGTGCAACTTTAATTTGGTGACTAAATGGCTGGTTTCGTCCTTGTCTGACAGAGTCAGGTCTTTGATCTGTTCGGTTGGGACTTGCTGTGGGAGTGTTAGCGGGCGGTCATTCGACGACGGGTGCTTCACAAACCATGATGTCGACGCAGCGAGCTGGGTATGATTCCAGAATCACAAGCGGTAGAGCTCAGGTACTGGAGGGCAAAATATCAGGACGGGGGAATGGTCGATTTATATACCAGCGAGGCCTTTGGGATTGTGTAACTGCATCAACCCGAGTGACTAGGCAGCTAGGCAGCAGCTAGTCAGTGGTCTCCAGCTGCCGATTGCCACGAAGCGCCCGTCCTACCCAAGCTATATTCTGTGACAGGCTATTTGGGGGCAGACGTGATACAGAGGTATGTGGTGTGGATTCGATCTGGCGCTCTCGCAGCAGTGACAGCATGGGCATCCTTAAGGCTGATGTGGCGCTATTCATCCAACCAGCTCCCAGGTTGTCGGAGTTGTCTATTTCCATTTATTTTCCTATATGGGGGGGTAAACGTAATGAATGGCCGCTTTCGACTTTTTCTGCATGTTGGACACGAGGCTGCCTGCCGTGGATCGCAGATGATGTATCATGTACGACGGACTAGTTGTAACTACCAGGACTCACTTCTGCCTGCAGGTGGCACAGCGGCCTGGTGATTACAGTTACGTTGTCCCTCGTGCCAGGTGCTTTCTTTGAGGCAAGGCAACCACGGCTCCAAGACCTTGTTCGGGGTTTGACAGGCCAATAACACTGCGAATTTCGACTCTGTGTGTGTGTGATGGTGAGGCAGGTCGGTCAGTAGGTGGGTAGGTAGGTCCCTACCATACCTAGGTATGTTGGTATGTAGGTGTGTATGTAGGTATGTAGGTATGTAGGTATGTAGGTATGTAGGTATGTAGGTTCCTATATAGGTTGGTAGGTATTTTTGTATTTTTGAGGTTGGACCGACCATCCCTCCTTTGTTGGTTGGCAGCCGGCAGCTGGCAGCTGGCAGCCTAGCATCCTGCCGTGATCCTGCCAGGCTGCCATGCCACACAAACAGTCCTCGACAAACAGACATATATGTACACGTAGGCATTCGATAAAATCAAAATTACGATTGTTGTTCAAGTCACCATACCATGAGGGTTTGCCAATCACCCGTCGAAACAAGACCCTCTTCCAGCCCGGCGTACAAAGCGTTTTCTGGTTGAACAACATCAGGCAGCTATTAATACCATTTACCCGAAAAAATCCGCTTCCTATCGTTACCGTCGCAGAAAATTTACGTATGCGCAAGGCTTTCTTATGACTCAGTATCGAGGCAGCTGCGTATTTATGAGACCTGACCTCTCGGGATGGTGGTCATCGACGACGCCCCAGTATCAGAACCCGACACCATGCTCAACTTGTGCGCCCAAACTCTGCCGTACCGTGTAGCCAAGAGATAATAATAAGGAAGATTATGGTGGCACTTTGGTCGCGTCGCTCAGGTGCGAGCATGGTCTCGACGCTCCCAGCTCGGGTTGCAGACGAGCTCGGGTTGCAGAGTACGAATTCTGCCCCACGAACCGAAATATCACTTTTGACAAAGTCTTCTCTTGGCTTCCTGCGCATTACTCCCAGCGAATTCGGCCTTTCTGTCCTACGATGCTCAAGGCAACCACGAACATCACATCACCTCACGCGATTCGCCACCCTCCAGCCGACCACCGAAGTCGCTGGCTGCCCTTGAGTCCTCCACACCCACTCTGAACAGCGAGCTTATGACTCTTCAGCGCCACTGCTTCAAAATGGATGCATCTTCTCGGCGCGCCTCTTGTTGATACTATCCGAAATGCCGACCCCACGGTTCTCTGGGTTGGGCGACATCGCCAGCCCTGGTTCAACGCCCAATCATGCGTCAGACTACGTCATTATCTCACGACCACAAGGAGCTGTTGTACAGCGAACGGCAGACCACTACCGTTGGGCAGAGCACAAAAGAGTCCGCCAAGGATGAATCGTTGAAGATGTGCTCTGGACGGCGAGCTAAGCATATTTCTTGTGCAGACGCCTTCCGGCTGAAGCTTCCCCGCATCTGGCCGGCGGGCACCCAAGCAAGCCCAACACCGTCCTGCAGCCGTCCATGAACTAGCCGCATAGGGTTCTAGACCAGCCGGACAAGCGTGCCAGTGGTGTGTTGGAAGATGTGGAAGATTAGAATGGCAATGTACGCAGGCTACAGCCTGTGATGCGAGCAACGCCACGTCTGCGATGAAACGGAAGATGACTTTGGTGGTACAGCGTTGTCGGCCTCCCTTTCACGAAGGTAGTTGAGTAGCAGGACCCTGCGACAACGATCGGCACGTTGATCTCGCCACCAAGAAATCGAGCTCCCCAACTTCCCCAGCTACGCCATTATGCAGCAGAGGTTCCGTGTTCCTCCAATTAAAGGGGCTCACGTCGGTGCCTGGCGGGGGTGAGGACGTGTGTGCTTGTGCTGAGGCTCTGGGGTTCGTCGCACGGCCCATGCGGGCTTGCCTCTTGCAGCGGCAGGCCAAGCAGGCCCGAATCAGCTTGTGCAAGCAGTAGGATCTTGGACGACGAGTCAAATATAACGAGCCGCGTGTTGAATCGTTGCTTTTTGGGCCAGCCGTCGCGGGGGATTGGCTAGCTTGGCCGACCAGCCATTTCAGGGTTCGTCGCAGCTAGCTAGATTGGCGTCTGTGGCCCACTGACAAGGAAGCAATGCGTCCAACCAGCAATCGTCAGAAAGCAACCTTCTCAGCCTCTAGGCTGGAGAATTGCTGGGGTTGGAGGGGTTGGAGCAGCAAGTAGCGTCATGGCTGCCACACGCTACATGGGTGCACAGAGATGGGCGGGCTCTCTTGTCGGTACGACAAAGTGCGTCATGCCAATGTTGGCTGCGTTTCTTGCCAAAAGAGGGAAAGAGGCCTGTGATTAAGTTTTGGGAGACGGAGGCGATGAGCCAACCAAAGGCCTCAGAGCGCCCACCACCCTTTTCCCTCGTTCGACTTGCACTGTATCCTTGCGGCAGTTGACGTCCCCGAACCCATTCCAATTGACAGCAGACTGGGTCAACGACGACGTTGTACAGTACAGTGGAGGAAGACGAGGAGAAAATATCGTGCGACAGGAGAGGCAAAAGTGGTGTGGTAGACGCAGGTGACGTCTCTGCCTGGTGCGGTGCTGCTTCCGGTTTGCTCCGTCTACTCATTCTATCCGCCCCTCCATGTTGCACCCCAGTCACATCAAGAGAAGTCCAGAAGTGAGGCGGCAAGGCAGGCAGGAGTAAGAACGAGTTAATACCGTGTCTGTGATGTGAGTGGTGGTGCGTGGACAAGGAGCTTGTGGCGGCGAATCACAGACTTCGGCCCCTCGCACTTTTCGGCGGCGCGCGCAGTTCCAGTTCCACTTGACCGGACCGGACTTGGGCTTGTCGCAAGTCCCAGCAGAGTCTGTCGCGCCGCAGCCCTCTTTGTCTCGTCAGAGGGCCGTCTTGAATGCTTATCTCTGTGGTGGCCTGAGAATTGGCTTTCTGCCGTGGGAGCGAGGCCCTCTGCAGCTCTTATCTCTAGAGCTATAAAAGGACGACGAGGCCCAATTCACACCTGTTTTGATCGTTTCCTCTTTCTTAGCAACTACAGCTCTCTCACTCACACACCACACACATTCAACACCACCACTATCACCACCACTACCACCACCACCACCACCCAAGATGCCTGCCTTTGAGTACTGCTGCAAGTGCGGTAGCATGATTGTCATCAGCACCACCTGCTCCAACTGCGGCCACCAGCAGTGCAGCGAATGCCCCGCCTCTTGAGAAGCGCGCGCGCGCGCAAACAGCCCGAACGTCGAACATGAACGCGAGAGGCATGGACGGATCAACAGTGGCCTGACACGAACCGGGCACATGTACGCCTATTGTGTATGAGAAAATCCATTGTCGCATTCTCTGTTGCCCACATGCTAACACAGCGGTGAAGAAGATTCTTTTTTTTCCTCGTTACGAGCGAACGACGCAAAAAGGCGCGGCGACACGACCAAATGACTTGACATTATGCTATTGGGGGCAAACAAACGGCGTTTTTTACTTTTGGATTTTCTAGCGAAAGATACCATCGACAGGCGCTTTATCAATTGAATATATTCTCTCCATTTTTGACTCTTTTTTTCTTTTCTTATTTCTTTGTTCGTCCAAGATTGAGCTCTCATTCTCTTGACTCGCTCGACCCTTGCGACAGCCCGCGGACCGATGACTGGCACATAATATACGTATCCAGGACAATATAGGCTCGTATCCCTGACTATCCCTATCCGCTCACGGAGGCACCCTGCATTGCGTGGACCCGCGGGCCGACTGTACCTCGTCTCTTATTATTTTCCCATTCAGGGACGGCTCATTGGTGGTCGCTTTGCGGGGACTCTCTTCACGTCAACGAAAAAAACTTGCCTGTCAAGAGTTGCGATTTCCCTAGCGTCGTGCATGCAAGGTTGCCAGGCTTAACTATTTTCAATGTACTCTGTAACTATACGTTGGTCCTTATCAGTGGAGATGGGGCGTCGGCGCCAATATGCTTGTCACCTCTTTGAAATTTGGGGGAAAAGCTGGCTTAACTACATACCTAGTTAGCTTCGACCCCCCTGCATGATGACGATGAGTGAAGCAGAAAAGTCGATGGCGTAGAGAAACCCACCCGCTCGCTTGCAAACGCTTCCTCTTGATGACATGGGCTTCTGGACAGAATTACCTATGACGAAAGCTCAATGCAGTATCATTGTACTTCTACTCGGTGCAAAAGTACAGAGAGATGGGCAACGCGCAATGCCGCGACAAAGCGAGCCCATGACGAAGCCTCACTGTTTCCCGACGTTTTTACTGTTGTGGATGTTAGGACCCTTTTTCATCGGTGGATTCTTTTCGATTTTTTTCGATATGTGAGATTTCTTACGGGATAAGTCCCCACTTGTTAAGATTGGACCTCTGAATTTCTTGTCATTTCTGATTTTATGATATTTATATTCCATGCATTCAAACGACTTGGGGCGACGGAGCTCCGACGGCCGAGTCTAGCCGTGAGCGTCAAATCATGAATCGCTGTCATCATCTTGTTTCCGTATCCCAATGGATACGCCTAGCTACATACCCACGGCAGGCTCCTTGTCCTTTTCCTCATAGTCCCTCACCATGATGATAGTCGACGCCGCGGCAGTGGCCTCGCGATCCCTGACGCGAAAGCCGAGTTTTTCATAAAACGGCAAGACCTTTGTATTCTCCACGCCGACGCCGAGCCACAAGCCGCCTCCGTCCTGCTGCTCCTTCATGGCAGCCACGAGCGCTTCCAGCAGTCGCCGGCCCCATCCGCGACGCTGGTACGCCGGCAGCAGGTCAATGTGCATGGTGCCGCGGTAGCCCTCGCGCAGCAGGGTCTCGCCGCTGCTGCCGTTGTCGAGCAGCAGCAGGCGGCGCGCCGAGTAGGCCAGCTGCATGAGGGCCTGCTCGCTGATGCGGCCCGTGTCGGCGTCGATCCAGGGTAAGCGGCTGTCGTCGTCGGGCGGCGGAGGCGCCAGCCTCACGTCGCCGTTGGCCCGGCCCCGGCCGTCGAGCACCTCGCGCACGTACCGCGGGTACACGGCGCAAAAGCTGGCCGTGTCGGGGCACCCGATGCAGTAGCCCACGGCGCGGCCGGTCCCGTCGTCGACGACAAAGCACGTCGACGGCGACAGCAGCGTGTATTGGTGCGTCCAGATGTAGGGCGCCAGCCGCCGGGCGGGCTCTGAGGTGCAGAGGGATCGTGGCAACGTCTCGCGGCACTGGTGTGCGGTGGGAGGTGAGCGGATATGATTATGGTTGAGGGCCGCGAAAGTTACAAGGGAACCTACAATGTGTGACATGTTGTCAAAGTCCGACTCTTGATATTGCCGTATAAACGCCATGTTGGACGATTGTGACGAGGTAGCTTTTTATGCTCCTGTACCTGCCTGGACCTGCACCTGCACGGGAAAGCTAGCAACCTGGTGCGACGTGATGACTTTGGATGATCATGTAATAGCTGCACAGAAGAATACTGGTTGCTGGCACTTTATGACAGATGACCTCCAACTTGGAGCAGCCCTTGCCCTTGCTCCTACTTTTAACCAACTTGGCACTTCTCCTCACTCACCCCCACCTTGGGCAATCGTGCTAATGAGGTTCCGGGACACCTGGAAATCTGGAAATCAGAAAACTCCTCCCACCATCTTGTTTTAGGTGTCCTTTCTTACGTGGCCTTTGCCGGGCAAATGACAGAATGGCCCATCAGATACAACGTCCTGGTGAGGGTGGTGTCGCACCGAGCCTACCGTGATCTGGGGCGCCGAACTTTGCCGGACCAGCCCACGCCCTTCAATAACTGCCAAGACCGTGAACCTTGATATCAATATCATTATCATTCCTTCTCATAAGCAACTTGGCCCTGTAAAAGTTGTGTCGTGCGCGCTCTCTCCTAATCCGCAGCCCAAAATCCCACAAAGTGCTTCCCTGTTGAGGCTAGCATCCTGATGTCGTCGCCAACTCTGCAAACTTCTCGTCCAATGCATCTTTCGGTCGTTGTATCAATCCCACAGCCCAACTCGGTAATGACTGATTGGTCGAACGGCAGGAAGCTGGTTTGCGCGACAGTCAGCATGGCGACTCCATCATCAACCCATCAGCCAAAGTCACATACGACACATTCTTTCACTAATAGCAGGCCGATTCGTTAGCATCAACGTCTCGCCATATCCTCAACATTTCCAGGCAACAAAACGAAGGGTTGCGAGTTATACTCACAAAAAATCCGAACGAACAACATTCAACGGGCAGACGTTTCCTGTACTCCGATACCGGCTGCAGAAGTTCTCGAAAATGTGGTATGTATGGTGGCAGTTATACACCATCTGGCCAAGAGTAGCCGCCCGTCAGCATTTATTCTTCACAATCTCGGCGCTTCATTTCCGCCAAGCCGAGGAACCATGGTGCCAAGTCCACGTCCAAAGAAGCATCTTCCCATGCTATGCACCCTCTCTACTCACGAACCTCTTTGTGTCTGCACATGATTGCTCGCGGGGGAGGTGCCGTCATCACCTTGCCCGGTTTCGCGCTCGGATTTGCGGGCTCGGCTGGCACTCTGACGAATGAAGATATATATGGAGGGGAGAAGAGAGATGGCCGGCCGATGGTCTTGTTCGTTCTTCTTCCGAGCTCGCAGACAGCAGCAGGCGACGAGGGGTAGAACGGGAAAGGCAAGGACCCAGGCTCGGAGAGACGCTTGTGTGGCCCGGGTAACTGCGTTCCAATCGCTATTGCAAGTTGGCAGCCGCTGCCCTTTCCATCACAAGGGCCGCCATGTTGCGTCACACGCAGCGCCAACTCAAAATCTTGACGTGAAAAATGGACGAGGTATTTCTTCTCCCGCAGTTACACCGGCCAAGCTTCGTCGCTACAAGTGCTGCCCGTGAATTGAGCCTGCAATCTTGTTTGCGTCGCACAAGTTTTGACCCTATTCCCGGTCCGTCCCAAGCTGTAATAGCTTCTCTGCACTTTGGCCACAATTCTACAGTATACGCGCACAGCATAGGCCATGTATGTATCAGGCTTGGTGTACTGTTCAATTGAACATTGTATCGAAATATCTAGACCTGCTCATCTAGTACTTTTGCACTCTGTCAAGTGCTTTGTCTTCCTCTTTTCCTCCCTGCGTCAGACGATTTCCTCTTTCCATGCTATCTTTTTGCCCTTCGAGGCCGAAGCGTTCAACCGAGGCGTGGTGAATCAAAAGACCTGCCTGATTCCCATCCGCCAGCATCAATTTTAAAGTCAAGTACATCAACGTGGTACGCCGTATGCCCACCAAATGTCGCAATGAAATGAGAATCTGAAAATGAGAAAAGAAAAGCAAAGAGACCGTACAACCAAGTTAGATAACAAGAAGGAAAAACGGACACAAGAAACAATATAAGCCGTCCGACTCGTACAGTAGCAACTTGAGTAGAAAGTGGTGAATAAGTGTTGAGTTGAAGTTAAAAAAAAAAAAGGTACTCGTCTGCAAACACTGATGCGATGGTTGATCGAGCCAATATTATGAAATTGAAAAAAAAAAAAAAAAACAAGTCCCTATGCATGTTCGTAATATTGTGTATGTTGTTTGGCATGTGCCAGGTCGCTGACGGTTATTGCATCGCGCCTAGAGTCTTCAAATCATGCCTCCTGGTAGGCTGTTGCTCGACATGTTGGCATGGGGGAGGGGAGGTCGGTGAGTGGGCGCAGGGGGGTAGTGGCGAGAACGTTCAGCGTTTTGGTCGCTCGTAGCTCTATATAGAGGCCGTCGTTGTTCATCCCCGCTCTCATCGTAGGGGCTATCGGCATTTCCGGATAGTGGCGACTCACCGCCGCGGTGATAATGACCAGTCGGGCCGTTCTTTCGACGAGGATTGATAGGCGGCAGTGGAGGCGCGCCGAGAGGAGCGTGCAGATTAGGAGTTGAAACCGTGGCCCCGGGGAGACTCGACGGATTAAATCGTGTATCAGGCAGGTATGTAGGCTCGGAGATGTCTCGCTTCCTGTTCATCGTCGAGAACTGGCTGTTGGGATGCGAAGGCATCATGGAGCGGGTATCACTCGATGTAGAGATACCACGGGGTAGCGTTCGCCTTTGTTGCCCATGGCCATCGCGGCTGCTTTCCGAGCCGCTGCGATCTCTGTCTGGAGCTGCTTGGCCCGTCCCTGGGAGTGAAGCTTGCTGGTACCGCGGTGGAGACGCGGACGAGTCCTGGGAGAATGTTCGCTGGGCTGCTGTTTGGTCGACTCGCGGGCTGGGCTTTTGGGGGGAGCCGCCATGTCGCTGCTGGATTTCCATTTCCTTCATCTTCTGAAGCTCTCTTCTGGCCTGGCGGAAAGCTTTTAAACCAGCGTGCACGTTCTCGTCCTTGGGCAGCGGTACAGGAGGTTCCTCCTGAGAGGCTTCACCGGATGTCTTTCGAATCGAAGGCGCAGGAGATTTCCCACTCTTTGATCGAGTATCACTATCCCGGTCACGGCCACGGTCAAATAGAGACGTCCGGCTTGATTTGGTGCGAAGGATGCCAAGTGCATTGCTTCTGGCACTAGCCAGCTCCTTGGCTGACTCGGGGGGCGGCATGGGTGGCGACGACTGTTCATTATCAGGTTCAGTATAGGACGTCAGTTTCTCGCGAACTCGTCGAGCCCCATCTGCCAGATGTCTGGCGAACTCATCCTGTTCCCCACGGGTTGCAGGTTTAGTATGGTTTGCAGTTGGCGTCCACGTGCCGTTATCCGTTGCAAACTCGTTGTCACTAAGTCCCCAGCTAGTATTGCGACCATGGTAGCCCTGTTGCTTGGAGTCTGGTGTTCCAGACTGTTGACGAAAACTGAAGTCCGGCGTATGGGTAGTCATGTCATATATAGAGGAAGTATTACTATCACTGCGGAGATGGTGTCGAACCATCCCACTCAGTCCAGTGTTTACTCCGGGTCCCAGAGTAGGTGAGTCCTCAGGGGGATCATCTGCCAGACGTGAGCTAAGGTCAACCTTATCATCCACGGATGAGTTATCATCAGATGCTCTGGATGATAACGAAAGCGGAGTTGGGAGGGCTGACTTCCGGAACGCGGGGTGGTCTTCGTCATTTGGGCGTTCAACACTAAGCTGAGCGCCCAACGAGGTAGCAAAGCTAGAGTAGCCGTGGGGGCCAGAAACATCTTCGCTCTCGTCAAAGAATGAGGTTGACTGGTAATCCTTCTTGGCGAAACGATCAGACTTGCTCGGAGTAGCGTCTATACGGTCGCGGAGGCTTCGCTGCATCGACGATGAGCGGGATCGGCTGGTATCGTGGGAGGATCGTCCGCCGGGCTGACTCCGGGTATCCGACGCATCCCGTCCTTTGCGCATTTGCTGCTGGCGTTGCGCAAATTTAGAGTCGTCGTATTGTTGGACAGGTCTGTTGAAGACACCCATAGCGGTTGCTTTTCCCCTATCATTGGGTTGAATGGGCAGCATTGGGTGATGGTCGTCTGCCTCGCTAATGGGCGGACTCAAAGGCGGGCTGACACCGAAGTTGGGTCTATGCTCTGTTGTAAATTTGGGTACAGGTTCGGCTGGTGGCTGAGGAGAGGTGGCAGAGATGGGTGGTGTAAAAGACCGCAGATTAGGTGCGCTTCCCTTGGTCAAAATTGTACGTCTCTCCATGACGCGATCGCCAAAGGTCGTAGTTGTTGGGGAGGGAACCGGCATAACATCCGGGGAGGCTTTATTGCGGTGAGACTTGGAGAGCGTGTCTATGCGGGAGAGAGCAGAGGATTGTTGGTTCTGTAGGTCCTGCGTCAAGCCTTGCTCGTATAGCCGCCTGGTGCGTGTGAAACTCCGCTCCACGCTGCTCGCTGATGATGGGATTGCGTTATGGCCATCCTTTGTTGACGGTACTTGCGACGCAATGGAGGTGGCTGCAGTAGAATAGCGTCCAATGGACGCAGCAGATGATGTTGTTGAGTTGGTGGCGCGCTTCTTGTTGTAGTCGAAGGCAGAGTCGAACTCCAATGTGTCATCGACCCTATCCTCAAAGGAGGTCCTTCCTCTCTCCGACTGCTTCCACTTCTGAAAAGCTGACCTGGCGACGTCCTCATCATACAGAATGCGGCCACCCATACCGCTATTTCCGGGCTTGGCGCCAGCACCAATGCGGTAGATCTTCTGGCGACCGCCGAACAGGTTGTTTCCGTCGTTTGGTCGAGCCCGATCCATGATGTTGACGGCATCATTGTCTTCATAGCCATGTGATGAATTGACACGAGTAAGTGAGGCGGCTTGCAGAGATTCAATCTCGGATATGTCATGTAAGCCAGAAGCATACCCGAAATCCATAAGCCTCGATTGGCGCTTCGGAAAGAGCACGCTATCATCGCTGGCTTTACCAAGCTTTGAATGCGGGTCGTCTTGCTCTCGTAGCATGGAAAATCGGGCCGAGAGACCAGTCATGAGAAGACTAGTTCTGAAGTCGTCGCTGGAAGGAAGGGCGGCATCGAGATTTAAATCTTGCTTCGAGTCGTTCTCGGGCAGCTTCTTTTTGCCAAAGAGTTTGAAAGGGCCAGCCGTTTCGGACTCGATAGAGGGACGAGGGGCGGACACGTCGTCCTTGGTTCGCTTCTTGGTTCGGAATCGATTCATTTTGAATAGCAACTAGTCAGGTGTCAAAGCTGTGGCCTGACTTGCTTTTGGCCAAGGCGAATGAATTGGGTAGTTGGCGTGAGGATGGTTTCGATGAATTTCGAGCAGACTACCTAGTAGCCATTGGGTTTCAGTTAGCGTGGGGATGTATTGACACAGAAGCAAAATAATTGGTGTCAAAAAAGAAAGAGAAGGCAGGATCTGTTGCAAGCACCATGTAATACGATTTCGCAGTGTGTCCAACGCCTCCCTGTCAACTTGTTGGGCCATGATGGATACTAACAGTAATAACAACTTTGTCTGTTCGACACAATCAGCGGACGATGCGCAGGGCGAGCAGAGCAGAGCGCATAGAGCACTGGCTGCAGAGTCCCTCAGAATAGTCGATCTTGTAGTTGGTGTCGTTGAACAGTTGGGGCAGGATTTTGAGCTGAGTCGTGCCTGCTCAGACGGATGGGGCGTGCGGCGTAGTGTGGTGCAGAAGCCGTTGTCAAAGTTAATGCTGCTCAGTGGATGTCGTTCTTGTCAAGATTCGCAGTCTATGCGTGCGTAGGAGGGTCGAACTGCGATTGCTATGCGTGAAGGGATCGGTGCCGGCAACTGGATCGAATTCGGTCTGTAGATCTAAAATGTGAGCAAGGTGTCATGGCATGGATAGGTTCAAGAAGAAGAGCATATCTTACCAAGGAAACGAGCCGCATAGAGCTGTGAGTACCAACAAACGCAAGGAGAAGAAGAGGAGAACAGGAAGCAAATAAAGTCGGCAGCAGCAGGTTGGGCAAGGAAGGAACCAAGATATGGGAAGGGGAGGGAAAGAATGAGTGAGCCGCAGGCGAGGTCGCGTCCGAGTGGTGCAGCAAGGGCCAGGGTAGAAATTTGGGGGAAGAGCCAGCAGCCCAGCGAGACGGTGCCTGAGCCGAGGGGGTGGGCTGTCCAGGGGGCAGACGGGCGGTTTGTGCACTGGCGATACATGAGGTGGTACGGATACATGGGCCACCTTAACAACAGTACCTACCCAAGTAAGTATTGGCTGCAGTTGTTGCACCACATGCAGGTACCGGTCGTACTACTCTGGTGCACCCTAGCTTTTCCTTGCAATACTTTGGTCCCGGGAAGAGGTACCGTACCTCTGCCAGAAATTTTAGCGGACGGTGGTGATGATAGATGGCGGCCGTGGTGGTGCTAGGGGCTTTTGGTGGTTTGGCGACGCTTGTTACCTTGGGGCTTGGGGGGGGGGCAATGGGGCAACGGGCCAGCTCAGGTACCGGCGGAGCCTAGGTGCGGAAACTGGCAGTGCCCCAGGCAATCTACGGCTAGTTCCAGGCACTGGACTCCCGGTTGTGGGGCCAGGACGACACTTCCAATTCAAAAGGTACACACCCACGCATGGAGGTGGTGTGCTACTGTCGGCGGCGGCGGTTGTGATGGTGGTGGTACAAGACAGTCCTATTGGTACGGTGCTGCAGCGACGCAATAAGAGAGAGGCAGCTACTAATATCCCGCTTGATGCTATGAACTTGCCATGGCAAGAGGATAGTGGTAACTACGGTAATCCGACCATGGTACTGGTACCAGAGGAGGTACCTACCTATGTCGGAGCACAAGTGCACGGATGAACAGCCCGAGGGGTCTCCGCCGTTTGCAGTTTGGTGCACACCCCCTGCCGCCATGTCTGTGAGCCAATACCTAACTCGTTGCGAAGAGTATCAGGAGGAAATTTTAACAAAAAATGTTATCCGTTTGCTCTCTGCCAGCTGCCATGTTTGCCGGTCCGTCCTCTCCCACGTTTGCCCGCATCGCAATAATGGCACCGGGCAGCTTCACCCGCATTGTCAATTTTCACCAGTACCGTATATGTTAGTAACTAGCCGATGTTCGTGGAGTGATGCTGTTTCCTTGCAGCGGATCGCACTACTTGGTATTAGCAGGAGAACCTCCCTCTCTCTAATTACTAGGTAGACCCCTGGGCCGGTAATTGGCTTGTACCTAAAATTCCGCCTCCCTTGGCCGCCACCCTCCCAAGTACCTGGCCGTCCACGAGACGGTTTCTTCCTCCTCCTTGGATTGTTAGACATGGCTTGACCAAAACACCAATAAAATCACAACTGCCAGCCGTTCTAACACGAAACAAGAAAAAACAACGGACGGGCCGCATCTTCAAGGATCTTGTTGACACTGGCCCATTATTCTCTGTCTCGTTTTTTTTTTCTCCGTCACGCCTCTCCCCACGTCGTCAGCCACCTCCTCCCGCCACAACACAACTCCAACAAATTACCGGATGCATGATTCACTCAAACAAGCGTGTTTGTAAGTTAGACATTACCAGTGGTTTGGAACAGTGCTTTGCGACGTATGTACGTCAATCTCAGATGCCAAGATGCTATCCATTTACATATGGGGAGGCCTTGCAGCGTGCCCAATCTGCCATCCAAAGCTCAGATCTTTCATCTTCTACGTACTCGTACTTCAACTATCAAAGCCACGGTTTCTTGAGTTGATTGTGGCTTTATTTGACACAGAGAGAGCTCAGCGAGATGCCTTGACCATTGGAACGATTCTACTCCCCTTGTCAACTCCCAAAACGCCCAGTCTCGACACCATGTAGCGCCAAGAAAGCTCCCGATGCATACATGCAGCCACTACGTTTTGCCTGGGAGACTCTCAAGTCGAGAGATGATAGTTGACTCTCGGAAAACGTCGCTTGCATCAGCTAATAATGACATGCACAGAGGTGCCGACAGAGTATGCAGCTAGCGCTTGCATTGTGCACTATTCTTTTACCACTGTCACATGATTTTTCTTATGCGATTGCTCCTTGCACCACTGGGTTTCTAAAAGGCAATACTGAGTAGTTACCTACACTGTACCTATTCGTCTTGCCTGTGCGCACGGGCATTAGTTACAGGAACGAGACAAAGCAAAATGCAGATGCAAGCCCCCTGTCAACGATACTCTGTACAGCGGCCGCCGTTCGCAGCGAGAACTAATGGGTGCTGCATGGCTGCCGCATGTGCCCCTTCATCAAGGAAAGCCACTTCAGCCTTCTTCCATGTCATAAAACACTGTGGGGGAGTCGGTGCGCCGCCAAAACAAAGTTTCTTATCATGGGACGATCAATCAGGTCCATGTATCTGTAGTTATGTACTGTATGTAGTATGGCCCCATAATCATTCTCGTGGAAAGAAGCAATTAATTTTAGGAAAAGAAGGAAAAAATAAGGGAGGCAAGAAACAAAACAAACAATATCACAGGCCGAGGTCGGTTTGTTGATTCGTCATTTTTCTGCTGACTGATTCGCGCCCGTTCGAGTGCTCATCCTCCCGGGGGATTACCTAGAAACTTTTTCTCGCGACTGAATCATTATTAGCCTTTCTTATTCGGGCGACACCTTCAGCTCGCAACAGCTGCCTTGACGATGCCGCATTATGGCCCACGACGAGCGGGCTACACAATTTCATGCGCTGTTGCGTAGCTTTTCTGCGGCGTCCACACTTGGTAGTCGAATGTCGGCGGCTTGTATTACTGTGCAGAGACATTGTAGTTATTGCGTTTTCTGCATCATGCTTCAATATTTACTAGTGATTGATTGTCTTGGCGATGCCAGCAACTCCGTCGCGTTTGACCTCATGTCATTGCACCCATTTTATTTTCCTCTTTTGTCCATGGACAAAGCCTAGTTACAATGGCGGCCAGCAAACACGTGCTTGGCCATGTTCATCGACTCCCATCAACGACATCGTCCAGTAATAAGCCGGAAACCCCAGCAATTGGGTACTTGCACATAAGGTTTGCTCTTGCAGCAGAGGCGCACCCGTCTAATATGTAACTACGTATGAAGCACCTCCAACGCGCCCGTTCTCTCAGGGGCATCTCCCGATGCCGCAGAAAAGAAAAGGTTCGCACGTCGCCCCTGAGCTTCGGCTCTCCCTGCATATTTCCCGGGCCAATCACAGCCCTGTTCCTGGCCCTAAGCTCATTCTGGACTGGGCAGCCCCCTATTGCTTCTGGTGCTACGGTTTAACTAGAGGAAAACGAGTAGGTAATTAATTAGGTAGGTGATAGTTATTAGAGTTTTCCATTAACTCGACGCGGAAATGGCTTTCGGTTCGCGTCAAAATCGAAGCAACTCTCCTCACTTTTGCTGCAGCCTTGGCCGAGGCCTGCCCGCCCGGTATGCTTTCCGTACGCTGAGGCAATACCAGGGCTGAGCCCTGGTGTAACTACAAATTCCTGCATCCCGTTGAGAAGACTGGTGATCCACTGTGGTCCGAGGCAACTAATACAATAACTCTTCGTACCAGAGCCAGTTGTCGTCAAAATGAAACGCCGCCCAGCTAAATTCGCCACTGCTCCGCACCTGGCCTTCAGCAAGTAGACTCGCTGACTGCGTTATTGAGCACAAGACGTGCATATCCAGCCTGTCCGCTTTCCCACAGCAATGTGCCGGCAGTGGATCGTTTGCCCCGAATGTCGATCATCTGGTCCTGCTAAACAAACAACTGAATCGAGCAACAGCATCACTTCATAATTCATGGAATGTGCGTTCAGGTACAAGGGCCTTCTGAGCTACTGGGGCCCCCAACAAGACCCAGTTGGAGGTCTGCAAACTTGTTTCCGACGCAAATCTGCGGGCATTCCGTCGTTGTATTTGCAATTGACACGGCGTTATACTCGGGAAGTCCTGCTGCTGAGAATGCAGAAATATCCTCTCCTATGAATCAAGGTGGCACTACTTAGTCTAGCGCAGTTTGTTTCTGGGCTGGCGTTTGCGGTCCTAGCCATGCCTCGTCATTGACGAGTTACGATGAAAGTTTTCTTTGTTGGCTGCGGATGTTCTCTGTAATTACTAGTCATATGATGGGGTCGCGTCATCCTGCAGTTCGTTGCCTGCATTCCGTACCCCTTGGCAAGCCACGTGAGAAGTTGGCAAAAACAATGGACTATGCCACGAGGTCATGTACGGAACTCATCAATGTTGACCGATTCTTTGGCTGACTCGCAAAGTCGCAGAACAGTAACTCCTTCTGGTCGCTCTAGGATATGAGAACTGACTAATCTGCGGGCTTGAGCGTGCGCGTGGTTAAGAGCATCACAGGGCTGTAGTTATTCTTCAACAGTCTTTCCTCAGCTTTGGCTAGTCTAGTCAAGCTCGGACGGAGGCCAAGAAAATCGGTAGTTCTGTCACCAGCGACCAGGCATTGATTACAGGGTTGGACCAGGTCTTTCCAGGGATATTTTCCATCCCCGGTTTGGTGCCGGTGTCTGGACCGCAGTTGCCCTCCTAGCCGGTTTCAGCCCGGAACGGTGCGACTTTGTCGTTGTGGACAGAAGAGATTACAATTGTTCGTTGGAGCCAGCAACCTGGGGCATCCCAACGTCCGAGTCGATACATCGCTTTCAAAAAAAAGGGCCCGAGGGGTGATATGAGCGCGTAAGACTGATCTGATGTCGTCGTTCAAGGCATTGCAATAAACAACTAAAAATGCGCTAGCAACTCACTCGTCCTAGCTACCCTACGAAGGTATGCAATGATAATTTCCCTGCTATTTGTTTCTTGGTGCGTCTCTATGTGGTTATAGAAGTAGTTGTATTTGCTGTTTTTCCGGAAATGACTTGAAATGACTTGAAATGGCATTGTTATTAAGCTCATAAGCAGTCGTGGACGAGGAGTTGACGCCACTTATTAATTTCAAATTCCAGTTATCAACTCGGGCTTACACCTATTCGTTGTGCTTCGTGCGCGCGTGTCCACGGGGCTACCGACTCATGCGCCTATACATGTACATATGTCTAAAATAGAAACTCGGACTAGTTGACCAAAATCTTCAAAGTTTATATCCTCAAAGATAACCTTTTGTGCCAGTGCACTGCGAACGCCCTCCCAAGCATGATGCATGGAGTTTCAGTGTCGTCGATGATACTCTGCCTCTACAATTCGATGCAACATCGAGAGCGCCGCAGTATTCATTACAAATCCTGCCGCAAGGAGAGTAAGAGTATGTCACAATTATGACCGACAACAAATATCATCGCATTGTACATGTTTCAACTGGGGAACTCGCATTGCGTATATTGAGTTTGACTATATAAACATGGGACGGCAGGCTGCGTTTTGACAGGCTTGGCATGTTTTGCGAAAGACAGAAAACCAAATTGTTTGAGAGAAATAGCGAAACTCATGCCCATAAGCTCCGCTAGTCTTGCTGGCAGGTGTATGGTTTTCATTGACCCTTGTAAACTTGCATTTTGACCAACTGGAAGAAAGCACGGGGCCGCGGCGACGCTGAGAGCGCCGAGACTCGGGGTTTGAGAAAGTAGCGGTAGAACATAGAGAACTAGCTCTATTATTGGATGAGAGGGCTTGTCGGGGGCCAAGCTGGAATCCATCGACCGCGTACATTCATGCTCTGATGTTGAAGACTTGTAGAAGGACCCCAAGGTGAATCTTGCTGTGCGTTTTCTATTGATCCTTCGTCTAGTTGCGTTCTAAAATAAATCATCTGTCTATCGTACTTATAATAGTAAAAAAGGTATAAAATGAATCATCTGTCTATCGTACTTATAATAGTAAAAAAGGTATAAAATAAATCATCTGTCTATCTCTACGCGCTGCACGCCTTTGATACTGCGTTGCGGTTGCCCATCTGGGCATTATCTGCACATTTGCCTCGATAGTCACTTCCCCGTCGACCATCAGGACCTACCGAAAGCTTCATCTTCTACACCATGAACCAGGTTTTCTGGTCGGAATGCTCTCCATCATAGACTAGCCTCGCACCTTTGTGCTCTAAATGCTTACCAATATCGTCACACCGGTACGTGGTTGTAGGGTATGCTGTTGGTTGAAACGACCATCTCTGCAACCAGCTACTCGCAGTAGCTGCACGTAGGTCCGTCAGCCGTATCTCATTCGCCATTCTTCGGGAATGGATCCCTTGGGAACAGGGCTGTGGTGCGGCTTGTGTAACTTCTGCCGGCGTCGCCAGAGGTCGGTCTGGGCATGCAACGATGCTAATGCTGATGGGTCAAAGAGGTAACAAGGGCAAAATGAGAGTCCACAGCCTGAGCACATTCTGCGATGCAAGACCTCATCCTTGCCAATTCTGTTATTCACGTAGATAGCCAACAAACCACACAAGTAGGCAAGCTAACACCAAAGCCCGCGGGTCGGAAAGGTCCTACCGAACGCTTAACTGATGGAAAGAGGAAGATGGCCTTACTATGCATGTCAGGAAACCCAACCCTATTCGGCGAAAGCCTACTCGTAGCACCTGCTGTTGAAAACTTGCTCTTTCACCGGCGGTACAGTATCGACATGCAGATGCTCGAGACATTGTCATCAAAATGAACTTCTTCGCGTGGACAACTAAAGAAACGTTGTTGAGATATGGTGGTAATAAATCTATAATACATACATGGGTGGGAGCTGCTCTTGGCTGTTATTTCTTGCCGGTTCCTCTGAAAACGACCCTCGCTCTCTCGTAACTCAGCCTTTGCGCCCCTACATTAGGTTGATGCCGACTCCCAGCTGCAGACCCTTTGTACCAACCTCACCTCTGCGCAACACCAGAGGTAAGCTGAAGTTGAGCTCAAATCGAGCAACGGGGTGTGCATAGACGAGACCGACACCAGCGGCGGCGCTCGGTGTCCCATTAAGCAAGTCGCCGACAGCGTTCAGCATACCATCTCGGACGGCCGAAGGGCTCAAGCCAGACGGCGCAGCGCTGCTGCTCTCACCGCTCTTGGACTCTCTCGCATTCTTCAAGGCAACCAGTCGGCCGCCGTTGGCAAACACTTGGAAGCGCAGGCCGGATTCTGGGCCCTTGTAGGGTAGTGGCAAGAGCATGTTGACACCGCCAGCAGCGAACAAGTCACCACCGACGGAATCCTTGCCATCGTGGGGTCCCAGGCCGCCGAGCTGGAATCCTCGCACGTCGGCGGGGCCTCCCAGCTGGAAGCGGTCGTTGATGCGGCTCGGCTGAGCTTTACCGTTCAAGTCCAATCCCAAGGGCAGAGGCCACAGCATGCCCATGCGGAAGCCTCCGCCGATGGAGATGCCGGACTTTTGTGATGACCCAGGAATCGGAATGGGGATTGCGCCGCCGAGCTCGAGCTCGCTCTTGGAAAAAGCAACGTCACCACCAAGAGGTCCCAGACCTGCAAGCTCAAACTTTGATCTAACCATGTAGCCGCTTTGGGGTAACTGTGGATTATCACGGCGCTCTCTGAAAAAGGTATGCTTGATGGCACTCTTGATGGAGTCGCCGGCGTCCTGGCGGACCGTGGCACTCGCGCCCTGCCCCAGGCCCGTCAGCTGCCGCCAGAGACCCGAGTATTCCAGCGTGTGGCTGTCCCTTTGCTCGGTGAGCCACGAGAACTGAAGCGAGCCGCCTTTGAGGACCTCCTCGTGCGATGCCCATGGCTTCTCCGAAGCGGAGGCGAGAGCTTCGAGCGAGACACGCATATCCGGGTTGCTGAGCACAGGTGCGCCAAGGTTGGCGCTGTAGGCGGAGCGCGTTCTTGTCCCAGATCGCGCGTTGAGGGTCAACATCTCAGCGCCTCCGAAAATATTGCGCCACAGCAGAGATCCATAAGCAGAACCCTCGCCGTTGCCTACGTCAGTTCCGGTCTGCAGCTTGAAGCGGGGTAGTTCCTTGAGGGACAGGGAGATGTTGACATCGGTCGGGCTTGACGAGGCATCTGTCGGATCGGATTGCTGGAGGAAAACCTGTGGGGGCTCTCGAAGTATTTCTGTTCATCATTTAGCATGCAAGTCTTGTTGAACGGGCCACCTTCCGATGCCACTCACGTAGTGCGCTCAGCTTGCCACTGACCTCCTGCAGCTTTGCTAGCACTTCTCCCACTGTAGAAGGCGAGTCGGGTTGGTCGGCCAGTAGTGGTTGAATAAATGGGTTGAGAAAGGGACGTCGAATATTGTTACCACCGAGAATATTGACTTCGTTGACAGTCATGGGCATGGCCGTTTGGTCGAGCATCTCAAGAAAGAGTCAATTCGCGCATCGCTCGTCGGAACTAATCAGACTATCTTACCAGCTGAGCAACTCGGCGCTCTCTGGCCTCGTGGTCGGCATCGCGGGACTCCGGTCGGGCCTTTGCATCTCGCAATACATCCATGCCGTCTTCGTGCAGTTTATCGAAGCCGCCGGCGGGCTGTGTATGGGCCATTAGCTCCGGGTCTTGGTGAGTGAATATTTGAGGGGGGACGTACGGAGCCGAAAGGTGTATTTCTGCTCGCCATGTTTGTAATTGGTACCTGGTGGAAGATGGACTTGGCGCATTTGACGAGTAATTCCCTACTGCTTCCACGAGGGACGGGACATGTGGTGTAGCTCAAGCTTCCTGGATGCATAGTGTGGCGTTGTCCGCGTCAGTGTGGCTGACTTGGAGGCACCAGCCACAACCCATTTGCCACGCTGACGCTTGCTCCGGCTCCGCGCCTTGGCTATCTGTCTGTTCAACTCCTCCAACCTCTTCTTCGCTCTACATCGCAGCAGGTGCGCCGAAGAACACACTGTATCTATATTTTGTTCGTATTGATATTCTACCTCGTTGCGCAGCCACTCTTTTCCGCGAGACTTTCGAATATAAGTAGCCCGCCTCCTCCGTCACGCGACTTTCCTTTTCCTCGGCGCATTTCATCCCCTCGAAGCAGCGATGGCGAGCAAGGCGGCTTCTAAGCGTGTATGTCTGGAGTTGTGCTGAATTCTCACGGTACCGTGCTAACATATCGCTGTAGTTGTCTCGCGAGTACAAGACGATATCCGAAAATCCGCCTCCATACATTACCGCACACCCATCTGAATCCAACATTCTCGAGTACGTATGACTCTACCCTGCATCTTCTGCAGAATCTGACAGAGTGTCGATTTTAGGTGGCATTATGTTATTACAGGGCCAGAGGAGACTCCATACCACGGCGGCCAGTACTGGGGCACTCTAATATTCCCGCCCAACTATCCCTTCGCTCCGCCGGCGATTCGAATGCACACGCCGTCTGGCCGATTCCAGCCTTCGACGCGACTGTGCCTGTCGATATCAGATTTCCACCCCAAGTCATTCAACCCGGCGTGGGAGGTGTCGACGATCCTCATCGGGCTCCTCTCCTTCATGACGAGCGACGAGATGACGACCGGGTCGGTGTCGACCACGGCCACCGAGAAGAAGATCCATGCGTCCCGATCGCGGTGGTGGAATTCAACGGGCGGCGGTTCGCACGCCAAGAACCCGGCCAACAAAGGCAACGTCAAAGCGGGTGACGCGGGCCTCAAGTTTCGGGCGGAATGGCCGCAGCTCGACGCCGAAAATTGGGAGTGGATGAAGAGCCACAAGGTCGATACCCTGACGGGAAACCGCGCTGGCGGAGATACTGGCGCTTCGTGTGGCCCGCAGCTAGGAATCGCTGGGTCGAGCGGTCACCAGGCGCAAGCCGTGGTGGACGCCGTGGTGCAACAAAGGGATGCCGGCCGTGGCTGGATATACCGTAATAAACTGGTCGTCGCCGGCGCCGCCATATTCGTATACGTTCTCATTGCGAGATTGTTGGGCGGCGACGGAGGACTGTTTTAGTCGTGAGGGCTCGGAAGCTGGCGACGACTTGGTAGGGCAGTGATCTACACAAGGGGTTTATACAAGCGCCAGAGAGGTAATTGCAGGAGCCTGCTTGGCATGACAGTAAGCTGTGTATGTTAGATGTACATAGGACTATTGCGACAAGCTTGTAGAAGCTGCCTAGCAACGTAGGCAATTACGCAGCACTGAGCATCAAATCAATATCAGTTCCGGAGTACACAAGACAACTCTGGGAGCCTGGCGGGCGCAGGGAAGTGACCGCCACGAAGGTTCGAGTCCCTGCGCGTTGCAGCAGGTTGCCTTGGCCAGCCACCAGCGGCTAGGTACCTATGTAGGTACCTGCGAATTAATACCAGGTACCTAAATGCACAGGCCAAGCTCGGGCGTTTTGCTTTGAACTCTGTAATCGTGGAATAGTCACAAGCGGGAAGAAGGGAGCTTCTTAGTTAGGAGCGAACGGATTGTACTAGGAATTTGTGGCTGCCCAAGCTGAGGAGTTGTTGACCTTGAAAAGCAGTGACAAGGGTGAGCTATTATTACTTGGTGCCCCATCGAATGGGATAGAAATCAAAAGTGGCCCAGGCCCGTCCGATTTGCAGGCGGGTCCACAGAGGCCAAACAGCGGCTCCGAGGAGTGGTAGGGACATTGAAAAGGCCCTATGTACGAGGATACTAACAGCAAACTCGGAGCAACTCACTTACGTCCGATAGCCTTGTTGATGATTGTTCAGAATCACTTCATGTTGAATTTCTTACCCACCTACGTACCTAGTACGTAGCACAAGGCGCGAAGACGGAGGTGGAACCTGTAGACTGCTACTATGAGCCTCTGTAGCGATACTGCTCCAAGCAAAACCGCTACAACCACTGCTTTTGTAGCACACGCCCACTAAATCTAGCCTCTGTTACAGTGGGTGTTCCGTCAAACGGCGCACTCTCACTGGCCCACTGCTAAACCAACCGCCGCCGTCGCCCGCCGCAGATTTCAAATCCCAAATCTCGCCCGCCTGTCTCTACATCCTCCTTCGTCTCTTGCACCGCAGCATCTGCGCCCCCGTTCCCATCACAGGGCCGCTTCTCCGCAAGCCCGCTCGCCCTTCTGCTCACCATGGCGCCCGCCAACGGCTCGTCCAAGCCGCGCAAGCCCGCTGGTGCTGCCGCTGGTGCTGGTTCTGCTCCTGCCGCGCCAGTTACGACGACCAGCAAGCCTGCGCAGAAGAAGCTCGTCGCGCCCGCCCTGCCGTTGCCCTACGTCAAGCGACAAGCGGCGTCGGCCGCCCCTGCTGCTGCTTCTCACGCGAACAAGGCGGAGGTTAAAACTCAGGACGCATCCGACCAGGGAAAGCAGCACAAGCTCAACGACATCAACAAGTCTCGCAAGGACGACAGCTCCAAAGTTACTGGTGCGGAGCCAGCGTTGGTCGCCAATGGAGCCGGTAAGCCATCCACTGCACTTGATCTTCTGCCAAACGCACTTCACTGCAGCTCTTGAATGCTCTCCTTCATGTTTCGCAACCTGCTCTGCTAACACCAGCTCCAGAGCTCGCGATCCCTTCGCGGGCCCCGACCAAACAAGTGCCAATCCCCAACAAGCAGCCACAGTCGCCCAACACCGAATCATCCAGCCGAGGCTCGACCGAAGCTGCCGCGACCGCGATACCAGTTAGCAACGCAGAAGCCAGCGCAAACGGTAACGCGGATGCGTCAGTAGGCCTCGCTGATCAACGAAACCATAAGCCTGGTGAGTGGCGTTGCCGTGCAGCTTCTGCCCACAGCTCGTTTGATGCTAACTCGGGTCTGGCAGCAGCCAACGCGGCGAACAACAAAGCTCTCAAGTCTCGACCCCCTCCGGCCGTCTCGCCCACTAGATACCACATGCCTCCGCCTTTCCAACCTGGCAATAGGATGCCTGCCATGCATGCCCACGAGGACGGACCCAGGGGCCCTCGACCGCCTGGCCCCAACGGCCACGCCCATATGCACCACCAAGCCCATCCGAGCAACAGCAGCTTGCATTTTGGCGGTTTCCACGAATCTCAGAGCTCTAGCCCGGCACCTCCTCACTCTGGCGGTATTGCCCCCCCTCCGGGCATGTCCTTTCCAGGTGGCCGCCAGCCGTTCGTCGGCCCAGGTGGTAACGGCTTCCCGCCAATGATGGCGTACGGCCAAGACATGATGCCGGTGACGACATTTGACAATTATGGAAGACCTTCTATGGCATATGCTCCTCCAGAGTCGTACCCGCCTTACCGCAACAATTACAATCCCTCAGCACCACACAGCTTCCACGACTCTCATTCTTCCCTGGAAGAATTCAACCAGCAGTACGGCGGTGGTCGAGTACCTATGCGCAATGGCGGCCCTGTCGTGGAAGAACAGCAGATGCAAGGAAATGCTGGTCGCATGTTTGCCCCGCCCGACTTTCATCGCATGATGCCCAATCCGAACATGCCGCCTCAGATGATTCCCCCGAGCGATGATGCCGACCACCTGGCCGCATACACTCAGCAGCAGTTTGGAAACCCAGAGCTGTCTGACTGTTCCCTTGAACTCCGCTACCTAGATGATCGGGCACCACCAGTCCGTATCGCTGGCCATAGATTTATCCTTAACCGATCAGCTGAACTGGCTTCTCTTTTGCGTCGGCAGATTGTTTCGCCAAGCCCACCCGATCGCTCTCAGCAAACCGTGTTTATTGAGACCAACAGCAAGTGGATTCGTTCGGACTCATTCTACATGGCGGCTCAGCGCCTTTATGGTTTGCCGCTCTTGCCGTATCCCGGCTCTCGCAACCACCATCCCGACTCTGGGGAACTGACGGATGCCGGCTCGAATGTCGAGCAGCTGGACTTTGCGCTCTCGTATGCCGCAGCTGGTCATCTCATTGGCTGGGTACCTGTCACTAAGCGTGGATGTGAGGTAGCCACCCAACTTATCGACTGGCAGACGATTGAGCGAGTTTTGGAGTTTGCACTGGATGGTCACCGCGACCAGGGAACACACGATACTTACCGATATGGAGAAGGCTCTAAGATTATCCTCGATGCTGTCGTCACTTTCATCGTGCACAACTTCCCACCCACCTTTGAGCTGCATACCGAAGTGATTGCTCCCGTGCAATACGCGAGACTACCTATGCATGCCCCACCCCCTAGCCGACCGTCAGCGCAGCAAAGCACGGAGGACAAGCCGGTGGTGCAGCTTGGCAAGGGACGACGCTCGCAGAAGCTCAGCAACATCCAGTTTGGCGATTTGACTGTTAGTGAAAGCAACCCTACCTCGGCGACGGAAACACCGAAAGCGTCCCGCCCTGCGCAACCAGTCTCGCATGCCGTGTTGTCTCGGATTTTGCTCAACATTCCGTTTACGCAGCTCAAGATGATTCTGGAATCCGCCGGGTCGGGAAATGTTAATGGTTGGGCCAACGCCGAGTCGCGATACCGCATTGTAAAGGCTGCAGTGGACGAGCGCGAGGCCCGCCGCGTCAGAGCAGTAGACGCCGTCGCTGACGGCCGTGTTTTGGACGCCGAGGAGCTGCGTGCCAGCCTGAGAGCACCCGAGCCTCGTCATATGCCGCAATGGGGCGCGCTGGGCTGGCACGAGGAGATGCTGCCCTACGGCAACCCAGATGGTCCTTCTCTGGGACGGAAGTGGGCTCCCCTGTCAGCACCGCAAGGCGGGCCTGTTGCTGACTATCCTTGATGTGCATTGGAAAGACTATCAAGTATGGATGGATGGATATAGGAGCATGATGATGGATACGTGCTGCAAAAGAAAACAAAACAGTACCACGGGAATTGCATTTGCGCCTGGTTTCCTGGGAAAGGAAGAAAGGACAAAAGTTCAGCATGATTTTGGTAGCAATTGGGTTTGATTTGATTATTGCATTTGCGATTGGCTTTGTCAATTTATGGACAAGAGTTTGACAGTAAGAGAGAAGGCAAGGCGTTGTTATCTGGCTACCCGCGCTGATCAGCATCATGGAGTGATGATCGAGTTGGTTGCTTACTTATAAGTGATGGCGGGGGATAGAAAACGACGGCTTTTGCAGCGTGGTCTGTGACGAGACTTGGCTGGCTAATGTCTTTGACTCTTGGCCAGGTTGCGGAAACGTACAAGAGCTGAAAGAGGCCGTCTGCTGTGAGCATGGCGCCTGGGGATGGTAGCTGGGTAAAGGGCAGGGTAGTATTGGGGGGATTTTATCATGATGAGAGCCCGCATTGGTTCTGCTGAGAAACCATTCTTTTTATTCTAGTCTTTTTGTGTGATTTTGTCTTTTTTTTATGCGAAATGGAGCAATTAGGCAAGGAAGGATATCAACTTGGAGATGAACGCTGGCTTGCATTTAACTACGGCGATGAACTAGTTACTTAGGGTCGGCAAAGGTTGGCATGCCAGATGGCCCTAGGATAAGTGTATGTATGAATTGATTTGCCAGTAAACATTGACGCGGAACTTGTTGCCATTTTGACTGGTGCCTCCCATTGGCTCGGAGGGCGTCTGTAATGGCGTGGATAAGCTGGATGAATTGTCTCAAGACAATAGATACATGGTTCCGTCACAACGTGGCTACCGACGAGCGGGTATCTACTGTCCACCCACCCACCCCCACCCCCGGACGTGTCATGCCAGACGTGGAATAGCGCCACTGCCACTGCCACTGCCACTGCCACTGCCACTGCCACTGCTCCTGAAGCCGAGGCTTCGCTTGTGATTCAACATTCCAATCCCGCCTTGGGGGGCCCTCCCTCTGTTTTTCCCCTCGACATCAGCGCGACGATATCGCCAGCTCTAATCCTCCCCCATCGCGAAACAGCCCTGGCGTCATTACGCGTCCGTTTCTTTTCCTTGTTTCTTTCTTGTGCTAGACGGAAAGACCATTGGCCGACCCGAAAGAGCCTTTTAGAGGAACAGCTCGTGTGCTGCAGGCGCCATCCACCACCCCCGTTCCCGTGCCTCGGGATAAACGGCCTATGTAGTTCGCATCAGCATTACATTCAGCCATCACGCTCGCACGCACACCCCACGACGAGAGGAAAATCGAATTCTGCTACTCTCACCCCTGTTCGCCGATGACTGCACGAATTTGAACAAGGAAAAAGACAAAACCGCAGCAATCATGTCTTCGCTGCCGGATGGAGCGGGCCGCCCGCGTCGAGTCTCATCTGCCGCAGCGACCGTTGACCCCGTGATGCGCAATGCCCTGCGCTATACTGTCTCACCGCGCGAGTACGCCGCGCTGCACAAATACATCATCGCGCGATCCAAGACGTTGCGCCGCAAAGCGCCAACGCCCGCTGCCGTTGAGAAGAGCCTGGCGCCGACGCCCGCCAGCGCTGCGAGCGACTACAATGCCAAGGCCGTGCGACATGCCCTGCGCGTCTTTGCGGCGTCCTGGCTCGGCATGAAGGGATACGAGTTTGTCACCAACAAGATATCCAAAGACGGGTGAGTGCGCCGCTTCGTCTGGAGCCGAGTTGGTCTGCCCGAGGGGAGGGAAGCTAACCACGTTGAACGATAAGCAGCGCGCCTACGCAAAAACAGCCATTTTACAAGTCGCCCGCCCTGCGGCTCTCTCTCTCGCTATCGAGCATCCTCTTTCTCTACCGGTTGCTCTTTCGCTTCCTCACGCGCCTCCGTGCTCACCTCTTGGAGCCCGCCGTCGAACCGTTTCGCCGGCGCAACCCGCGCACCGCTGCCGCGCTCACGTCGCCATACGCGCCCGCCGTCGGCGCCTCCTTTGCCGGCCTGGCCCTCGGCATCTACCCCTCGCCCCCCGTGCGCGCCGGCGTCGCCCTCTGGCTTCTTTTCAAGGCGCTCGAGTACGGCTGGGACCTGGCCGAAGGCGAAGGCCTCATCTGGGGCACCAAGCAAGGGCGCAAGCGCGAGCGGCCCTGGTGGTTCGGCAGCTGGCTGCTCCAGCCGCTTGCCTTTGGTCAGCTGCTCCACGCCGCCGTCTTTGACAAGGACTGCTTCCCCGAGAGCTACGGCAAGTTCATCTGGGGCAACTCGCCCGTATACCTGCACGGCCGCCCCGAGGGCTACCCGACGAGCCTCAAGTGGCCGAGCAAGGACGATGTGGTTACGAGCCTGTCTGAGATGGCACGACTAAACTGGCCGTACGTTGCTTGTCGACTGTGCGCGGTGTGAATTTGCTAATATGGTGTAAATAGGGCCTTCATCTCGCCCACCATGTTCCCCAACAAGAAGAACATCCTCCCTCCCACAGTCACGGCCGTGTCGCCCCTGACCTCGCAAGCGCACCCTCTCATCACATCGCTCTCCTGCGCGGCCCTCCACCCGAGCGATCCGTCGTGCACGCGCACCTACCTCACATTTTGGCTGAAGTCGTTCCCGCCCGCCGCCCGCTTCTTCGTGCTCTTCTACTCGGCTATGACCGTGATCCCCGGCTTCCGCCGCTTCTATCACAGCCCCATTGCCGGCCTGCAGCACATCCTCGCGCGCTCCGCCCGCATGACGGCCTTTGTCACCGGCTCCCTATCCACCGCCTGGGCCTCGATCTGCTTCTTCCAGACCTACCTGCCGCGCCACCTGCTTGCGACGCAGCGCTTCTTCCTCGGCGGCTTCGCTGCCGGCCTCTGGGCCTGGATCGAGCGCCGGCAAGGCCGCATGGCCTTTCTCTACAGCGCCCGCGCGAGCGTCAACTCGCTCTGGAAGGTGGGCGTTAAGCGCCGCTGGTGGCGCGCCATGAAGGGCGGCGACCTCTGGGTCTTTGTCCTCGCCCTCATGATTACCGGCGTCGTCTACGAGCGCGACGCCAAGGCCATTCAGCAAAACTCGTTCCGCAAGGGCGTCAGCTGGGTCCGCGGCGAGGGCTGGCGAGACTGGGCCATGGAGGAGGACGACGAAGAGGAGACCAAGGAGAAGGAGGAGTAAAGTCTTGCGTCGAGGAAGACGAGTGCAAAGCCTGATTGGCTAATTTGAATATACTTTGTACATGTTATAGGAGATTTCTTGAGTGAATGCCATCCGTGATGCAATCCGTGATGCCCGTCTCAAAGAAATGATTCATGAACAAGTTATGTATTTCAGCTAATTATATACAGGCGGGGAAGATCAAGTAAACACTGCACCCAAAGTATCAAAATCACGCTACATTTCCATCCACTTCGTTGCTCAGTCATTCCAAACACACAAACACAACACGTCAAGCTCATCACGGCAACAGCTACGCCAAGTAAGGGTATGCGGCGCGCTGAAGAAGACACACTTCAAGGAGCCGGAATCTTGGAGCTGTCCCACCACGGGTAGAAGCGCTCACCCTGGGCGAGGTGGTGCAGTGTGCAGGCCTTCTTCTCGCATCCGACAGAGGCCTGACTATTGCCCCACCACTCAATCTCCTTTTCGGCCCACTGCACAGAGAAGATCATGACAATGGCGGAGATGGCAATGGCGGCGGACAGGGAGGCGGAGAGGACAAAGTTGTACTTGGACCAGAAGGCGAGGTAGCGGCTGCGGATGTAGATCCACGAGAACCAGGCGACGGGGACGGCGCCCCAGGCAAACGAGAAGCTGTACGGCGTCCAGTGCAGGGAGCCGGCGATAGCGGCTACGATGTGAATCTGGCGGAGTGCGCGGTTGTTGGGCATGGCCCTCTTGAGGCCCCAGCAGGCCAGCACGAGGAGAATGCCAATGGGGAAGCCCAGCAGGAGCCAGCGGTACTGGCCGTCCTTGCCAAAGACCTTGATGGGACCAATGGTGCCCCAGAGGACAGAGGCGGTAAAGAAGGTGTTGGGACCGGGGCAGAGGAAGCGCATAGGCGCGTTCTCCTGGCAGACGTTCTTAAGCTCGATTTGGAACTTGAGGACGCCGGTGCACACAAGAGTGGAAATGAGGGTGGCGACCAGCTGGCCGGCAAAGGTAATGCGGGGAGGAATCTTGACGTAGTGGGCAATCTTGAGATCGGTGGCAAAGGAGACTGCGTGGGCACAGGTGACATAGCCGTACGACTTGAAGAAGTTCATGGCGAGAGCGTTGCCCTCGACAATCATGCCGCCGATAAACTCGGCGAGCACGTTGAGAGTCACCTCGATGCCGGTCATGGCGGCCACAATGCCAACAGGGATGACAAAGATGAGGCATAGCAGAATACCATAGAAGACGACACCAACGGATGTGTAGGTGGGCCAGACGGAGATGCCGACAATACCAAAGACGATGGAGATGACGAGGACGCCAAAGTACCACCATTCGGACACTTCGGGGTAGGCAGCCATGAGACGGTTGTGAACATCCTGGTACTGGCCCTCGTTGGCACGGATCGTGTCGTCGGCAGCTCCGTCCACCGTGGCGGCGGTGCTGGCGGCACTGCCCTTCTTCTTCGTCCACTTCAAGCCGTGCCACAGGTTCTTGAAGCCCATGACGAGCTCATACCGGTGGTAGAGGATGACGTGCGTGACAATGGCGGCGTAGACGGCAAAGAAGAAGCCGTACACGAGGGAGTTTCCGGCCGTCATGTACGCGGCCGAGTACGCCTTGTACTTGGCCTCGTCGTACATGCCGTGGGCGTCGAGCGTGCGCGAGACATTGTACAGCTTGCCGTGGTGGTCATAGAGGCGGTTGGAGACGATGGGCAGGTAGCCCGTGTTCCAGGTGTTGGTGTACCAGACGGCGGCGATGAGGAAGCCGGTGATGAACATGCCGCCGACGGCGTTGAAGGTGGCAAAGGAGGGGATCATGAGCGGGTCCGTGGTGAAGCAGATGATGTTCCAGTCAAACGTCGGCACGGGGTTGAAGAGCCCCAGGCCATTCTTCATGCCCGTCCAGATCTCGAGGTGCAGGTTGTCGGGCGCGATCCACGTCATCCAGCTAAAGTACGAGAGCACGGAGAAGATGTAGTTGGGGAACCAAAAGTAGACAAACATGGCGGCAAAGGTGGCGAGGAAGAAGTTGTACCGCGAAATGTTCCACATCTTCTTGAACGGCCCGAGCACGCTGTGGTTCTCCTCGTTGTGCAGCGCCGAGTTGAGGGAGATGGTGACGAGCGACGACGGCCAGACGCAGTACGACGGGTAGACGAGGAACTTGCGCGTCAGGCCGGCCAGGCCGTATCCGATAAAGTTGGTGGCAAAGGCGTTGCAGAACATGTAGCCAAAGGACCGCGCATAGGCCTGGTTGAAGTACTGGGGCAGGACCTGGACCCAGACGATGTAGGCGGTGTAGGGCACGCTGCGGGAGGTGTTGGCCATGATGGCGATGAGCATATGCTCCTTCTTATTAAAGCGGCCCGGGTTGAGCGGGATCGTCAGGCCGCGGCCAAAGGGCAGGCGAATGTCGGCGCGCGGCATCCAGCGCTCCCAGGCCTTGCCGAGCGGGTAGGCCAGCAGCTGCGCGACGTTGGTGTCGAAGCGGATCGACGGGTAGCGGATGCTGAAGAGCTGGTTGACAAAGGCGAGGAAGACGGAGAAGAGGATGCCAATGGTCCAGGCCCGGATCGTGGACACGGGCAGCGTGGCGTCGTCGTGGTTGTCCACGACGGCCCGGACCTCGGCGTACGGGCTGTTGTTGGTGATGAGCGCCGCCTCGAGCTTCATCTCCTGGATCAGCCGCTCGTGCTTTTCCGAGTTGTCGGCAATGTCCTCCTTGGCTGTTTGGGGCGGGTGAGTAAACAGCTGGTATGTTGGGACCGGGGGGGGGATGGGCAACATACCGAGGAACTCCTTGATCTTCTGGAGAGTCACAAAGGGAAAGTTGGGATCACCATCGTGGATGAGAATCACGTTTCTCATCATCTAATTATCATGTCAGTCGGTGAAACGACATGATTTTGGGCCCATGTGGTGACTACCTTTTGGACCGTCTCGAGGCTCATGGAGGCTGCGACCTCTTTGGCCTCGAGAATATCATCTTCCGTGGCGTTGAGGTGGCTAGTTGCCATGTTGTCAGTCTCATGGGCTGTGCATTCAAGTCAAGCCAATAGCATACCCTTCAAATGTTTGGGTGCGTTCCAGCTCATCATCGTAGTGCTGGACGCGTAGATGCAAGGTTAGTCACACGAGGATGCTTGCTAAAAAAAAAAAAACAACAAATACTCACCACCTCGGTCATGACGTCGCGCTTCTCACCAAGAACACCGCCATTGTTCGCATCCTGCGAGGTAATCTCGCGCGGCTCATTGACAGATCGGGCCATGATGTAGCTGTTCTGTCTCCTGGCTCCCAGAATGGAAAAAAGAAGACAAGGCGAGCCCAGGTCTCGAGTGATGGGAACACGAGGGGGATGTCAAGAGGCGGGAATGGAGAGCATCATATACTAAACTTTAACATTGGCAGGGCTTGCTCGGTCGCCAACGGTCATGAGGAACAGAGCAGCGCCAAGATGGCGGGTCGCATGGGTGAAGAGGAGGCGACAATATTCCATTATTCAGTATTGCAGTGCGACAGGGGGGAATGCGTGAGCGTACAGAGTACAGCAGAGATATCGAAGTTGAGCTTCCCCAATGGGTGTAGACTGCCCAGGCTCTAGAGAGTTTGGGGCGTATGGATAACCTGGGCTGCCAAGGGATCTTCTGGGTACTTTGTACTTTGTGGCACCATGTTGCATTTGATAATTCGTCGGGGACAAGTCGAACAAGTATAGCAGGGTTGAAGAATTGGCTACCAGTATTAGTTTGAAGGTTGCGTCTGTTCATACCAACTACGGACTCTAGTCTCGTTGCCTGTCATTGACTCACTGATGAGTGTGTTTACTACATTGCCATGCGGGAGATGTGCCATGATGGAAGCGCGCAAGTACAGAGTATGGCAATTGTTATAATTGCCATCCGCGCCATCATCACCGGATCGCTCCCAAGCCTAGCAAGCCTAGGAGATCTGCAGCCTCTTGGGCACTTTTGACAAGCCCTTGACGCCGCCATACGATACTGGCTCGAGGCTTGCGCGCCAAGAGAAAAAAAGAGAGAAAAGCGAAGATCGATGGGGTCCAGCAAAAAAAGGCTATGTAGATGCGCATGAACCTTATCTTGGACCTAATTAGAGGCCCGCCGGCACATCATGAGTGGTCGCTGTCGCAGATGTAGGAACTTGTGCGAAGAGTCGTCATGGAAAGGGGGCCTTTTCTTTTCTGGCTTGCCATAACTGATGAGAACATTAAAACATTAATTATTAAAACACCCCAAAAAAAGGAAAATGCACCAGCGAGGGCCAGTGCAACGCACACCACTCACGTCAGCGGTCTAGAAGGAGGGAACCAGGCTGGGCATTGTCTTGGCTGCCTGCGCCCGTTGTTGACAAAAGGAAGCAGCTGAACAAGCCCAGCCACGAACCTTTTCACTAAAATTACCATTGACAGAGAAAAAGAGCTGAGCCCATCTCTCCTAGGCAGACACGTACCAGAAATTCGGGCTAGAAAAGGGGCGCCTGTGGCGCGCCATCTGCTGGCGCACTTTGTCGAACCCTGAAAATAGGTACGTACATACCTAATAAGTAACTAGGGCTCGGCCACTAATTCGAGCACTCAGTGGGAGCAAACCAATCAATCCTTGGCCGAATCACCAAAGCAGGCAGTCAGTCAGTAAAAGGTTATAGGGGACCGGGATTCAAAATTTGAGAGGGGTCCTTGCATAGATGCGTCTGGCCAAAGAAACAAAAACTTGCTTTTCCTGCTCCTTGGCAAAAGTTGTCAAGTGAGACAGAGTCCTGTTGTATAAGGAATTCTTCCCGGACCCCCCTCCGCCCCTAGTTCGATTGAATCTTGGCGGATGTCGGCGGGCTTGACCATTGGACCGACGAGGGACAGGAACTTTTGTATTTCTGCCCCCTGTCCTGGTCAAGGATAAGCGCAGAAATGGGCCATAATCCCTGCCCGCAACCGTCTCTCTCTACAGTCAACCGCAGACCAGCCTCACGCCTCTGGCTCAGCTCAGCAGGTCAGACTCGGGTAATCATATCCACCCCCGCGTTGCGAAATGAAGAAGCTGCGAGATTTTCCCCTTCTCGTAACAGATGCAGAGCCCGCTCTAGCTCGTTGAGCACGGGTATCTTTTGCCCACCCTTTCTCCATTCCATCCTTGGCGACATGAAGAAAGACCCCCCGACAGGTGATGGATGAAGCACTCCTAGTAATTTGCTGCTGCAGGGCGTGCCAGCTGATGTCACCGCAGCTTTCTTGTTCTGTTCTGCATCATGCCTGTCTCACCAATACACCCGAGGCTCACCGGTACTGTACCTCTCACAGCCTCCTCAGCTTGTGAGGCGAGGCGGCGACGAGGCTCTGCTTTCCAATGACAGGCCAGAAATGAACCTGTCAAAATGGCAGAATATGTTGGTCTCGGGACTCGTACCGGCCTAGAACACCCCAAAACACCGCGTTTCTGGCTTCCTGCCCCGTTTCAGTTGGCCCTTTTGAACCGACGGCAGCCCGCCACCCCCAACCGGTAGGCGGCGCCTCTTGACGCTGAAGAACCATGCGGTTCCGGTTTCCTATGCCCTACTTTTCTTTTCCCTGGCTCGTGACGTCGTTGAAGACAAAAAGTAGTTAAGCAACCAATTTTGAACTGCTGCAGGGAGCGGCTCTACCCAGCCAGGTGGCGTTGGGATTGTTTCACCGCAGCGGCTAGAACTCTCCGCCGTCTTTACTGTATCGCTCTCCAGACCACCAATCTAGCCTGGGCTTATCATCCTTCCAGAAATTGTGCGGATTCTTTTTTGGCTGTTATCTTCACCGTTGAAAGCCCCCCCCCCCCCTCCATTCTCAATAGGGAAGGAGGGAAACCGTGAGCTGGAAACGAGGCTGCTTGGCATGTGGCTGGTCGTCGTGGTTCGTGAGAAACAGGCCAGTCGTGTGCCTTGCTGTTCCAGGAAGGCTCTTTTGGTTCCATTCCTCCGGCCGGACAGCCATGGCATTCCCATGGCCAATAGAAAAACACTGGTTACCAAATTTCGGGATCTTTTGTCTCTCAGAGGCGGCAATAGTGGCCGCCATGTTGGCTTGGCCCTGTATCCATAGGTCAGGAGGCGCGCCCTGATAACATACGATTGAACGAGGGCACGCTAATTTACATGGCGAGGATTCTTCGCTATTTGTGATTGTAATTGTAATGGGACAGTGACACGGCTGGATGCCAAGTCAAAGGATTTCTGCACTGACAAGCCTTCCTTGGACCGTTTACGTACATCGTTGACACACCTGATATTCTTTGTAGGATCATATCAGAGAATACAAGGGCACACGACACTTGGTAGTCGCATGCAAATGACCCAACATTTATGGTTAGTCTGTTTCATACACGAGGGCCGGTGTCTTTGCCATGCTGCTTCAACGTGCTGGCTGGGGCTTATAAGGAGGCCTTACCTGACAGCATCACCCAATCTTCTTACCATAGCTGCAAGATGGTGCATAAAATATCCCACGTATCTGGTGTTTGTTTTTTCTGTTACTAAAGTTTCATTTGAGGTGTGGTTTATTAGTCACAGGGACGGCGTGATCTCAATTTCACCTGATCATGAGATTTACCAATAGAGAAAATTGGGGTGTTCGGCCCTGCATCTTCTTCAAAGCAGTTTCATTGAAAGCGTAATCTAGTAGTCATATCTTGTCGTACAGCGCGAGCTCAGTTATGTACAATTGAAACCTCATTTTCGTAGAGAGTAAACAGAATCAAGTCAGCGCGACCATGTTCCGAAACCGGATGATGAGCAATCCTCTGATGTTGCCCACACCACCTTCCCTCCCTTTACTCGAGCAGGTGGCTGCGAACCGGCTTGTCCTCCGGACGCTTCCAGTGCGTGAGGACGCCGCCCCAGCTCTCCTCGCTGTAGCCCTCCTGGACCTTTTTGCACGTGCGCAGGCCCCATTCCGTGACGCCGACCATGAGGCACGTCTCGAACATGAAGGCGCAGCTGCCGGTGCCGACCTTGACGGGCTTCAAGTCAGCCTCGCGGGCGCCCTCGTGGCTGTCGGCGTCGGGCCCGTGGCCGCTCATGACATTGTGCAGGCTGGCGCCGCCGGGCACGAAGCCGCCAGCGCCGCCCTTTTTGGCGTCGTAGCCCCCACAGATGAGCCCCATGAACTCGGCCATGGTGTTGCGGTGGTACCACGGCGGGCGGAACGTGTCCTCGCCGACGAGCCAGCGCGGGGGAAAGATGACAAAGTCAGCGACGGCGGTCCCGGGCGACGCCGTCGGCGCCGACAGCACCGTGAAGATGGACGGGTCCGGGTGGTCAAACGAAATGGTGCCAATGGCGCTGAACCGGCCGAGGTCGTACTTGTACGGGTAGTAGTTGCCCTGCCAGCCGACAACGTCAAACGGCGTGTGCGCCTGCGTCGTCGCAAAGAGCGTGTTGTTGAACTTGACCGTCACCGTGTACTTGCCGCCGCCCGCGGAGGCGGTCGGGCCCGCGTCGTCGTCGAAGCTGGCCACGGGCGCCTGGAAGTCGCGCGCGTTGGCCAGGCCGTTGGAGCCAATGGGGCCGAGCTCGGGCAGCTGGAAGTGGCCCTCGTAGAGCTCGAGCGCGTAGCCGCGCGCGGCGCCGTTGGGCAGGCGAACCTGGTACTTGACGCCGCGCGGGATGACGGCAATCTCCATCTGCCGCACGAGCAGCCAGCCCATCTCGGTGCGGATGTCGAGGTCGCCCTCCTGCGCGACGATGAGCAGGTCGCCGTCGGCCGAGTAGAACGCGCTGTGCTCGTCCATGCTCTTGCCGGCGGTGAAGATGTACATGCCGAGGCCGGATTTGAGCGTGGCGTCGCCTGCGCCGGCCACGAGGCGCAGGCCCGACACGAAGTCGAGGTCGTGCGCCTCGTTGTGGTCAAAGGGGTCCCAGCGCAGCTGGTTGGGGATGTAGTGCAGCTTGCTGGCGCCCTCGTCGAGCGCCGCGCCGTCGACGCCGTTGGCCGCAGCCGTCTTCTCGGCCGGCGCGTACGGCGGGTGCGCGCACGACGGCAGCACGCGGTACAGCCACGTCTGCTTGTTGAGGTGTCGAGGCGCCGTAAAGGCCGTGCCGGACAGCTTCTCGGCGTAGAGACCGTACGGCGGCTTCTGGGGGTTGTTGTGGCCGATGGGGAGCGTGCCCTCCACGGCTTCGGACCTAGAGGTGGGGTAAAGGTCAGCATCACGGAGTGGTGTTGTTGAGCAGGGCAACACGACAGTCGTCGCAATGCGGCTCGTTGTCACACGAAGAATCCTGCAGAGGGGTGGTGCGGGCAGGGCTTACTCAAAGTGGGATCCGAAGCCGTTTTGGTAGCGGTACTTTTCCTTGGTGGCGAATTGTGTGACGGGCATGGTGACAATTGGCGATTCTGGACACAAGTCTAGTAAATTGGTCAATTGCAAGTGGTGGGATAGGGAATGAAGGAAGAAGGAGAAGGAAGAGGGAGGTTTTAGGTCGCTTGAAGATGTAGCGCAAAACAGCTTTAAGATCAATGGCTATTCGCGGCGGCCTCGCCCCCTCCCGCAAAAAACAAAACGTCACCCGGCGCCTGGTTGAAGCTGTTCCCGGAGCGGGCTGCTTCGCGCCTTGGTTCCGCCGCGGGGGGTGCGGACAAGATTCCGAGGGTAGCCGCGCCTCTGCGGGACTGAGCCGGAAAGGGCGCTGTATCCAGCGCCACTGTTCCGCCCACCAGCACCACCAGCACTTGTCACGTATGGATACGTCACACTAACAAAACGTGTAGCCGCTGTCGTGGGGAAACTGTTAGTGCGGCGGCTTCCGGGTAGGACTTGGGCTGTATGTGGAATCGGAATCGCAATGTCTGGCAAGGCAATCGAAACGCGGAAGATCTGATACGACATGTGGAACATCAGGCAATAGTCTATATCACTTTGAGTAAATCCGCTACGATGCAAGAATACCATCCACACAATATGTTTATCAATCTAAGGTTCCGTCATCCGAAAAGCCAACTATACCCAACTAGAGCACCCAGGATTTGATGACATCGCCACCGAAGGAATAGAGGACCTGAATAAACAAAGGGTCCCTCTTATAAGTTCCTTAAAGCCAACATCATGTATTTCTAGTGAAACTACATCTAATATTTGAGTAATCCTGCTGTGAGGACCCTAGTTACCGTGCCTGAACAAGCCTAAGGCGGGGTGTCGCAGGGCAAGCTGTGCGGGGTTCCATCTCTCTCACAATCTTGCATTGTAATAGTTCACACCAACTCACCAGCAAACACCAAGGCTAAGGAAACTGTCCCCAAGGTAGATATAAGCCGGCATTGAAAGCGAAGGATAGTGAGATTGTGTGCAAATAAAAGTGAGCAGAGACGTAGCCTCTACACAGCAAGTAATATTGTCATTCGTGAGAAGAGTACATAATCCGCGCCGCATGCGGTCGCTGATGAGCAAAGCGCGCCAAAAGTATACCTAGGTATCTCATTGCAATAACCCAGGCGCCGCCCCGCGTGGAACCTTGCGAGGCCAAACAATACAGGTTGAAGGAACTATTGGAACAGATAACAGGGTTGGCGGAGGGGCGTTTACTCTTCCTCCTTCTTGTTCTTCTTCTTCTTGCCACCACCGCCGAAGCCGCCCGTGGCGCTGGGTTCCTTCTGGAGGTGGACAACCAAACGCGTCCATGACTCCTCCTTATCCCACTCAAAGCCGGCAAGATAGGGCTTGTCGAGCTCGTCGTCGGCCTATTGATACTCGGTCAGCTAATGGCCGCTGCCTGGGGTAACTGCTCATGCGCGACATGAAAACGTACCCGCTTCTTGTAAGACTTGTAGATGGCGTCTAGAGCATCCTTGATGGTGACACCCTTGAGGTTGCGGGCGGTGACTTCCAGGCCAAGGGGGAAGTGTAGGTCAATTTTCTTGACGGGAGGCTTCGTAAGGTGGAGCTTGAGGATGCTAGGTTCATCTACCGTCGACGAGCTCTTGTTGATTTTCCTACGGGGAGAAAATGTTAGCGATGGAACCCCGATACTCCGCCAATAGAGTGTACGGAGCTCGCCACAGCCTAATGCACGGCATGATAGGACTTGGTGGGGTTCGGCCGACCCGCCACGGTGTTATGACCACATGCGACGGAAGAGGCAGGGCGAGGTGAAAAGAACTTACCAGCCTGTTTTTTGCGTTTCAATGGCAATTTCGAGTTCAACACCGTCCTTTTCTGCGAATGGATGTTCATGTCAGCGCCAATACCTTGGTGTGGGCGAGCGAGGTAAAGCGGGGTAGTGGCGATGCGCGTAGTGTGGCATACCTAGGTCGTTGACGTTGTAGACACCGGGTGCCGCGGCAGAGCTGGCTCTTCTATGGCCTTTATCCTTGGGCGGCGACGACGAAAGGCCCTGAACGGCCGAGTCAACTTTGCTGAGAGGTTCCGTCATGTTGGTAGAGTTGTGTTGTGAAGCTGCTGAGGCGGCTAAGCTGCGACGTGTGAGCTTGTCGTGTTGAACAGCACAGGTGCACAGCAGCACAGGAGAGCTGTAGCGGTAGGTAGAACTGACCAGTTTGGAGTGAATTGGGAGCGTGGGACGTGAGTATGAGGCGTGTTGCGAACTGATGATGAAGAAGGAGAGAAGAGGAGAAAGTAGGAGAGGAGGGGGAGGGAGGGGATTGATATTTGTTCGAGGGAATGCACCTAGCGGGCGGCGGAGCTTGGGTTGCTCAAGGGCAAGCTTGGTCAGACCGGGCGGGGTAAGCAGCTGTTGACTGCAACCAATGTACGTACGCGGCGGTCCTGGTAATTTTGGGATTGGGAGAAAGCGAGGCGATGCAGCATAACTGGAACTTGGGATCGCGTGACTTGGAGGTACTTGAGCGTCACTCTGGGCAGCCAAAGTGCCACTAATTTAGGCCTAGCGCTGTCTGGCGTGTTTGCTGGTGGACTTTGGCAGGGAATCTGGGGTGCAAAATCCGGGGAAGCCTGTGCTGAGACCCACTGGTCCGATGAGCTGCTTGCAGAGGGTCGAGGACAGAGGTAGCACCAGGTGAGGCCGAGAGAAGAGATGTTGAGGAGCAAGTGCTGTCGAGAACATCAATTAAGCCGCATCTTCGCATCGCGCTGTCTTGTCTAGTGGAGGAGGGTGTGAGAGCGTCTTTTTTGTGGTGTGGTGGTGTGACGGACCGTCTGGCACTGGCAACAAACGGACTGCCAGGGAGCGACCCCTCACGACGGCTGGCGCGGATCTCCTGTTCGTGACAAGCTGTCACGCCACTTCTGCCCGCCAAACACAGGTACCTTTACTGCGTTTGGTGTGATGCTTTGGGCTTGGTATCTCCATGTACCTTCCCATCAACCCCCTCCATGTCCCCCCAACCCAGTCATAGTGCCTAGTACGACTTGCTTTTATTGGATGGTTAGTGCCAAGCCGCATGATGGTCTGGCCACGAGTTATTGCTCCTTTGAGCTGTCTATGCATTCATTACCAGGGGGTGGCAGGTGATTGACCGTGAGGGGTACCAGTTGCCAGGTTGCCAGGCATCCAACAGGGAACCCGCAAACAGCATCGGCAGCCGCCAGCCCCTGCCCCTGGTGTCGCCTGACGCCTCACACTACACCTGAAAGACGACGTCACCGGCAATTGGAATCAAGGTGGCGCTCTTTGTTTTCAATCTTGCCAATCTTGACAACTTCAACTCGATTTAGTTTCATCACTTCCTAGGATTTCCTCTCAATTGCGCAGCTAGGCTCAATCGTAGGCAAACATCCCATCAGACTCACGATGGAGGCACTACATATTGTGGGCCGCTGGCGCACCTGACCCAGTGGACCCCTCATCGACGGCGGCGAGTTCGGAGGCTCGGCTCGGAGCGATGATACGTCGTATTGAGAAATTGGAGAAGAGGACTCATCTTCCCAACAGAATACACCGGGATCCCCTCCATGGTCTCCTACAGGAATAGCTTGGATCAGTTGCCCGCATCGATAGCCCTCAGCGGCATCACGGCAATGTCTTTGTCTTTCTTTGTATCTTTCACGAGACTTCTCGTTTCATTTCTAACATTGTTGCCACTGTCCATGACTCCGTTACCGATCTAAGAAATCGCGCACGAGCGGCGACAAGAATAAGCGGCTGCCATGCAACCAGACGACGAGAGCTGGCTTGACTGCTAACGATGACGATGCCGCTAACATCATCCTTTAAACTCTTGGCCCATCCCGCTCCATGAGCGAATACGCGACCAACTTCAAACCCACGACGAAACCACAACAGCTCGAAAACGAGAGCAAGCTTCACAAAGTTGACCCTGTGCAGTGTGCATCGAATGGAGGTCAAACGGGGCTGCTTGTCTAGGGTAGCCAGGAGCGAGCATTTACGCGAACGTTCCAGGTGTGTAAGTCCTCGGGAAGCCAAATACCAAACATCATTGGGTTCCCGTATTATTATGCAAGTTGACGTAGCTGGTGAGCTCCAACGTCCCTTGGCAGCACGCCAAATCATGGTGCTTGGGGTCAGAGTAGCCTGAGGCGAATAATCATTGGTCATATCTCCAACGATTCTCGCCAAGTCAAGGCAGGGAGGATCTGTGATTCGAGGTACCTCTGTGCGCCAGCAATCTGAACCGGAAAAAAAAAACTGTAAAAAGCCGGGTTTCGACAGGAGACAAACTGCGTGTCTTAGAAGGAGCAACCAGCCGCGAAAATGCTCAAGTCCCGATCTGGACGTTTCCAAAGAGTCCCGATCCAGAAGTGTCCAATTCGGGAAGAGACGAGCGCCACCAGATCGATCGCTTTTGGACTCTGGACATTGCGAGGTTCATGGTTTTTGGTACCATCTAAGCCGTCAAAATCCCCTATTATGCCAGTTAAGCAATTCTCTGGTGATTTTTTCTTTTAAAATGAAAGCTTTTTTGCCTATTTCTACTGCTTTTTTCTAGAACTCGTAGTGGTCAAGGGCCCACCAAGCTGTTGCTTGCGTGGTGATGGCTTCAGCTTAAGAAGGCCGCTGCACCTTGACTTTCTCCTTGTTGCTTTGAGGAACGAGCTTTTTGCCCGTCGCGGCATCATTCCTACCATCTCTTGTTTTTTTAAGGAGCGAGCACCTCTACCTTATTAGAACATGTACCTTGAGAGCACCAACTTTTCCTTTTGGGCGTCCGCATTGTTCGTTGATAAGACACCAGTGCGACTCATTCCCTCTTACACGGATTGCGCCCCCTACCAGCTGTCATAATATACATACCTGACCAAAGATTTAGTGGCTTCTCGTAGTCTCCCTCCTCGCCTCGTGTAATAAGTCGAAATTCGCAGCCAAATTCTCCGTCAGCTAAAGTGTGACGTGTCGGTGTTTGGAATTGTAGCCCAAACTTGTTGGCTTATCTGGCGGATCAGCTTGTGTCGCAGAGTCCACTGGTGCCAGCAGCGCTTCTTGCAGACAACTGATAAATTCCTTGAGGTTCTGTTTCTTGGGTTTTCAATAAAAGTAAACAGTCGATGAAGATAGTTCGATGCTCGAGATAATGTAGAGTTTGACGGCGAGAAAAGCGATTGGGTCCTTGTCGGGGTGGTTTGGGCTTGACATGGTCACTGTTTCTATTTCCGCAAGAGCTGATTGACAATCAAGTATGCGTGGGCTGGCGGTTGCAATGGCGAATATAAGATTTTTTTAACGTGGCTTGAAGCTTGTCGATGTGATTGTAGAAGCTAACTATGTCGATTGACGATTTTTTCTAGTGAGCCGCGAGCACTACCACGTGCTACAGCCACCTGGCTAGATACGAATACTAATTATTACCTTGGTACTTTGAGTATGTGGGTACTTCGCTACTGAAGACTACAGCACACGGAAACGACGGAAAGGTGAAGCTGCGGTATTATTGCTCTGAAGCAACCATTTCGAGTTGCAGAATATTTTCTCCTTTTTAAAGTTGTCTCATGGCAGGCGCCCTGGCCGTTTTGCCGGGTGCGGGAGGACCCCTTGCTCCTTTGGCGGCCGCATGACTCCGTTGCATGGACGGAATAAGCAGAATCTAGGCCGATCCGTCGAGCGAAACGCGCGGCCGTCCCATCCACAGACTGGAGCGGCGCAAGCCTCGAACTAGTTACGCTGTTTGTCGCAGAGTGGCGAATCCGGGCTGGGAACGAGGGATGTACGCAAGAGGAGGAGAGCATGCATAACAAGCCAATGGCTTTTATTACGCGAGTTTGAGATAGTTATGAGAGACGTGGGATGGGAGATGAGAAATGGGCAAAGATGTACTGGCAGGTACGGAGTATTCCGTACGCCGATGTATTGTGTGGTGCCTGGCGCGGTCTCGGCGGCAGGGCGGCGGGAGGCTTCCTCCCCGATGTGAGTTGCCGCTGGTTTAGTCAGTTTAAGCACCCGAGCCTAATTGAGTAGTTGGAGGCTACTAGGTAGTTATTATGTCACGGGAAGCAACGGTTTGGCAATTTTTTTCAGTCGATGGTGTCTCTCGGTTGTTGGCGCATCTAACTAGGGAGTTGTGGGGGGGTTTGGGGCAAAATCCAAAATCCCCGGTGGGCCCAGAATCACTGCAGCGGCAATGAGAAGAGACGGAGGACAAATGCAGCAGAGAAAATAAGGAAGAACTCGGACAAGAGCAGAAAAGAAAAAGACTCAGGCAGGCTTCTCCGGGCCATGCAAATTGGATTGTATGTACAAGCTGGCGTGGCCGGGGATGATGGACGGGATGGGTCCGAGACTAACTAACGTTAGCTGGCGCACACGCGGTGGACACTGGTCCAGTGGCCAAAGAGCCAAAAGAGCCAAAGAACAAGCACTTTTGGCCCTGGTAAGCTGGGGGGGACGCGCAATGCAGGCCGACAGCGCAACGTCACCCTGCACGTACCCTCACCCTCATGTACCTGTACCCCGACCGATGCGAGGACGGATAACAAGCTGGACAAGAATTGCCATTCATTGTTTCAATTCTCTTGGCTGTCGACAATGGTTTGGAGATGAATTGAGCATCCGGTTCGTCAAGGGGTCAACTTGTTCCTCCATCTGCATCTCTTCTCCCGACATTTCAAGTCCTTCTGCACCACGGTAATCTGTACAGCCAGCTTAGGTACCTTGTGCCTTTTGTCTCCGGTACCTCTGTCAACTCCCTGTCGCTTTGCCCGTTCATCCCTCTTACGTCTTGGCTGCTGCCATTTTTCTGGCCATTTATCCATTTCTCCATTTCTCCATTGGCCTGTCCGTTTCCAGATCCTGCCCGGGGTCTGTCTCTCTAACTACCTACCTACTATTACCTGGTAGTTACCTTTTTCCAACACCCAAAAATCACCACCCTCTCTCCTTCTACAAGCCCATCCTCTGCCTTCGTTCCCCGCGGCCCCGCGTCCGTTTCTATTCTTCATTCGTTTATCTTTATTCCGCCATTCTCCCGTCTTTCGCTGGTTATAACATCGTCCCCCGAACCGCTCCACCACTCTCGCACCGCAAACTCGCTGCATGCGACCGACTGCTTGCGCAACCATCCGATCCCCACGCCGGCCGAAACATCCCCCGAGACCTCGTTCTTCTAGCCATGCGAAGATATGCCGCCGCCACATGGCTTCCCTGACATCATCAGGAGGCCGGGCACCACAGCGACTACCTCGCCTGACTTGCTCAAGCCGCCGCTGCCCACCCTCCCGACCAGCTTCTCCCAGCACGTCCGCGACACCGAGGTCCAGGTCCCGCCTCTGATTGCCGGCGCCCTCGTCTCCGCCTTTGCCAACTCCCTCGCCGATGGCCTTGATAATGCTCTCCTTACCCACTACTATCTCGAAGACCAAAAAGTAAAAATCAATCTCGATCGTGTCATCGACCGCCTCATAACCAGCTTTTGCGGCCAGATCTGGGACGAACTCTACAAATTCTACCACAGCGACGAGGCCGCCTCTCAGCCTACCAGTCAGGTCATCCTCCTCTTCGAGGGTCCCATCCGCCAGATCATCCTCATTCTCAACGGTCCCGAAACTTCGCGTTGCGTCCTCGACCGCATCGGCCCCAGCCTATCCCAGCGCCCTGTCACATGGTCCGCGAATGCCGGCGGGATTGACCTGCCTCTGGCCCTCCAGCTCGTCTGCGGCTTCTGGCATCGCGAGTTCCCAGATGTCTCTCCCGGCGGCTGTCCAGAGCAAATCGCTCGCACCTTGCACTCTCTAATAATTGACGGCCAGGCCTCGAAACGCCTCATCTCCGATATTGACCGCATCCTCCTCTCCCCCAACTATGTTCAAGTCCACATGGCCGAGTCGGCCATCTGGGACGTCATTCGCAAAAGACCCTTTCCTCCACCCCCTGACGGCTATCAGTTAGTCCAATTCAAATTCGACTGCCAGCTTTTCGGGCCTCTTGATGGAATTGGAGACCCCCAACTCGTCAATCTCGGTTCCTTGCCCGCCATTACGGGTACCGCCGGTAGCTGTGTCTACACTACCGTCGCCGAGTACATTGATAACCGGTGGCCCAAATGTGGTCGCCTGCTCCTCAAGTGCCTCGAAGAAGCAGTCACCAACGCATCCGCTTCACACCAATCGGATGATCCCTTCCCAGGCATGTCAGTATGGGACAGCACTGACGAAGACTCCGTCTTTTGTCCCGGCCTGCGCCTCATCCATCTTGAGGTGGAAGACAATTGCATTCGCGTCAGCGCCTCGGCCTGGACGCACACGCTCATTGAGATTTTTCAGCAAATGTGCTGGACCTGCGCCGCCCTCAGCTCATCCCCCTTCCCAGGCGGCTCCCTGTCCGAATGTGCCATTGCCGTGTCGGACTGGGCATACCAAGACGGCTCCGTCTACATGGACTGTAGCCTATCGCATAAACCATTACAAGAGGGCGAAAGCATGGCGTGGTTGGACCAATTTCATGGGGCGGCGATTGCATCGGGGTTTCCTCTGGCGGATTTTTCAACGCCACAAAATACATGACCAAGGCGTTTTCCTGTTTTGTTTTTCCATGTCATGATTGGGAGTTGGAATTCTGTTTTTTCTTTGTTTTATTTTTGGATCATTGCGCCAAAACACGTTTTCTTTTGTGCGCCCATTGGGGCTACATCACGGCACGGCTTCATGTCTTATATTCCTGTCTTGTTCATCACGGTTAGACGGCTGATGACGGCTGCCTCTGGGTTATCCAAGGGTCCCTGTAAATTATTATCTTAATAAATGATACCCAAAGTACATGATGGTCATACAAGATCCCGCATTGGTTTGTTCAGCTCCTTTTCGGGTGTCAGCAGCCACGACACGGCGCCCGCGGGGCGTTTGTACCGGAACCCGGCGTCGCCGAGACTGTCGACGACGAGCGTGCGCGTCGCCGGGTCCACGACGACAACAGGCCGGTTGTCGCCGTTCCCACCAGCCCGTAGGTTGACAGGCTCGAACAGCCACGACCGGCGCAGCGTGGCGTACGGATTCCAGTGCGGCGCCCAGGTAACCACCTCGGCGGCCTGCGTGGAGCGCCGCACGAGCGCGCGTACGCGCTCCGCCTCGGCGCGCGGTGCGAGGAGCGTCGTGCGAGAAACGGCGCTGCCGTCGCCGGCTGGCACCGGCTGGATCACTATCAGCAGAGGCCGTTGCGAAGGGGCCAAGGTTTCCCAATCGGCCCGGGATATGTTGGCGTAATGTCTGAGAAAATTGGTTAGTCGGGGGCTGCGCTGCGGGCTTTTCTCTCCAACAAAAAAAAAAAAAAAAAACGTAACGCAAAGCTCGGGCCCAGCTCGGCGACAAAGGCATCCACGTCTTCAGCATGGAGCACCTTGGCCAGCATGTCCCGTCGCCACAAAAACTCATCCATTTCGGCGGCAGCAGCACCCCCCTTGACGCGCTGCAACGGCGCATCGGTGGTGGTGGTGGTGGCCGCGTCCGCCTTTTGGTCTTTGTTGCTGCCGAGACATGGTCGTACCCGCAGCAGCTGTAGAAGTGATGGCATGGGCGTCGGCGCCATCGAGGTCAGCAGCCCGCAGACGCCCACGGTCAGCAGGATGATGGCTGTCAGGGCCATGCAGCGGCGGCGGCGGCAGCGGCTGCCGGCATAACATCGGAGGCGGGGCGGGTCGTCCCAGTCGGGATCCTGCAGCTCGAGATTGCCCATTTCGAACGAGGCTGTCTGATCCTTGTTCTTTTTTTTTTTGGTTTCTTTTTCTTTTTTCCTATTGCAGAACCGGCATTCGCTTATCCCGGATGAAATCCTCGGCTCGATCGAGTTTGGCCACTTGGGAATCTGTAGTGAGTGATGAACGAAGAGTTGCGGGGTGTGGAAGGAGACGTGATCGAAGAGGAAGAGAAGATGAACCTTTCAAAAATTGAATAGACTAGAACATGCACACGTTTATGCAAAGAGGGGAGGGGAAGCGAACAAGACTTATTTATCTTTGGTCTGGTCTTTTCTCGCCCTTTTGGCCAGACATGCCGGATCTGGAATGTGGGTGTCATTAAAGCCTAGCTTGGAGGGTTTGTGGGACGGCGCCGCGCAGTTAGTCCCTCTGTTTGACATGCGCCGGCGCATGAAGCTTGTCACTAATGGCTTTTGTTTGAACAGGTGCAATTTTTTTTTATTAAAAAAGGGAGGTCTATTCGCGGGAAGCCGAGACATATTCAGGCACCATCTTTGCACCTGGGTTCCAATGAGCGCGTCTCGAGGGAGGCCTACTTGAAGAATACCAGATTGCAAGGGAGGAAACAGCACGAAGAAGGGCTTCGTCATCCGAGGCCATCAACTTTTTTTGCCTTGCGAAGCGAAACATGGTCGGGGTAGTGAGTCAAGCCGGCTTGGCCCCAAAAGCCAACGTTCATGGCCCGTGACGTCGAGTAATGGCCGTCATGCACGCCATTTCGAGCCCATGGTGCAGACGGCGGTGACAGCTGAGCATTTATACCAGTGCCGAGAATGAAGAGTAAACCTCCATCATCGGTTACTACGATGAGACACGCAGTGCAGCCTCGTTACTCATTGAAGTTCTTCAAACGGGCTGTCGTTGACGACAAGGGGCAGACAGCCCCGAACGCCCTCCCGTCAAGGTGAAGCGAGCAACGATGCAGTCTGTTTTTTGCTTTGGTTCCGTTTTGAAAGAGATGAGCCAGCGAAAATGGCGACGGGAAGAGTGGAAATCGAAGTAGGAGTCAACAGTGAATGACGCACGCGGGCGTGAAGGGCGAAGCCAAAGTGAGGTGCATCTGACGTGCAACAGCAATGATGCACATCTCAACGCACAAATCCTCTCTACGATCTGGCCCAAACGTTCATATTCTCTTTTCCGTATTTGTTTCCTCAAGAACATCCGACGTTTCTTCCAACCGGCGCCTTCAGAGCAACAAGCCAGCACTCTGCACGCCCCTCATTCAATCGCAAGTCAATGGCACCGTCGCGCCGAACAACCCGGGCAACCTCCAAGAAGGCCGCCGCTTCCCGCAAAGGGACCAACCGCCTACCCTTATCCTCGTCGGAGCAGAAGCAGCGCATCGCCGCAGTCGAGGCCGTGCGCGCCGCTTCCCGCAAAGCGGCCAGCCGGATGCCCCCATCCTCGTCGCTCGCAGAGCAAGTCCGGGCGCTGGAGCGCGCCCACGCGGACCTCGTCGCCGAGTCGGCGCAGCAGCAGCAGCGCATCGCCGGGCTCGAGGCCGCACTCGCCGAGGGCAAGCGCAAGCACGCCGCGGAGCGCCTCCGGCTGATCCAGCGCGGCGGCCTCTTTCTCGGGAAGACGCAGCGGGCACTGGAGCAAAAAGTCGCGCTCGAGGCGCAGCTGGCCGCCGCCGAGACGCGGCTCGCCAGCCGCGCCGCCTGGGAGGAGCAGGTCGCGCGCGACCGCCTCGAGAGCAAGATTCTCTGGACCGCCGCGCAGGTCGCCATACAGAGGCTGTGCGGGCCGGAGCAGCAGCGCGGGCTGGAGCGCATCCTGACGTGCTGCCAAAAGGCGTTTACCGGGCCCGCTTGCTTGCCGGCATCGGTGTCCTCGGTCATGGCCGAGGATCCTTTTGTCGTGCAGGTGCCGAGCACGCCGCCGCACGTGCAGCAGATGCCCCTGACGCCCGTGTCGGTGGCCCCGGAGAGCGTGCAGGCCGAGGGCTCGAGCTCGCCCGTACGCGGTAGCTACACGCCGCGCCGCGAGGGGCTGCGCCCGAAACGAAAGGCTGTCGACGCCAACGGCAGTCCGGGGTACACAAGAATATGATGGAGTGGATTGTTGTGGAAAGTGTTGGACCTGGAAAGGATTGTCGGTGACAACGACACGGATTCACAATGATGTTTTAAGCAGTCGCCAGTAACTGCGGTCAATACCCCCCCGTATTGATCATGTAACTTCCGTTATTTTGATGAGATGCGTTTGCAAAGATTACAATACTACTTACGGCCCTGCGTTGGTCTGAAAAAGGGCCGAGGACGGATTTGAAAGAGGAGAGAGATTGGTTGCCTTGTGTAGAGTTTGGACTATGTATATCTAGAAACTGGACGAGAAACATGATATTTGCATATCAACACAAACTCCCTTGACGCCATTCTTTTGCCTTGTCAAATCATAACTGTCCGTTTCCAATTTTCTGTTCTCGCTTGACAAGGCACTTCGCACCTTGCTTCGGTCTGGTTAATGTGGCTTATACGCCGGCGTCGCGGGTGGCATAGCTGGCAGCGCTCTCGCCCACTTTGACTTCGTCCTCTGGGACTCCAACGGCCACGCTCATAACACTCTGCCTGGCGCTGGAGCGGCCCTTGTCACGCGGGCCTGCGATGCTGGCGCCGCCTGTTGGCACGACATTTGCGCTCGCGGTGGTGCTAACACTCTCGCTGCGCACGTGTCGGCTGGTGCTGCTCTCTCTGCGCTCGCGCACCGTCTTCTCCAGCTCACGCACGCGCTTCTTGAGCATCTCATTCTCCTTCTTGGCTATCTCGAGCTCGTTTCGGTAAAAGGTCGCCTCCTCGTAGCGAGAGGTCGCGGGGACGAAGGATGGGCTCATGTGGTCGCCGCCGAAGCTGCTGCCTGGTGTCGCTGCCACGGAAGTGGAAGCAGCATGGTGTGGCACGCGCTGGTTGTGAAAGTAGCTCGAGGGGTCTAGGCCGGCGCCGGGCCCAGCTCCGACACCGGTCAGGTGCACGCCGCCACCCGGGGCGGCCTGGCTGGATCGCGACGCGGTGCTATCCTGTCGCGAGAGTGGCACCGGCGCCGGTGGTCGGGGAAAGTGCGTGCCACGGCCGTCAAATGAGGATGCAAGCTGGTGAGTCTGGCTTGCGGTAGACGATGTGCGATGGTGGCGTCTGGTGGTGGGTATGGAGAAGCCCGATCCGGACAGCAGCGATGTCTCGGTGATGGGGTCGTGACTGGTGGCCGCCGAGGTCGAGGACGCATTCGAAGCTACGGAGGCGTTGTGAGTGGCTCGCAGGAGGGATAGCTCGCGGGTGAGGCGATTAACCTGGGACGATGGTGTTAGCTTCCGGCGGGGCAGCATATGCAGTTATGCAACCATGAGGGAGGGCACGTACTAGAGCTTCCTGCTCTTTCTCGAGCTCCATGTGGAGCTCAGATGTAGTCATGGGGCGAGGATGTCGCAGAGGACCAGGACCGCTGGTAAGCTCGGGCTGGTGGGCGATCTGGGCAGAAGTAAGGTGTGGCGAGGGGAGGGATGAGGCAGCGGCGCTTCCTTGCTGGCGCGGGTGGTTCACGGCGGACTGGTTGGAGGGGAGAATGTTGAGCGACGAAGATGGCGTGATGTTTCCGGGCGAGGCATAGGTGGCGGCCTGCCCAGCGGCGGCGGCGGCGGTAGCCATCTGAAGGCTGCTGGACTGGCGGCGTGAAGACGTCGCTTGGGGATGAGGCGAGGCGGGCACCGAGTTCAAGTCGGGCATGGCTGGTTGGCTGGTGATGGTGGCAGCTCGGTGTCGTCTAGTCGTGGCTAGAAGTCCGCACGCTATAAAGTAGGAGCGATGTAGAGAGTCGCTAGAGACGGAGGCATATATTCCAAGGCGAGATGCAAAACAAGCGAAGAATGAGAGCAAGAAGAGGGAGAGAAGGTCCTGCAACGAGGGCGTTTAAGGAGAGAAGAGGTAAGTGGATGTGGCTACCTAGTTTTGGGGAGGAAGAAGGAAGGTCTTGTCTCAGAGGCAACTCAGGCAAGACAACGGCAGACGCGTAGCGGTGGACAGGCCCCTGCGAAATCCTTGCAACGACCCTATAGCGGTTGTCTGGTGCTTGGAGTTGGTGCACTTGGCAGCTGCCTACGGTGATGATAAATGTTGATTAAATAGATTTGTGTAGGATGATTTGTGGCCGGTTTTATTAGGGGTTTTATTAGTGACTCTGTCGTGTGACTGCTCCTCGTCGCTATCTGGGGCATTAGCTGTATTAGTAGGTACCTAGTAGTTACTAAGTGAAGCTATGTCGACACCAGACGGCCGCTATCGCCAAGTTGCGGGGGAACCCGCCCTCTGACCACAGTCACTGGAGCAATATCAGGCGGGCGTACTCTGTCGGCAGATCAACATCAATGCCTCTTTTGCCGAGCATAAAATGCAATCACCGGGCAGATATTAAGGGGGACGTCCAATTCTCAGTGCGTGATAACTATTGAAAGGCAATTTTTGGAATCGACAACATGATCGTGGTCATGAACTGTGCACAATGGCTCCCCTCACCCACTAACTGGCAGGTACGTTAATTACAGAGTCCAGCATCTGGAAGCCTAGAAGCCCTGATCTCTTCTCCAATTCCTTTCAGGCTCCTGTTTACGAACTTGTTAACAAACACGACGCGGGAAGAAAAATAGTTTCTTGGCAGCAGTCAAATACTACTAAGTAAACACAAGCCATATTCACGACGAATAACGTGTCGTATAATTGACTTGGTGCTTAGTCTGTGCTTCACGCCCCAGACGTACCTAGTACATGACTCATTTAATGCCGCTCATTCTTATTCAATTCGTAAAGAGGGCATGAAAGGTTTCTACAGTAGTGAAACAACTTGTATTTATAGGTCTCGACCCGTTAAAAGACGCAAATCCGTCAGACACGTCGACAGTCGTAAAGGTCGTAGCACCAATAATTCCAAACATCCATGCCATCAACACTCATCACGCACTAGTTACTCCCTAACCTCCCTAACCAGTCTTGGTGTCGGCAGGCGCGGGAGCGGCAGCACCCGTGGACGCAGCAGGCGTCACACCAGCCGCAGGTGCAGTGCCGGCGGCAGCCTCCTCCTTGGGCTTCTGCTGACCAAAGACGCGCTCGAGGCCGGCGGCCTTGTAGGCGCTGCCCCCATGGTTCTCCTTCTTCAGGTCGGCGAGGCGGCGGGCCTCGGCGTGGATGTCCTGGACCTGGCGGGAGCCGTCGGTGTAGAACTTGGCAATCTTGCGGCCGGTGGGCGTGGTGCTCGCCTTTTCAAAGTACGAGCTCAGGCCCGTCAGGAAGTTGTTGGCCTTTTGCGACAGGCCGTAGCTCTGGTCCGTCGCGCGCGCACGGTCTGTCGCGTGGTACTTGGCGTCGAGGTTCTGGATCGTGCCCAGGAAGCGCGACGACACGTTGTGCGTCGTGTCGAGCTCAATCGCGTGCTCAATCGCCGCGTCGCCGACCACGTAGCCGTGCGCCAGGTATTCAGCCAGGATGCGCGCGCGTGGCTTCTCCTCCTGCGTGATCTCGTCCGAGTCGCGCTCCTTGCCATCGTGCGCGACGTCGGGGCCCGGTGCGGTGCCGCTGGCGCTGGCGATGGTGATGTGGTTGGGGCCCAGCTGCGTGTTGGTCAGGAGGAGGGCCGTCTTCATCGCCGTCTCCTTCTCAAAGGTGACCTCGGCGGTCTTGGTCTCGTCACCGGTCGTGATTTTGATGTCGGTGACCTTGCCGCTGTGAATGCATGAGAAACATGGACGGGAAGAGAAGAGGGACATAGGGGAAGAACATACCAAAAGACGAAAAAGTCCTTGACCTCGCCGTCGCTGGTCGAAGCAGCAATGTTCTTGACAATAACGGTAGCTTTGGACGCCATGGTGTCGTTTCGTGCGGGCAGGTTGATATATATTCTAAAGTACGGTGTACAATTGGTAAAACGTATTTTTTGAGTGAAATACAAGAGATATAAGTACCACGGGAAAGAAAATAATGATTGGGACAAGTTTGTTGGGAGAAGCAGAAAGCATGTGCTCGTGGCGAACATGGTACGACATCTTGGGGCGGGGCAATATGGCGACGTCATCTCGGGTCTGTGGCGGTGCTGATCTGCACGGGCACTAATGAACCTGTTGCCTGTTACCTGTTACCAGTGCTTCACCCGTGGACTGTGTTCGGTGGGCCTCTTCGCCACAGCCCTCTTATAACGGCAAGTGGCTGAGTATACTCAGCTTAATAAATTCTACATATACCTCTGTTCGATTAGAAGCGCTTACACTATATGGGGCATAATAGGCGCGGAAGGTTACGACACTTGGTACGCGGGGAACTGCTTCTGTATTCAATCATCTAACTAACCCCCTATACCCAAATATGCACTCTAGAAGCCAGTCTTAATTGTCCAGTAATTAGGACCAGCAGTGGTGGAAAAGCCCTGCTGATCAACGCAGCTACCGTACTGGTAAGGCTTGGCAATCGTGCCAGCCCCAGCGCCGGCCGTCTTGGAAGTCGGGAAGTAGTAATCAACTTGCGTCTTGAACTGGTCGGAGCACTTGAAGTTGGGGTTTCCGTTGGCAAGAAAGTACTCCAAGAAGCCCATCTGATTGCCGACGATGCCACCAGCACCCGCGGGCTGGACAAACTCGCCAATAACCGCAGACTGGCCCGTGACGGCGTTCTTCAGGGTGCCGCGCCACTTTGTCCCGCCAATGTTCTCAATGACACAGTCAAAACGACCACTAAAGTCCTTGACCTTTAAAGTCACGGCACAGCTGACGCCGGCTCCGCCGTCTGCGCCGTTGCTGCAGTTGGGATGCGACGAGGTGGTACCACCCTGGAAGGAGGAGAAGACGCCACGGATGGTTGCCTGCCCGTTGGAGTCCGTCTGAGGCTGGACACCCGTGTAGCTGACTTGCTGGACATTTTGAAAGTTGAACTGGTTGGCAAAGTAGTAGCCTCGCTTGTGGGCGGCGTTGGCGACGCCAAAAGGAAAAGTAATGTCCTTCAGGCCTCCGGCAGGCGCCGAAAGGGACCAAGAGTGGCCTATGCCAGCCAGGCAGGCCGAGGGAGCAAGAGAGGCAATGACCAGAGCAGAGGTCTTCATTTTAGAAATAGACTTGAATTGTAAGTGAATTGTTTAAGGGGACTGTGTAAGTGATTTTGGATAAGCATGGAGAGGTAGGGAGGGTGATTCGGGATTTATATACAGAATCATACAACGCTAAACATGAAAAGAAAATACCTTCTATGGAACAGTAGCGTTTGAACAAGCAGAGGGAGCTCGATATTTTCGGAAGAAATAATTTGAGGTAGTTACATTGCAAGGGGGCCGCGAGTGTGGGGAGCTGTCAAAGAAGCTTCCTAACTTGGCAGGTGGTTCGCAAGATCTGCGAATCCCCCAAATACAAGCGTCGGGACCCTGCAGAGGGCATCGAGGAAGCTGAAGGCTGAAGAGCCCGGAAACAAGCACTGCAGCAGCTGAAGACTCAGAGAGGGAACAGTGATCCGGAGAGCGCAAAAGGCTTGCTAAATTGACGCAGAGAGCGAAGAGGCTTGCTGAAAAGTGATGACGAGAGCACGGCGGCAGTCAAAAGATGATTCAGAGAGTGTTTTAGCGATCAGAAGCTACCGCGGCCAATCAGACAAGCTGTCTACGCACGCGGAGACGACTCCCTGCCAATTTCGGGACTTGTTTATCAGTGACAAGTCTCGGGAGCTTCTCGCCATTTTAGCTTGCGGGGTACGAGTTTAAGACCTAATCGCACTTGCTAGCCGCATTTGTAGCTCAAAGGAACGGTGCAGGGAATGTCCAGTCACAGTTTCTCAAGTCGCGAACACTACGCAAGTTGAAACGCCGCCCCGTCCGGGGGCAAGCCTGCTATCGTTGCCGTCTTACTGTTTTGCCGCTTTGAGAAAGGTAACGTTAGCATCGCTTACAGTGCGAGCACGACATTTCTCAAGTTGCCGTCGGATGAAACATTGACTTGTTATCGGATCCCTTTGGAGAGGGGGGGGGGGGGGGAAGGGTCGACTTGACCGATAGCTGTGATGACGCTGTAATGTCGAGTAGCCAAAAGGACAAATTATAAAAGAAGTTCCAAATTAAAAGAGTCATGCATAAGCTGCCGTGCTGTTGCTTGTCTAGCGGGTGTCTTCGAGGGCTCGTCTGGCAAAGGTTGTGGTCAAGCAATTGTGTATGACAACTATGCTGCACTGTGCTTGTTTCACCACCTTGCCATCTGGTTCAGACGTTCATCTCAGCATGAACCGATAAGCTTTTAAGTAAAGAAACGAGGAAAATAAATATTAGAATCGCTTGAAACGCACTCCCCATTGTGGAGGACGGTGACCGTCCTGGCACAACACCGACATGATTGATTCGATGAGCAACATTCATGTAATTATCATTGCGCACTTAAAAAAAATGACCAATCACTGTCATCGACTCTAATATATCTGTCAAGGCTTCAATATCGGTCATAATTGCCCCCCAAATCACTTATGTAAAGCCCGAACCCTTGGCGCGGGCATCGATGACGTTTGTATTCTGCGCCGCCCCGGCAGAATACACCAACACGAGTTCATCCCACCGTCATTGAAAAAGTCTCGGTGCATTTGATGGCAGGTTTGCCAGAAGAGACGTGTAAGTAGACCAAGTCACACAAGACATTTGGTACGAGACATGCCTGAGTCAATCGTGTGTCAACCCAACAAAAGGTCTCGTCGACCTGGAAATGTGCTGATGGTCACCCGAAGTGCTCACAATGTAGCAAAACCTTTGCTTATTTTCCTACAGATGAAAGCATATATAAATGTGTTAAACTTGGCGCAATTCAAGTTAAATTGCCACAGGGATCTGGTGGATGCATAGGCAGCCACAGAGAAAGAGCGACAGCCACTTCAAACATTGCCATAGGCACCATACGGCTCCGATTCCTGAGACTCCTGTCGCTTGAAGTTGCCGTAGGCACCATACGGCTCCGAATCTTCAGACTCCTGACGCTTCACATTTCCATAAGCTCCGTACGGCTCTGATTCCTCTGTCTCCTGTCTCTTCACGTTTCCATAAGCCCCATAGGGTTCAAGCTCCTCAGACTCTTGTCGCTTGACGTTGCCGTAGGCGCCATAGGGCTCGAGCTCCTCGGACTCCTGGCGCTTGACGTTGCCGTAGGCTCCGTAGGGCTCAAGCTCCTCCGCTTGCTGACGCTGTACGAGTGAAGCACCTGCCACTGGTCAGCAATGTCCTTGTTGGGGCCAAAGACGCTCGCGCCTACCCTTTGAGTTCGTGGGGGCGGCGAGGACGGCCGTCACCAGAGCCACGGCGGTAACAGTGTGGGCAAGGAAGCGCCATGTGAGGATATCGTAGTGGTTAACTAAATTGATGACTTTCTTGAACTGAGAATTTCCCCAATACCGGCGTAAAGCAATTATTTATAGATCTTCTCCTATGCAGGCGGCTGCTTACGTGTATACTTTTCCTTGCCGCTTACTCTTGCGACAATTATTCAAGAAAGCAGGTGCTTCCTTTCCGCATATGATGACCGAAATCTGGGCCGTCAGTCCTGGCTCGAACCGAAGCTGAATCCAGCTTATTGGCTGCAAAGGTCCCGAACTGACACATGATGCAGAATGGTAAGCTTGCACTGCAATCTAGACCGCTTTGACCGTCCCGGCAATTCTCTTTCTACAGGTATTACTTCCGCTTCATATCTTGGATTGGCGAGAAAGCTTCTGGTCTCAAGGAAGTCAGGCGGCTCGTGATCGTCTGCAGCCCTGGAGACGTTGTAGCGAGAACTGTAAGTAGTTTGGTAGCCTGCCACGATGATATCTGGCGATGTCCTAGCGCTGTATTTTATTGGCCCTAAACCTGCCGAAAGCCCAACTCCGGATATCGCAAGCTGACAGGCGCACAAAGTGGCTGCATTAGCTGCGATTTAGCTTACAGACAGCCGATCACGTCGTCAACCGCAGCGGCTTCGATTGGCCAGAAAGGCACCGAGCATTGACTGTTGTCTAATGACTAGGTAAAATCTCGGGGTAGTCAGGCTTTCGTCAAACCAAGGTATTTATTGTTCATCTATTTTCTTGCTCCCAGATCTGCACGTGGCCCCTCTCAGAGCCGAGACCACCGAAACTATCTGTAAGTCGATGGTCTTGCCTCTATAACCCTTGGTGGCTGCCGTTCACGAGGCCCAGTCCGAGCGATGCTTGCTTTCCTTCAAACTGTCGCAAAATATTTCTGGTTATACATTCATCGCGATGGATCCTGAGAAGCACACTTCCTCAACATCGCTGGACGATGACTTTGAGTCCGAGTCATTGCTACCAAATGCGCTGCTCAAATATCGGCTAGGTGCCGATTTTGAGAAGAAGCGCATGCGCTACCTTTTAATCTCCCTTGCCAGCATTGCTGTGTATACCCTTGCTGTCATGGGAATTACAATAGCAACGCTGCCCAAGGTTGATCGCGAATGTCGTGGCGGACCACATCTGTACCCAAACCTGCTTGAGGACGCGATTGAGTACCGGCTCGAGACATTTGCGGACAACCACAAGCCCAATCATCCGTACTTTGGAGAGCCGAGCAAGGAGTTGGACCATAATTGGCATGAGCTCACAAAGTGTATGTGAGAAGCACCACAATTTGGGCCCGTACTGACCTGTACTCGATAGGGTCTGACGTGCGGATTCCGGAATCCGAGGTTGAACGTCTCGGTCGCGAATACCAGGGCGTTCACTTTACAGATGGAGGGTACTACGGTATGCTCACTGTGCACCATAACTTACACTGTTTGGTATGAGCGAGTTCAAGATTGACTAGACAAAATTGTTGCTAATGCTGAGAACAGAAGCGCCTGTATCAGCACATAAATATTGACCACTACTTCCCCAATATGACGGATGAGGAGAGACAAATGGAGTCGCAGCATACAAGTACGCATCGACGAATCAAAACGTCTGAAGAAAATGCTAATTTGCATGTCAAGTTCATTGTATGGCATTGATAAAAAATGCCCTGATGTGTCAAGCAGACACGACTCTTCTGACTATGCGCTGGCTCGATTTCAGTCCGATCCCTGCGGCCAATTGGTCCACGCCTCGCACCTGTGTCGATTGGTCGCGGATTGAAGATTGGACCAAGAATAACTGGGTGGATGCGAAAAAGGACGGAAGAATGGTGCACCCTCAGTTTGGTAGGTTTTTGCTTGATGGTGCCGACAACGGTCATGTGCTAACCATCTTGCTCCTTCTCTAGGCCAGGTATTCGTCAACGGTAAACATAACGGTTCTCGCATTGGAGTATCTTTGATGCATCAAGATCATGGCCACTAAGGCTTGCAGTAAAAATGCCAGTTTTGAGCAAAGGGACATGCTCTAGCCAACAGTATTGTTAGTTACGACTTGGCGCTTGTATATGGCGTTGTGCAACACATCGTAAAGACATACATTTTATCGAAAAAAGATTTAAAATTCAACAAATGAATAAATCATGATCAAATACACAATTGATAGCAGAAATGCATTTTTCCATTCTTCTCAATACTAATTCACTCATGAAGCTGCTGTCTAAAGGTTTCATCACAACGAAAGGGCTTCCTCCGATTTACAAAGTACCGAATTGCACGTCCTCATTATAAATTAACCACAGCGCGCTCTCAGCCTCTTTCATTTGCAAGTCTTTACTCTTGTAGAAATTTTGAGAATCCGCCGTGCGACGGGTTTTCTGCTGTTTCCAGACAGAGCTCACAACGCCACAGTTCCCTCCTTGGAAGCCGTAGCTCCCGAGCTCGGCGTCGCTGCTGTCAAAGCAACTATCTAACGCCGTGTCCCAAATAGTATCCATATCTTGCGCAGTAGTTGACCAGCCATGATCGATAAAGTGGCACTCGGTAGCAAAGTGTGCAGCACCATCGAGACCAAAGCAGGTAATCGGAGCTAGACCACCCTGGCCATGACTGAGAACCGCTTGATCTATGCTGTAGTCTGAAAGAGGAGAGGTTGACTGTGGTGGTGGCGGGTCAACATCGCCCTGTCTGGATGCAGCACTCGCCAACAGCCGAACAGTTGGGGGCTGAGAGGACTCGTCTTTCCGAATCTTGCGAGGTCGTCCGATTCGCTTCGCCGGCGCATAAATACACGCCGTCCTTTGTTTTCGACAACGTTTGCACGTTGGCTTGTCTTGACTGCACTTGACTTTGGACGAGCTGCACTCCTCGCAGGAGCGCTTGAGTTCTGACGAAAGGCAACTGTTGGAAGCATCCATAATGGTGGATTTTTAAGGATTTGTAAGGAAGCTGCAGAACATGGATCAGGGGCCAAAGAAACAAAATGGCGGCCATTGAAATGGATAAAATACTGAATATAGTGAAAAGAGGCAGAAAGCATTTATAGTATGGCGATGATGGACTCTGCGATCGGGGTCTGCCCACTTAGACCCATGCTCCTCCTCGACACTAGGTAGCGAAAGCAACTATTCTACCCTTCGCCATATCAATTGAGTGGCTTTCCTCTTCAGCACAGACTCTCATCCATTCTACATGCAGTTTCTTCCCGCTGCAAATGACTGAAAGGACCTAATTTCTGTAACCTTGTGCTGTCAGTCTAAGCTAGCTTCGCTAGAAGTGAGCCTGTAAGACAGATCTCGGGCCACCTGGACATGTGCAAGTCGCAATTGCCATGACACCATAACAAAAACAGACATCAACACCGCCGTACAAGTCGACAATGGCATGGGCTCTGGAATTCACTACAGCCGCGAAAGAAGCTAGGGAGTGCTGAACAGCCACTTGGCGGCCCTACAGCGAAGTCCGCTTCCCATGACGGAATCTGTACTATCCTCGCGTTGTTCCTGTATCGAGACTGGGTGGCTTACAGCTCGGCACGGCATCTGCAACAATCACGCCTCCGTCTCTCGCATCTCACCATTAGTCCCGTTATATTCTTCGCGAATGTCTGCAGAATCACAGAGAATGGAGAGCTTGTTTAACAAGTCATTGGCTGCACGCCCCTCCGCCACCAATAGGTTTGCCGATGAGGATAGAGGTGTGATGCTGGCGCAAGAGGCTCCGCCAGCGAAGTGCGGTATTACGCCACTGGTAGAAGTCTTATGAGGTAAGACGGCTGCCATGGAGAGGTTTTGTAAAGGAGACCTTGCCTCTTGTAAATTGATAGAACTGACAACTCAGAAACCCAGCGTCTGAACCCGAGTATGCAGTGGCGTTGTACCCCGCCATGGTTAACAGCCAGTCTGACACCCTAGAGTTCAGCTTCGACGTAGTAGTATTTTGATCAGCTGGCAAGGTACGCATACTTTAATACTTTAACCCGTATTTGCTCTCCACCGAGATGATGGCATAAAATATTCATCGCTAACCGACTGCACATTTACTAAGTTGTCGCATCACGAAAGTCTCGCTCAAGTGGTGGCAGCATCCTCGTGTATCAGCTCATGGCGCGCCATCAGTTCGGCTATTACATCTTTACTTCATTCACCTGCATTACAACAAAAGTTGATTTCTTTACTGAACACGTCATCTCATTCATCTCCCGATCATCTACCCTAACTCTGAGAGGACAGTACAGAGGCAGAGAGCCAGCAAAGGCACGCTCCAAGACGCTGCATAACTGGGCGGCGCGATGCGGAACGCGCCGCCAAAGCTTCGGTGGCTGCTCAGATTGGCCCAGAGGCCGTACTTGAACGCCGCATCCCCGATTCTCTTGGCCAGCTCGTGGCTCGGCAGCTTGGACTCGCGATCCGTGACGGTTTCGACGCCCGCCATGAGCCCGCGGCCGCGGACCTCGCCGATACAGCCGTAGCGGCCCATGAGCGTCCGCAGTCCCCGATGAAGCACAAAGCCGACCTCCTTGGTGTGCTGCACCAGCCAATCGCGCTGCACAATCTCGAATACCTTGTCGCCCACGGCGGAGAGCGTCAGATGTCCGGCACGACATTCTCAGGCTCAATGGCCACCAAGGCCGCAGCAGCTCACGCCCGTCTGTGCCTCGTCCATAATGCCGCGCCGCTCGCAGTGCCTCTTGAGCGCCCGCAGGTAGCCCGGCGGCAGCACGTGCATCCCTCTCGAGCTCTGGATGCACTTGACGATGCAACAGGCGAGTGGCCCGCACGACTTCGAATTTCCCGGTGTAGACTTTGGCGAGCTTGATGGCCATGGCCGAGTAGGCACGACATCTGGCCAGAGGTCCAGTCAAGCAGTCTATGGGCGCTCGCCGCGTGAAAGTAGAGACCGCTAGTACTAGACTATTTCGTCATGCAAGGCAATTACCAAGTCCAAGAGATAATTTTGACATTTTGCGGTAAGAGCGCCCTGGTCTTCGCTCTGATACAGTGTTGCTTGTGGCTGCATCGCCCTTATGAAGGGTTAGGGTTGGGGTATGCTCGTCAGTCCTTGCAGTTTGCCTGGGCGCCATGATGCTCAATGATAGCCACAATTTGATGAGATATCATCAGGGAAAAAAACTTTTTTAACAAATAGGGAGGAGTTTGGGGGTTTAATACATAGTTGCAGACCAGATATGCCCAGGTACCGAAGTGTAGTTTTCCGCGGGCAACCCTCCTCGGGAAACCCTCCACCCTACCAACCCACGGGTCTCAAGGACTGAGAAAGAACTGGTCGAGAATAGATGCATCCGGCTGATATTTCCGGCTTCAAGTAGTAAGTAATTTCCAAGCCGCCGTCACCTTTAAATAAGCAGCTTAGATATGTATGGACGCCCTTGCCATCAGCCAAGCTGCGGTGCGGGAGAAGGCATTCCAACATAGATGCATACTGCGTACAGTACTCGCCTCTACCATGTTCAATCATCCATTTCGAAATGCGCTCCGTTAAGACGAGATCGTCTGACCCGTAAACGTACAAGTTGATGAAGACCTTAATCTCGGGGTATTCCAGATCAGACGCGATATTAAAGTAGTATCCGCATCCTGGGAGAACCAGTGGCGCATAGGCGGAGCTATTTTGAGACAGAGTGGCCTGTTGAGGCATCATGTCAAGCTCGGCATCCGGGGCAAGGGCATCCGTCGTCCCGGCCAGGGATGCTAGTAGACTCTGCAGGCTTTTCAAGTGTTCTGGGAGGGCTGGAACCCGTCCACCGAGTGTCATGACCTCTTGGATTGCATCAAATGTTGAGTGTGGCGACCGAAAGTAGAACTTGAGCCGTGAATGTTCCGGTTTGATGTTGTCAACGGCTATCATTCTATATTCCAATGACCCATTAGCAACTATTTACTAGGGGACGCCGCAATTGTTGATGTGTATAGACTTTGTGATGCAACTCACGCGGGGCTGAGAGTTTGGCTTTGAGGATTGTCCAAAAAATCGTAAAGCTTTGTGCTGGCGCCACCATCTGCGCATATGCCAGCAATAGCATTCTTCCATACGTCAAGAGGGATCTGATCTAATCCCAGACCAAGACGGCGCGGAATATAATATGTTTTGACGCCTAGGCCCGTGGGGTTCAGCTCAACTGCAATCAGAATGGTAGTAGTAAATGGTTGACCCGCAGTGATCTCTTTGGAATATTTAGACCGGTCGTGGTCGTAAAGTGTTGCCAGTAGATGATTGTTCCACGTAAGATCAAGGCTTGGTATGACCTCCTTTAGGCGGTATAGCAGCTCTCGGGACGCGTCTTGGTTCAATGGATCGACAAGACGCCCAGTAAACTGGCCCATAGCCTCGATGGTGTAGCGGATAACAGGCTGGCTCCCTGAAGTATTCCACTTCCAAGAGTATTCGATAGGTAGCCCCTCTAGATTGAGGAGGCAGGGCCAAGAAAGCTTGCCAGTTGGTCCGGGTGCGGGCCCCATGTAGGGAGCATATCATGAAGTTAGCTAAGAATATACTTGCATGGAGGCAACTCACTATCCAGTAGTAATGGAAGAGAAGGGCCTCGTATTGCCGTTCACTGGAATAGCCAGCAAGTTGCACCATGTGAGCAAGATGCTGTCCTGTCAACTGCCAGCAATAATCGCAATCCGCATCGCGGGACGGAAGCAAAAGTGATAAAGACTCCCAGACCTTGCTGGGTGGCATCTGAGACTTCGTAGATACTTCGTTTGCCATGGTAGCTGTGTAGTCGTGATAAAGTTCTGTAGGGGCAAAAAATAACGAGGGGAAGTGGCCCAAGTTCAAGAATGAGGATTTGTATTTCAAAAGCTCGATCTTCCGCGTATTGGTAAAGCAGTACCCGCTGTGGCAATCCAAAGGACAGGGGCCTCTGGGCCGACACCTCCCTGTGTGGTTCCAGCCTTTGTATTTCAGTTATCCGTACACGTGTTTGATTTCAGCTTTTGTCTTGCCGCATCTGCAAGTTATCTTGTGGCGTACCCCTCACCAACTCGAGCCGTCGTTGGCCGCCACGCATGTCTCAATAGGTGCTACCCCGACATGAATCCGAAAATAGACACGAACAACAGAAAGAAAAAGGTCGAAACGCACGGGACAAGTCAGTTTTCACGACAGACAGTACGGCAGCGAATCCTTCCACGTAGTTGTGGTACCCCGCATGGTACCAGCGCCACGAGTCCAAAATGATGTTGGAGGGATTCGTGCTATTTCCATTTGCTCTTTTGCTCTTCTGTTTCTTTTCAAAATGTAGTTCTTTGACATTAATGTCAGGCAATTTGTCGGAATTGGCGAGCAAAGAAGCAAGAACATGGACAACTATCTATGCTAGACGATGCTGATCTTTGTTCAGTACGTTGTGCTATGATACTCCTTTTCGTCTCCTGAGCTATTAGCAGCGTAAATAAATTCAAGCTTATAATAAAGGAGGCTGCTCTATTTAGCAACCAATTAAAGCCCTTGTTATGCCCCTCGTCGCATCATGGATGGCTGCGTTGATATCTGCGGGGTCAAATATGAAGTGACATCCAACTCTCCGTTATCCTTGATGAGGCAGCTCACGTGAGTGTGTACGCCCTTCCCTCTGTCTAGATGCCTATGCAACGCGAGAGACTTTGATCATCGACATGTACCGCTGACAATAGTCACCTCTTCCATGAGTGTTCATCCACTCTGTAAGATTGCTCCCCAAATAATAGTCAGCACACACGGCCATTCGAAAGAAAGCTCCGGGGTGGGTGATGGGCCCATATACGGTATCTGCGATTATATTAGAGATTTTTTAATAAATGATCAGATGGCAGTATTACCTACAGCGTAGTGGTAGTGGAATAGAAGTGCATCGTACTGCTTCTCAACGGAATATCCAGCTGCTTCCATCATACTCGCAAGATGCATTCCCGTCAACCTCCACCAGTAGTCACAGTCTGGGTTGCGGGACGGGATAAATCCTGCTCAGAGCCGCCCAGGCTCCAGTAGCTGCAGCCATTGGAGGGCGATTTTAAGCTTGTAGCTTTAAAAATGAAAGGCCTCAATACGGTCAATTGGGGACTTGAGGTGGAAATTGACTGCTTTCCATTTCCCAATTTCATTTTTTGCCCATATAGACGCATCTTCAATACTCTACCTACCTAATTTGCATTTTACTACATCGGAATTGAGCTTCGAAATTGAACTGAACCGTACGTGTACCAATACCGATACCAATAAGTTTCTGTGCAGCCAATAGCGCCGACTAGCTATTACTTGTCCATATCCGAGAATAGTAGTCTCGACCTCGTGCAGGAAGAAAAAAAATTAATATCCCTAGTAAAATAATAACTAAGCGTATATGCAACAACAATGGACTATGTCCAAAAATAAGTCCCAAGTAATCCACATCCAGCCGTGTCAAGCACATGGATGCCTTCACTCGTAAATAGAAATTGAACAGCGTGCATAATCAGGCTCTAGGCCCAAACAATGACCTTTTTGCCCTTGATCTGTCCCTTATTCGCTGGAAATGTGCATGGCCATGCGCCTGTATTTGCTGGTGGTTATGAACCGTTAGCATCACCGAGGCCGAGGTGGCAACCATTGCGTGAAATCGTCGCGAACCCGAATCAGCGACGGGCCCGAATAACTTCACTTCACTGTCTTCACCCAAATGAGCTCTACATTTACTGGCCTTTACTCCTACCAACCCGTTATAGGGGAGCCTTTTCTGCAAGAATAGTTGTTAGCTTCGCTTTGCTTGAGGGACTTTTCGACCAATCTATTTGCTATGGTAAGCCCCATTCCGGATCAACAACTCGGCTGCAGCAAAGACCGCCTGCACATTAATCTATTAATATCCTCACACCTGACTATAAATTCTCAACTGATTAATATCGAGAGCCTCGTCGTCTACCATTTACACTCGACGTTCGTTCACATTCGAACCACAGAGTCCTCCCAAGAGCACCCCATTGAACCGACCTTCTAACCCGTAGCCCTTTCTACTTTTGTGACGGAGACTCACCCGAGATGGTCAATTTCTCATTTACAGTAGCGCTCTTGTTCTCGACGGTGAGCTGGGCATCGACGCAAGCTGTGCCTGAACCCGCGGCCGTCCAAAATGTGCCGTCCGCAGCGCATTGCAGAAATATCCCAGGAGACGCGGCATGGCCCCCGGCGCAGGCCTGGTCCAGACTCAACAGCACCGTCAACGGCGGCCTGATGGCGACCGTGCCTCTTGGCTCCGTCTGCCACGACCCCGACTACGACGCGGCCAAGTGCAGGGCGTTGGCTGATGGCTGGGGTCTCGCCCAGCTCGTGTACGCATTCCGGCCCAAGAATGGCTAGTTACACTCATTGTTTCTTTTTGCTAACCCCCCTTTTCCGTCGGCAAGCGTCCCACGACCGGCAGAGTTCATGTCCTTGTACTTCCAAAACAATACCTGCACGCCCTTTTCGCCGCGGTCCGCGAAGTGCGACCTGGGCAACTATGTGTCCTACTCAATCGACGTGCGATCCGTCGACGACGTCAGGGCGGGACTCGAGTTTGTCCAGCGCCACAATATCCGTTTGGTGATTAAGAACTCTGGGCATGAGTGAGTTGAGTTCGATTTTGGGGGGGAGGGAACAGCAGAAATGAGATGCTGACCATGACGAACTTGCAGCTTCAACGGTCAGAGCACGGGCAAAGGAGCACTAGCCTTGTGGATGCACAATTACAACAAGACGAGGCTTATTAAAGAGTTTGCCTCTTCATATTACAATGGTCCTGCCCTTGAAGTGCAAACTGGTGCAGAAGGTGGTGTAGCCGCCGCGTACGCCAATGACCATGGCTACACGGTCGTATCCGGCGCATGCCCAACTATAAAAATGGTGAGAGAATCCGGCTTATTGAACCCCCCCATCATTTCAGTGTCCAAACCCTCGGCTAAACAAAATGGGGATGTCAACAGGCAGGAGGATACCTTGCCGGCGGCGGCCACGGTTACTTGAACGGCGTGTACGGCTTCGCGGCCGACAACGTGCTGGCGTGGGACGTTGTCCTTGCAGACGGCTCCCGCGTCGTGGCCACGCCGACCCGCCACCGCGACCTATACTGGGCGCTGTCCGGCGGCGGCGGGGGCGCGTTCGGCGTCGTGCTCTCGGCCACGGTGCGCGTGTTCCGCAACGAAGTCGCCGCCAACGCCGCCTTTTCCTTCTCGGCGGCGCAAGCCGGCGGCGCCGCGCCGTACTGGCGCTCCGTCGCCGCGTTCCAGCAGCAGCTCACGCCGCTGCTCGACCACGGCGCCGTGGCCGAGTACCAGCTGAGCGACGGCGGGCTGGTCGTGAGCGGCATCATGGTGCCCGGCCAAACGAGCGACGCGCTGCGGGCGCTGCTCCGGCCGCTGGTCAGGGGCCTCGAGCGCGCGTCCGGCTTGCGTCTGACGGAAGCTGCGCTGGCCATCAAGTACGCGCAGGCCGACAGCTACTATGCGCTGTACCGGGAGCAGATCCTGCCCCGGCTTGGCGACTTGGTGCTTCCGGCCACGCTGGCCGGCCGGCTCGTTCCGCGAACGGCCATGGACCAGAACCCCGCCAGCGTCCATAGGGCGCTTCGTGACATCGCCGGCAGAGGCTACTCCTTGGTCGTCATCGCGCTCAACGCCGTCAGCGCGGTGCGCAACCAGACGGCGCCGCCGATTGCGCCGAACGCGGTGCAGCCCAATTTCGTCCACGCGCACAGCTCCTTCATGATCAACCCCGGCTGGTCCAACGCGCTGCCGTGGTCCGAGGCCCAAGTCCTGCAAGATGAGCTGGTCAACGAGATCCTGCCGTTGTACGACGCTGCCGTCCCGGATGCGGGCGTGTACAAGAATGAGGCAAACTGGGCGGAAAAGGATCTGAAGAACTCCCTTTACGCCGGAACGTATCAGCGGTTGGAGAAAATCAAGAAAGAGGTAGACCCAGCCGGACTTTTCTACGGCATTGTGTCCGTCGGCTTCGACCAGTTCCAATTGGACGGCAGCGGTCGCCTCTGCAAAAAGTAGGACATGATCTCTATCAGACGAAGGAGAGTACTAAGTAGATGAGAGATGGTTCCAGTATAGAGGTTGATGACTGTTTTATGTCATTTCCTGCATGATGGCTATCTAGCGCTCGGGGTCCGCGTCGTTTCTTCGCGTTGAGCGCTCGTGGGTAATGACCAAGCGTACTGTTTTCTGAGAGAAAATAGTTTCTCGAGGACTGGATCCGTTTCATCCTCTGACCAGTACACGGTATATTCTGTGCCCTTTTATTTACTACCAACGAATCGGTGACCAATGTTCTTCGACTGAGCCTGTCCGCGTGGGGTGGCATACACGCTCAGAACGAATAGACCAACTTCGTACCCGAAACTTTGCCCTGGCGAAGGTCTTCTAGACCTGCAATCACACCTTCTAGGCCTTCTCCTCCTTGGTTGACAGTGGCCTTGATGGGCTGCAGTTTCCTTTCCTCTAGCAGCTTCGCAGTCCGCTCCCAGAAAGCAGTAGCAAAGATGACATCCTCCTGGGAGGCCGGGAACACATATGTCCCGCGCTCAAACGACTCTCCAAATACCGTATAACCGAGCTGATATTTGGCCTCGACCAGGGGGTTTCTGTCATGGAGAAGGTTGGCCGGCGTGAGCGGCGCCACGGTTGCATAGATGCTCTTCTTCGTCTTGCTCAGCGAGTGGGCGGCGATATCCTGAAACTGTTTGTTGGGAGAGCAGTCCCAGGCGAGAGTCAGATCATCGCCGACGACATCCCTGACCTTCTTTACCAGCTCCTCCGCCGACTCATGGTAGTCTAGCAGCACGTCGGCGCCTAGCGAGCGAAGATAGTCAAAGTTGTGAGGAGAGGCAGTAGCCAGGATACGGAGCCCAGAGAGCTTGGCGTATTGAATGCCCAGAACTGCGGTCGCTGTGCTCCCTCCGCCGATCAGAATTGTCTGCGGGGGATCGACTGCAGCCGACGGCGGTAGAGGCAGGCCCAATAGTTGGTACAAAGCCTGGCCACATGTCGTAATGCCCACGCCCAGGGTGGCCGCCTGCTCAAAAGTGATATGGTCGGGGATCTTGGCCACGACGTGCTCCGGCGTCATGGTGTAGTCTCCGAAAGCGCCATGCTCGCGATCTTTGCTATACACCCAGCCAGTTAGCATATTGACTAGACGTCTACGCGCAATATTTTGCAAGCATTCGGCAGTACGTACGCTCCGAAAGCAATGCTATACACTCTATCGCCCTTTCGAAAGCCTTTCTTTGCATCAGGTCCAATCTCTTCGACGATGCCAGCAAAATCAACACCCGGACGTGTTCCGATGGCGTATCCAGCGTCGTTATCGATGGCTTTCCAGTCGGTTGGGTTGAGTGCCACAGCTTTCGTCTTGATAAGGAGATAGCCTGGTGGCAAGGTCTGTTTGGAAACAGACTGGATCTCGAGCTTGCCGACCGCAACGCAAATGACAGCTTTTGGATCAGCCATGTTTATCTGATAAAAGAATCTGGTCCACTATCGAAAATTCTGTGAGGAGAAAGGTAAAACGTGAGATGGAGGCCCTGTTTTTATTCACTTCCTGGCGTTGCATGGCGTGATGCTGATGCGGCTGGCTGTAGCTGCGGGGTCGAATACACTCTCGGCACAAACGGCGTACTCGAGGTCGTCTGATGTAGGACCACCCGGCATAATCCGTTGCCTTATTCGTCATTCTACCCAACCCAAACGTGCCTTGATAAGACAAATAAGAACCAACCCATTTACTCTGGCGGGGCAGGCCGCCGAGGGCGATCGGAGCGACCCCGTTGCCCTGTTCCGGGGCTTTCAGGCCTTACAACCGGCGCCTTTTAACGGCAGCTCAGAGAACAGATTTTTGCACCAGCAAGCGGAAACTGCAAGTCTCCGTTTCCTACTCGCAATGAGCCAATGAACCATGCTTGGGCCGACGGCTTTTGCGACGCTACCTAGCTGGCAGGGCGAACTCCACAGACTTGTGATGGTTTAGCTTCAGCTGCGTGAGGGTACGATTCTGTCCGGGTAATGAGGTATGCACTGGTAGTCATTATGTTTGAGCGTCAAAGTCTAGTCGCGGCAAGCTCTGATCCCACCTATCGCGTACCACCACGACAATAAAGGACAAAAGCGCAAGTACTCAAATTCTCCATCTATAAATTCATCAGCAAAATTGACATGTATTTATCCACCGCTAATTAGTGATAAAGGTTCGAAATGAAAAAAGCTAGCCAGGAAAAATGGAATGCTATGCCTCCCACCATGCATCGCAATGAAAAAAAAAACCTAGCCATGGTAAATGATGTGTGCAACGTTTCTTGCAATTTGGCACCAGTGCAGATGCCAATATGCAAATGCAAAGCCTGTCTACACCCACTTCGGCCGTTTCAGACCAACAGTGAGTAAAGACATGGAAAATCCCCTCCTTCAGTGTCCACCTCTCACCTGCACAGCGTTCGCGTCTCTACATACGTGCTTCATCGAACACAATGGATGGGGTCTCACGAAGACGAAGCTTCATCTGGGAAGCGAATTTCACGTCTCACCGCGGGTTTGGGCTCAGCGACCGCACTCTGGGGTAGGTTGGCGTCTGATCCGGACTCAACATCGCGGAGGCGGTCGCGCAGAGATTGCGCCCGGCTGCTTGATTGGCGCGCCGAGGAGCTGCCAAAAACGCCACTGTCGCAGCCTTGAACAGGATCATCTTTGGTGCCGGGAATGCGGCGACCAAATCCGGGCAAAGCTGGTCTACCACTAGGAGCAGAGTCGCTGACATCGCCGCTCAGAGCTCGGCTGAGCGTTCGGGGCGCCATGTAACCCAACTTTCCAAGTGGGATGGACAGCCCGTGAACAACAACACTGACGACAACCATGAACCAAACGACGACGGTGACGGTATCCCGGAGATGTTTCACGTCCTCTCGAGGAACGCCGTTGTCGTCGCTCAGGTGTCTGTCAATGAACTCAGTGGCAATGTACAGATAGAAAATTGCCGACACGCCAATGGGGCCAAAGAAACCAACGAATATGGCATTCTGGCGGCTATCGATTTGATGGATCCATTGATGCATGCCGTAGATCCATGGAAGACGGCGGAGCAGCAGGATGAGAAGACCAAGCGGAATCACGCGGGAGAGCGTAGTGAAATCGTTGTGGGCAATGAGATCCCAGGGGATGACGGCACCATACCACAGGAAGATGGTGACGTTGAGTAGCATATCAACGGTGGGCTGGAGTGAGTCATCCTTGGTCTCCTGTCGGAACCAATCGTCCCATGTGAACGCATTGCCGGCGACGAAACAAGCCAGGACGTCATCGGTACCAAGGAGACCACAAGTGCCAAGAACAAAAAGACCGAGCGAGATGGCGAAAACGAGAAAGCTCTCACGATCAACCCAGCCGCGGTCTTCAGCCCAGTGAAGCAAATACTGGGCGAGTAAGCCGACGACGGCACCATAGGCGATGCTCATGAGGATGACATAGGCCCAAGTCAGCGCGAACCAGAGGCCAAATGCTTGGCCCGCACCTCCAGCGTCAGGGTCGGCCCCGGCGCCTATGTACTTGATGAGGTAGAGCGCAAAGAACAGCCAAGGGTAGCCGAGGCCATCGTTGGTGCCCGACTCGGCGACGATGAGGTCCTGCAGCACCTTGGGGATGTTCTTGTCCGCAAACTTGCCCTTGACGATGACGGCGGACAAGACGGGGTCGGTGGGTGTAACGCAGGCGCCAACAGCGAGGGCGTGGAGGAAGCTAGGCGTGCCGAGCAAGCTCCAGACAAGTAGGCTGGTGGCTATCCACATCATGGCCATGCCGGGGCCGACAAGGAGGAGGACGGACTTGGCCTCGAGCCACAGATACTTGCTGCGCAGCTGGACACCGGCGAGGACCAGCTGGACGGCGAGGACCAGCCGGGAGAAGTCGAGGGTGATGGCGTCGATGTTGGCCTCGCACTGCGTCGCCGAAAGGTTGTTTTGGGGGCAACCGGCGTACTCGTGGGGGCGGATGAATTGTGCGCCCTTGGGGCCAAAGGCAACGCCAATGACCATGGCAATGACTACATGAGTACTGTCAGTTTGTGTTGGTGGATTTCGTGCTCACGCTTTCCCTGCTCGCTTCTCTGTTGCTGGGCGTACGGGCCGTTGTGCTTGGCGATCGACTTGGCAGTGGAGTGGCGGGGAGGAGAAGGATGCCAAGGGATCAGGCCGAGTTGGACTTACGGGCTTCGGAGAGGTAAAAGTGCTCCTTGATCAAAAACGAAACTAGGCCAAAGAGCGAAATGAAACCACCGAGCAGAGCGGTGACGACATTAAAGTTGGTCGAAGCAATGGGCGCGGCCCAGATGGGGACGATATTTCTCGCCATGGCATCCAGTCCTTCCTTGTTGCTCCTGCGCTGCTGAGAGACGTTTTCAGCGGTCAGGTTGTGCGTAGTGAATGTGTATTTGAGTGAGTGAAGGGTTTCGCTTTTTCGCACGACGGGTTCAAGCCGCCCACGAGCTATTGTTAGCAACGCGGAGCAGGAGCAACAAGGACGAAGACGGGAGTGGACGAGATCTGGCTAATCATGTCGCGGTGCCAAGTGCCCAGCATAGGTGCCGAGTGGTGGGAAAATATCAAGGACCGGGAAGCTAGGGGAGCCAAGCTTGGATTGGTTTTCAGCCAGGGGAGATAAGTGCAGGCGTTGTTTTTGTATCTCGCGTTTGGACGGTATGAGTGTGGTGTGGTAGATGTGTGGAGGAAAACGCAGATAGAGAAGAGGCGTTGGTGCGCCATCTATCTGTCGGCAGTGGACCCCGCATCATGTAGGATAAAGAGGACTCCGATGAACCAGCTTCGTCACCGTCAGACGCCAGCAGCTAACGAACCAGATAAACGTCACCGAAATCCTACTAGTTCGATCTGGGTCTCTGACTTGCTAGCAAAGGGAAACCCATTGTATTTTGGATCGATTATTCCCATTGAGTAGGATTAGCGAGAGACATGCAGCAGCCCTGGTCACTGAGTGCTACGGAGGGGACGAACTATGTCAGCATCATGAATTTCAAAACATGGGTTGCTTGGCTTGTGACATTTTTTCCCTTGCATTCTATATAAATCCTCTCATAATTCCCGCATCTATATTACCAGGAGGCGGAGATGCTTCCCTCACCTCCAAGGACATGGCCCAGCTACGCACCTTCCTACCACCCATACTACCCGCCACCAGCTGCAACCACATGCAATCACGCCAGCTCTCTGCATAAGGCTGACCTTGCAGCTGAAGGCGGGATAGTAGCAGCAAATATAGTCTGCGCGCGGTATTGAGGCTTCTGCAATACTTCCCCTATCTACCCACAGGTAGCTCTAGAACCCAGGCTCTCGCCCATCGTTTGAATAAAGACGGTGCACTCTTGCTGCGAACTCCGCCAACCTGCGCCTGGCCTCCGACCTTCAATTTGCCTTTTGAATTTAATATGTACTTTTTTTGTATTCGCTGCAGATTTCTGCTACTAATACTACGGTGCCTAAGGACATCCACGGCCAGTGCGCGGTTGCTCCCGACGCCTCGCTGCTCCTTGGAAGATCGTACGCATGCATCGCCTTCCTCTCCCAACTTGTTCCTCCAACATGGAACGCGAACGGAAAAGCAAACAAACAGAACTTGGGATGGAAACTGCCAACATCATGTCCAAACGAAAAGCTCTCGTCACTAGTAATAAGCACGCGGTACCTTTCCTCGTGCAGTCTAATACAACCTTGCTTTCACAAGCATTTCCCATAGGAAAAAATACTACTTCTCATCAACCCCTTTCCTAGTTGACGGAACGGAAATATTCAAGTCTCAATGTATGAGTTTTTGTCTCTGTCCGGCGCCGTGCCAGCGTGTACCCTGGTTCATCACGCTCAACCTGCCAGCCCCGCGTCTCAACGTCCTTTACCATGCACGTGTCAACTCCTATTCCTTCCTCCTCTTTTACATCTTGGCCCCTCGCACGGCCAGGGCATCCGCCGCCTGGTTCCCTCTATCCGATGAGTGGCCCTTGACCCACTCAAACTGCGTTGTGCCGCCGGCCTTGACGCGCTCCTCCATGCGGCTGAGCACCGCGCGGATAATATCCTGGTTCTTGACCGGCTCACCCGTGGCCGTGACCCAGCCCTTCTTCTTCCAGCTCGCCGCCCACTGCGTCACGCAGTTGATGGAGTACTGGCTGTCGCTGACAATCTGCACCGTCTGGCCCAGAGGGCACATTTGCAGCGCCCGCAGCATCGCCATCAGCTCCGCCCGCTGATTCGTCTGCGGCTCGCCCTCGAGTCGCTCCGAGATGTTGCGCGCGTCGCCCGGGCCGAAGAAGACGCCCACGCCCGCTCGCGCACCGGCCTTGCCGTTGGCTAGGCTGCTGCCGTCTGTGTACACCCGGATGAGGTCCGCCGGTGCCTGCGGGAGCGCGAGTGGCGGCGGTACCCGCGTCGTCTTGGTCGGCTTCTTCACTTGCGTCGGCACGTCAATTTTTGTCCCGCTGGATGTCGTGGCGGTGGGTCGTTCGCCGAGCGCCATGACAGCCTCCATGCTGCCATACTCGCGGATGTAGTCGACTGCTTCGGCGCGGCTGTTGAAGCGCTTGTATTTGGGTCCTTTGACGCCTTTTATGGCTTCCGCCGCGTCGTCCCATTCGTGAAATATGCCTGTCGGGTTGCCCACCGCAACCGCGTAAAACTTGGCCGGTCCTTCTGACGTTGTCGCAACCTTCTTGCCAGCCGCAAATGCTTCCGCGTCGGACCTCGAAATGAACGATCGAACTGTAAAACGCCAAGGGCAGCCATGTTAGTAAACGCGTAACCTGATAATTCCAACCAGCGAGAGTTTAAATGTCCCCGACGTACATAATGCTCCTTTGAACCCTGCCGTCTGCTGTGCGCACTCGACATAGGTTGTGTAGACACCCGGTCTGAAGCCGACCTGGACGGCGTAGAATTTTTGTACGTTGTCCGTTTTCCTCTTCTTAGAGGCGCTCGGCGAGGCCGTGGACGAAGTCGGCACAGTCGACGACGCCGCTGCTCGCTTCCTGTTCATCATGGACGGTGGCAACGCGGGTAGTGGGGGGTATCGGGAGGTCGTAGTCGTGGTGGCAATGGTGCGTCGTCTGGTTGTCGCAATGAGAGCGGGAGGAGCAGAGGCACTCAAATATACCTGCGTCGCAATTCGGTGTCGCGCGCAGGCAGGTGGCCGCGAAACGTATGGTGAAAGGTAGTAGGAGCGGCAAAGGGAGGAGGTTTGCATTGATTGCTGGGCAGGTATGAAGCCAACGCCTAAAGGAGTGATGCTGATACCGAGAAAAATGGCAAATGGCTACACAACCGCCATTGTTCTTGAAACGAGAGTGGGCAAGCGATCGTCGTGATAGCGTCTTGTAGCAGTGCAGTCGTCAGAGGCCCGCGACTGCTCAAAGGGCAGAAATTCTTCAATCCCAAGGTCAACTGTTTTGTTGTGGGGTGTTGGACTCTTTGGAAACGCGAAAGCTTTGGTATGGGCCGGCCTTGGCTAAAGTGGCGGTAGCCCGAGGCGCCCGCCCCGCGCTACAGGACGCCCCCCCGGCTTGCCTTGCCAACAGTACAATGAACGGCCGCTGAACAAGAGATATATACCAAGCACGAAATGACTCAAACATTCACAATCGTGTTAGTATACCACAGTGTTTTTCATTATAATGTACAAGTCTCATAGCTCCAGCAAACCCCAGTATTGGCTCCAAAACTTCGTCACTCGCCAGCGCCGGTCCTATGTACCTCGCGCGGCAGAACCTCCATGCCCGTCCACTGACAGCCTTCCCAGATACTCGTAGCACTCCTCGATCCAGCAGGGACGAGACCTTGTTCAAGCTGCAACATGTAAAAATGGAGTATGTCAATATTTCCGCAGCAGTAGCCGTAGCAATAGCATAATATGCGGTGCTCAGAGCCGCAATGTCCTTCAAACAGAGCCAACGAGTCTGAAATTGACCCAGGAGGCGGTAATCCTAAACATGAGTGGTCGGGTCCAAAGTCACCAGGTCAAAATTAGCATCTTGCTCCAGCTCCCAGGCCAGCAAGCTCCAATTGAGCTCCCGCCTCCAGAAGAGACCCAACCCTCTTCCGCCTCCGTCAGGACGATCGTCTGAACTCAAGCCACCAGTTCTTGGCATGTGGTTGCAGAATACCACCTTGCCCATTCTGGCGTGAAGAATAGCCATTGAACATGCCACACAAGGTTCATGCGTCATGTAGAGCTCCAGCCCATGACACAAATAGCCGTCCTTATTCGGGTGCTCCTGTAGGAAGCACTGCTTCTCAGCGTCGAGAATCGGTCCGTCATGAAAAGCGTCAAACTCGAGCGTTGGCAGATCTAAAGTCAGATCCGCGGCTTGCCTCTCATGACGAACAAGCTTTTGTGCGACCATGCTAATAACACGGAGGACACAGTGCGCCATGGGATTGCCGACGTCTCCGAGCAGGGGATCCTGATGCCAGCGCGCATCGCCTGCCACGGCAACAAGCTGGGCGCCATGCTCATCTCTCTGCACAACGACCGCTCCTATAGCTTCTCCCAAACCTTTACCCTTGGCGTCGTCTGCCACGCGCTGGGCCAACGTCATCCACATGATCGAATCGTCCTTGATCTCGTCAGTACCTCTGGCCACTATGCTAGGGTGCGGTCCCAAAGGGTTGTTCTTCCGATAGACCGTTGGCCAGAACTGTGAGGACCACATAGCAGCCTGAATTTGTGACGTCGGGGCCACAAGTGGGACTGGGACCGTGGAAATCCAGATGTCCAGCCCTTCAAGGAGGCTGACAGTGGAAAGTGTCGCTGCCAGCTCTTCTTCTGTGGTATCCGAGGCTTCACAACACATGATATAGAGCCACATTGATTTTGCAAAGTGGACCAGACGGCCTTCAGGGGTTTCGTTCATGAACTTCGTCTTTAGATGGGCAGGCAAGTCCGCGGGCTTTGCACATCCTCGCAGATGAGGTAGGGGGTTAGCGCTACCACCAGGTCGCGTAAGACGCAATGCACTGATATCATGGTAAGCTTCCGAGCACAGGGCCATCGGTTCGATGGGAGCAACTCACCCAAGGACTTCGGCAGCAGCCTTTGCTGGAACTCTAGTGATGAAAGCCGGGACAATGGTATGGTCTTGTCGAACCTCTTGTGTTGTTTTCAGAGGAATTAAAACGCCGGTCTTGGGTTGAAGAGACTTGATATCATCAATCAAGGGGTTCGGCAGGACCCCAGCGGTGAACTGTGATGCTGGTACAGCGGCCACCGAGGCACTGTGCTCTAGATCCCGGTCCATGCTGTCTCCGTTCATGTTGAAGTTTGTGGCTGGCGGCTAGACAATCTCGAAAGGTGTTCAAATCACCACTGCAATAGCCCAGGAAAACTTTGAATTCTCGACGGCGATGCAGCTGATGATAGATGTCTTTGGTTGGGCAAGCAGTGTACGACTTGGGTGCTCTCTTTCTGCGGTAGTGGCCTGGGGGGTGCTGATTTTATAGCAGCCTGAGCTCGTTCCCGTTGCCCGCCTCCTGGTTCGTTCTGCTGCAGCTGCGGCTGCGGCATACGAGAAAACAGCAGTGTAACTGGAAGGAGTGCTCCCGATGGAGCCTGGCGTTCGATCGTACTCCTTCGGCCGCAGTCCAGGCGATGGTAGTAAGCTCTATGATTTTGTGACCGCGTCTTGGAATACCAGGCCAAGAGAGGCGAATGGTTTGATGCAGGAGGGACAATTGCTGCGCGTGTTTGCGTCTGTAAAAGATACGGCCTGTTGTGCTACAAACAGACTTTTTTTTGGGCAACAGGCAGGCGCCCGGCAACGATGCGAGGGGTTGCCAGTACCGCAGACTACTACAGAATCGCGGGAGGGTTGTATCTTTTTGCTTCCGATATCCGATTAGACGAGAACAGGCGAATGGTTGTGCTTCTTGGGATTGTTCATGATCCAAAGGTTTGATGTTCTGCAGGAATTTTTGTGGAGCTGGCAGCGAAGCACGATGCCTCGCACTCCCGCCACTTGCTGATGGCTTTTGAGGGCACAAGTAAAACCAGCAGTGAAACTTGCATCTCAACCGCTTCGAGAATGCTTTCCGTCTCTCACAATGTCTTCGATAGACCTGTTTCTTGGTTGATGGTCCCGGATCCCTCGTATTGGTCTGTTGGGCCTGTAAGCCCTGAAAAGCGCCAGTCACAGCAGCTTATCCTGCATGGAATTTGTTGAGGTTTTTGTGCAGCGCTTAAACCTCTTCAATCTTCATCTAGAAAAGCAAAATATGCCCAATCAGTCACTCGCAGCGCGTCCTTGGTGGGATGCATCTCGGGGTAGAATATCCGGTCTACGGGTAACAATGGCTCTGGTCAGGCACTGCACTGGATGCGGCCAACATTCGACCAAAACCTTGCTCTCCTGAGGACGCCAGACGAGATAGGCAATTTTTACCAAAGAGACAGTTACCTCTTGGCTGTTTCTTGACATGACCAGATAAGTGAACAGTGCTAAGAATAAAAGTAAGGAGAAGGGAGTACAGGATAGAGCAGAACAAGATAACAAGCTGTTACTTCAAGGGCAATCCGACGTCTGGGTAGTGCGTCACCTATTATTAACAGCCCACGTTTTGGCATGAATGGCGCAGAAGAAGCACGACTGCACTGCCGTGACTACGGATACCACACCACCTCGACTTTCGACCTTTGACTATCATTTATTATTGATTAATAATTAATAATGGTACGCTACCGTTATTCGTAGTGTTTCTGTTTATTAAGAGCGGTCCGACAATGTTTCGTACTCGCAACGCATGACAGGGACCACCTAACCAATAATTTAAGCATAGACTTGTGTCTTAAAAGTTAGGACGGGGGGTACCGCCAACCCGGGACATTCAAGCGGCAAGTTTGTTGAGGAATACCGGGTGTTTCAGTCGAAAGGGGCAAAGTTTGCTGATATTGGAGTTGAATCTCGGTGGACACGGAGTCACGGACCAAGCCAAGGGTAGATGGCGGGATCTCGGGCGAAGTGGCTCTGAGAGAGGAGGATAACTAGTTACATAGATGCGCCCGCCGGATTGGTCTCCCAAGGTGGAAGAGAACCTTGTGAAGAGACTACGTAGGATGGGATGGTACGTAGCAGTGGATATTGTAGTGAATCCATCGTGAAAAGAGGAGGCTTCCCCAATTTGCCCTAAAAAGAAGCTGGCCGACGGAAGGACGGGCTCCACTGATAAGGCGAAAGAATCGAGCTGGAATTTTGTAGGCTGTAGAACATGGATGCGTGGGTAACATGGATTCGCCTGGAGCTAAGCAGTTGGAGTCGTTATCTCTGTGCAATAAAGTATCAGGGACGCCGCGCCATGAGCTGGATTTGGATGGACCCTTATATGCGGAGTAACAGTGACGGATACACGGATACATACTACTTGCTCAGGATGAGAAGCGGCGTCCACAACACATATGTAGGTGGAGGAGGAGGTGGCATTACAGATGCTGTAGCCAACCTGTCCGAATCTGCGGAGCGGGGTGTTGGAGAAGTAGAGCACGCGCCAGTGGACATAATAATTCGTTAACTACATTGACACTGGAGGCGCGAAGTGAAATGGCCCGAAGGCGCGCGGTGGCGCCGCCAGTGACTGCTTCATCATGTCCGCTATCGGCATACCGCCGCGGCGAGACATGCTTTTGATGCTAGTGCAAGCAACCATGCTTGTACGCCATTGTTTCTCACTACCTACATGGGAACATGACGTTGCGCGGCATTTACGAGCGCGGGGAAGATTGAGGGGACGGGGAATTGACCTGCTCTTTGCGCGCCAAACTTGGTCCGCCGTCGAACAAGACAAGTGAGGTGCTGAGGAGAGTAATAATAGGCACGATGCGCGCAAGAAGAGCATGTAGCTTACGAGCCCCGAGTGGCCGTTCCGGTAATACTCCGACCATAACTACTGTGTTATACGGCAACATGGGGTGCATATGGACAGGTAGACTGACCTGTACATTGACATGCACTATTAGTGGGCAGCATGTAGCGGTAGTGCATGTCCAAGATGGCTGGTGGTGGGTGAGATGATGGGGCGAATGCGTGTCCCATCTGCTACCTTTAAGCAGCATCGCATCGCATCACATCGCATCACATCGTGACAGAGCTCCTCGTTTCGGGGAGCCGTCGGACAGGCTGCTACCAAAAGATGGGACACGTAATTGACTTGGTTTCGTCCCGGGCTTGATCCTCCTCTCCGTGCTTAGTAGAACTTGACAAACAAAATTAAGGATTTCGCAGAAAAAAAGAAATAAGAATAAGAATAAAGAAAGTATCAGACGAGTCACAGCTGCAACACGCGATCTACCACTATTTTCTTTTACTACTGTGATATCGCGCCGGCCGCTTATTCTTAGTGTGGTGTGACACACGCGTAGGTGCAATGTGGAACAAGAGCTTAAAAAAAAGAGAGCGTTACGTGGGCAGTCGCATGTACATGCGTCGTGTCTCTTGACAAGCCATGATCCGCGCAGGAGAGGGTGTTGCTGGTTTGAATCAGTGATCCGCGCAGGAGAGGGTGTTGCTGGTTTGAATCAGGGTCTCTGGTTGCGAGACATGAGACCGGGCCTGATCGCATGCCGAGATGCACTCTTGTTTTGGCGGCCGCCGTGCCTGTGTTTGTGGATAGGGCCAAGAATTCTGACACGGGGAAAGTCATCATCCCAGGCATTCACATTCAGGGTTGCGAGGGTTGGGGCAGTCGGGTCAATGCCCCGAAAGTGGCTTGTGCATGCCAAGTAAGAAAGTTGCCAAGTAAGAAAACTTCCTTTGCAATCGGCGGCGCCACTAGTTTTGTTTAGTTGAATGGGTTGGATGGTGAGCCATACAAGTTGTGGTGGTGGTGTAAAGTCAAAAGGCGACAGGCCGCGTTGTTTTTTAGTAAGGTAGTTAGCTAGCCCTGTGTGGGCGACTTTTATTACTCGACGCCCTCCCCCAACCAACTGACGCGGGGTGCTTTTTTTTTTGCTCTTCGTTACACTTTCTGCGTGGTCGATATTAACTCTTCCATTTTTTTTTTCTATTCTTGGATATTTATTCCATTTTCGCCTCGCCTCCTCCCTCGATCTCGCTTGCCGCTGATCCTTCAGGTCTGGTTATCTGGTTGTTTCAGCGCCGTCACACGTCATACTGCATGCCCTGCCTAGTTGCGCTTGGCAGACGACTTGTTGACTCGGGCTCTTCTTCCTGCTTTGATTCAGCAGAGTTCAAAAGGCCCAACAACGACACGACTTTTCCAGCAGAAGAAAGAAACCATCTGCTCTTCTGCACACGCAACTGGGATTTTCTCTCTTTTCTCTCTCTCACACACAAACTGGGTCACAACTCGATAGCCAAAGTCTCCATTTCAACACAGAACCACTTCGACTTACAAGAACTCCGCCTAGTTCGACTATCTCGAGTCAGCGGCGCCACCCCATCATCAATCGTTTCCAGCAGGGTTCCAGGGCTTCCAGCGGTGCCGAGTCCCCTGAAAGACGCCTCATTCTCACCTTGTCCCCAGTGGGCAGTCCCCCCGCCCAGTCACTGAGCTTGTCTCTCCCACGGGGCCGGTCTCGCAGCTTCTCCAATTGTCAACCTCCAAAACCCTCAAAAAGCGACTTTAGCGCCTTCCATTGGCCATCCCTCACTGAACCGCTGAACCCACCAAGTTCTCACCGAACCATCCGCTAAATCGCCCTCTTTTTCTTCGGTGTTGTCGGGGTCCTTGCACCGACCACTCCCTGCCTACTAAGGTACCTCACGTTATTCATAATACTACAGCCCATTTGCCTCAGGTGGCTCTCGAACAGGCAGCACCTTTTTTTTTATACTTTTTCTGTTGGCGCGCGCTGGCCGCCCACAACCTCTGGCCTCGATGCCTTCCGCTGTGCCTGTTGCCCAAGCTGGTGTGTCATCACTCTCCTTTCTACCTCTCTTTCTCTTTATCTACCTCTCTTTCTCTTTATCTACCTCTCCTTCTCTTTATCTACCTCCTGCTCTTTGTTGCCCCGACTATTCCCCTTCCCTTCTACCCATCATCGCCTTCTTTACGCGACCACACTTTTACATCTCTATTTGCGCTCTGTTTCTTACTCCTCGCTACCGCAGACTCGGGATCACGATTTGCCCAACTCTCATCCTTGGCCAAACTTGCCATGAACAACCATCTCGGCTCCTCGCCACCAAACTCGCTATCGCCCACCATTCTTTCACCAGAGAATCAGCTTTCTGTCCAGAACCTTGCAAACGATGTAGCCTTGACGCAACCTCGTCCTCCCACTTCGGCTCCTGCCTCTGCCATGGCCGCCCTCCTGCGTGGCACCAACGACTTGACTGAGACGCCACCCTTCCCGCGCAGCGTTGGTTCGACTGCGCCCAGTTCTCCGCGAATGTCAGTCGCCACCACAATGCCTAGAGCTTATTCGGCAATGAAGTTCATTGTCGCATTAGTCTCGCCTTCGCAATTAGTATGTTTTCGGACGCTAACAATGTGCGCAGTCCTCCCCATCGTCAAAATTCTGGATGTCAAACGCCTCGAGTCCGCCCCCATGCAACTACCCTCAACATCCCGGGTATGACGAGATCCCGCGTCTCGCCAGACGGCCGAATCCCCCATCGAGATGTAGCCGCGAAGCTTGTCATTATCATGGTCGGCTTACCCGCCCGTGGAAAGTCCTACATCACCAAGAAGCTGCAACGCTACTTATCCTGGCAACAACACGAGTCCAGAATCTTCAACGTTGGCAACAGACGCCGAAATGCCGCCGGAATCCGCGTCTCGGTGCAAGCCAGACTTAGCCCAGAGCATCCTCGCCTCGACGGGCCCGTCCATGCCGCCTCGATTCTTCTCAATGGCCGACCTGCGCCCATGCCCATGGCTGGCGCCGATGACACCCCCACCGATCTGGACCTCAATAACACCGATGACCAAATGGACCAGTCTGCCAAGTTCTTTGACCCCAAGAACGAAAGGGCCTCTGCTCTGCGCGAGCAGGTCGCCATGGAGACCCTAGATGAGCTGCTCGACTACCTTCTCATTCAAGGTGGCTCCGTCGGCATTTTTGACGCCACCAACAGCACTATTGCTCGCAGACAACACATTGTCAACCGCATCAGAGACCGCGAGCCTAAGCTCGGAATTCTCTTCATCGAAAGTATTTGCAGAGATCCCCTACTTCTCGAAGCCAACATGCGACTCAAACTTTCTGGTCCCGACTACCGTGACAAGGACCCTAAAAAATCGCTCGAAGACTTCAAGAACCGTGTCGCTGCTTACGAGAGCGCCTACGTCCCACTCGGACAGTATGAAGAAGAGAACGATATGCAGTATATTCAAATGGTTGATGTCGGTCGGAAACTCGTCCAACACAGACTCAAGGGTTTCCTCAGCGGCGGAATCAGCACCTACCTATCCAGCTTCAACTTGGCACCCCGCCAGATTTGGATGACGCGGCATGGCCAGAGCATTGACAATGAGCTCGGCAATCTCGGTGGTGACTCGCCGCTTACCGAGCGCGGCCACTGCTATGGCGAGTCTCTCTACCGCTTCATCACGCAGAAGCGCAAGGAGTGGATCATGGAGCAAAAAAGCAAGATGGCGCAAGCCAGCTTCCCGCCCCTTCCAGGTGACAACACCCCACCATACCCAGATATGAACAGGGAGATGGACGAGAAGAACTTTTGTGTTTGGACCTCGATGCTTCAGCGCAGTGCCGAGACTGCCGAGTACTTTGAGGCAGACGACGATTACGATGTCAAGAACTGGGAGATGCTCAACGAACTCAATACTGGTCAATTTGAAGGCATGACGTATGAAGAAATTGCCACAAAGCACCCTGACGAGTTTCACAAGCGCTCCGAGGACAAGCTCAACTACATTTATCCTGGTGTCGGTGGCGAAGGGTACCTCCAGGTTATTAGCCGTCTCCGTGACATGGTCCGTGAGATTGAGCGCATCACCGACCATGTACTCATCATCGGACACCGCTCCGTCTGCCGTGTTCTCATGGCCTACTTTATGGACCTCACCCGCGACGATATCACCGACATGGATGTTCCCCTCGGCATGCTCTACTCTATTGAGCCCAAACCCTATGGCATTGCTTTCCATGCCTACAAGTACAACGAGGTGCAGGGCTGGTTCGACGAGCTCCCTCATTACAGGCCCCAAAAGGCGGCCCGCGGTACTGTCTAGGCGAGACCGTCATAACGGCTCGACCTTAACGACGTGTACAACAAACAGACCTCAAACAGAACGAGGTCAAGGAGTAATGGTGTTTTCATTACGTTTAGGACTTCATTTTTTATAGAACGTGGGGGATTTTTTACGGCAAGTTTCACAAATCACACTGTGCAGCAACAGAAAAGGGAACCACAGGAAAAAGACCTTGCAACGCCGCCGCATACACCAAACGCAAAAAAGCATTATGCGATATACCCAAGACTGTTTTTATTAGACTTCCCGCGACAGACATGCGGGAACAACCCCCTACACCATGATACCAACGGCGTTGTTTGCTTTTCTTCTGTTTTCCTGTTTCTTTTGCGGCGAATCAGAGTTGTGGGCAAAACTTTGTACTGTTATATGAGACTGTTTTGTTTGGGTTGCTTGTTGTTTTTTTTTTTGGCCCTCACATGCGCCTGGGTACTCTGGAGTGAACTCTGATGATGATGATTGCGATGGTCTCTCTCTACTTTTAGCTTTTCTTAGGCAGTTTGTTATTTTAGCGAATACTGTGTTACAAACCTTCTTTTACGCTTGTGCTTTGTGACTTTTCAAAGGCGAGTTGTTTCTAGACAAAATAGATAATGTGTGATTTGTTACCTTGTTAAAACACGGAGGGATACGGAAAAATAAAATCTGATATTTTCATACAAACGAACGCCATGCAATGCTAATAATTCCACAAGAACAACTCCCAATACTGTTTTCCGCCCTGCCCCCGTTATTTTTCCCTCGACAAGATCATCTTCTGTCTCTCGCTCTGCCTCTTCTCAAACTGCTTCTTGGTGTGCTTGCGCTCATTCTCCTCCTTGCGCTTGATGCTCTGGAGCTCGTCCTTCTTGATGCTAGCCGCCTTCTTGACCACCTCAGGGACGTGCCTGTGGCGGCTGATGCGGCGAATCTCGGGCATGTGCCCGTAGCGTTCGACCAGCGCGTCATTGTACTCGAGCGCCTGGCGCTGGCGCGACGACTTCATGCCCTGGCGCGCCGACGCCTTGGCGCGCCACAGCCGCACGTTGCCGTCGTCGGAGCCGGACAGCACGTACTGCGCGTCCGGGGTCCAGCGGGCGGCCATGACGCGCTGCATGCGCTTGGTGTGGTAGACGTCGCGCGAGTGGCCGTCCTCGCGGCGCCAGAGGCGCACGGTGCGGTCCCAGGACGCCGTCACGAGCTCCAGGCCGGTCGGGGAGAACTCGACGTCCAGGATGGCGGCGACGTGGTCCTTGAAGACGTTGAGGGCGCGGTCGAAGCGCCGCATGTCAAAGAGGTACGCGTTGTGGTCCTCGGACGCGGTCGCGAGGTTGAAGGCCTCCATTGGCGACCACGCCACGCGGTTGGTGGCAAATTTGAGCACCGTCTTGGCGACGGGGGTGGACGTGCGCAGGTCGTACAGCACGATAGAGCGGTCCGTCGCGCACGACGCCAGGATCGACGTCTCGACCTGGTTGAACGCCACGTCGGTGATGGTGTCGGTCGACGTCGGCCACCTGAGCATCTCGGGCGCCGCCGTGTGCCGCTCCAAGTCGTAGATCGAAATGACGCTCGACGCCGCAGCAAAGGCCGCGCGCGAGCGGTGGTGCGACAGCGACGTGAACGCGCCGGCGCCGAGCCACGAGGACAGCGGGGCCGCGCCGCTCGGCGTGTGGTACGGGTCAAACAGCTTGACGGTGCGATCCGCCGCGCAGGTCAGCAGCTTCCGGTCGAGCGTCCAGGTCATGCCCTTGACGATGTTCTCGTGTGCTGTCGTGTGCCACGCCTCCTCCTTGGTCGCCAGGTTGAAGACCTTGACCACGCCGTCGCCACTGCCACTCGCAAAGTGGTCGAGCGAGTTGGGGTCCTTGGCCATGGAGTAGACGCCGTCGACGTGGCCGCGGCCGAGCTGGGCGATGAAGGGCGACGCGTGCAAGCGCTCGAGCTTGACGGCGTTGAGGGCACGCTTGTACTCGCGGGCGCGCTCAAACGGGTGCAGCGCCGGGTCGAGGTTGCGAGACTGCCTGGGGGCGTCGGAGCCAGGTGCATGTTGTGCGGCCACCGACCGGCTGATGGCCTTGACCTTCATTGTGGGAGATTGTCGGATTAATCGATCGGGTGCGTAGTAATAAGAAATCGAGGGGCGTCGGTTTCGGTTCCTTGCTTCTTAAAGTTTGATATAAATGAAGGACTTGGTTGTAACAGTTTGTCAAAAAAAGTCGGCCATCGTCCAAAAGTTTGGAGGTTGGTGGGGATATTTTTTTCTTATCGCCCTGTTCTGCAGGGCGATAAGCGGGTTGTTGCGCTTAGTCATGTTGCGCTACAGTTGGTAGCCTGGAGGCGCGAGCAAGCGCAGAGGTTGCTGAGCAAGGCAAGTTCTTGAATCGACGCCTGTGATAACACGAAAACCGCGACAACGCTCTGTGTGACGACCACTTGTGCGCTAGCGTGCAGCTCTTGATCCGAAATTCACATTCGAGATACAATACACGTTGCTTCTTGACCATTTCCCACTCAATCGCCGCAGCGCGCGTGCGCAAACTTGAAGATGGACGGCATGAACTACGAGCCGATGATGACGGATGAGGATGCGGAGCAGCCTCGTGTGACGATTTTGGCGGTAGGAAAAGCTCGAGTGAAAGCTGTGCGATGAGGACCTTGCTAATCCCAGGCCACCTGGCCCCTGTCCCTTTGCAGGCCGATAGCACAAAAGTCGAGTTTGTCCTGGCGAAGACGAGCCTCGCCTTTGCCAACTCCCTGCGTCGCGTCATCCAGGCCGAGGTACCCACAGTGGCCATTGAGCTGGTCGAGATTGAAGTCAATACGTCGGTGCTAGCCGACGAGTTCATCGCGCACCGACTGGGCCTGATCCCGCTCGACTCCAAGGACGTCGACGAGCTCAACTACTCGCGCGACTGCGACTGCGACCACTACTGTGAGCAGTGCAGCATCACGCTCACGCTTCACGCCAAGTGTACCACGGACGAGAACATGAAGGTCTACGCGCGCGACCTCATCGTCGACGGTCGCCACGCCACGTCCATTGGCACCCCCGTCATCAACGACCCCGACGGCGTCGGCTGCCTGCTCGCCAAGCTGCGCAGGGACCAGGAGCTGCGGCTCAAGTGCGTCGCGAAAAAGGGCATCGCTAAGGAGCATGCCAAGTGGATGCCCACGTCGGCCGTGGGTTTCGAGTACGACCCGCACAATAAGCTGCACCACCTGGACATGTGGTTCGAGAACAATACCGATCCCGACAAGGAATGGTGAGTCGATATATGGATCCGCATGTGGACGTTGCTAGAATGGAAGACTGACTGTTGTGTGTAGGCCAAAGAGTAAATACGCGGGGTGGGAGCCGGAGAACAAGGGTGAGCCGTTCAACTACGACGCCGTACCGGAAAACTTCTTCTTCGACGTCGAGACCTCGGGCAGTATGGAGCCCGACCAGATTGTGCAGAGCGGCATCCGCGTGCTGCAGCAAAAGATTGGAGGCCTGCTGAAGAGCCTCGATCCGCGCAAGTACGGCGGCGAGGAGGCAGGCGGCGGCGGTGGTGGCGACTTTGACGGACCTCGTAGCCCGGACATGAACTTGGAGGGCGGCACCACACCCTGGCAGGACGGCGGCTACACGACGCCGTACGGAGGGGGCAACACGACGGCCTATGGCGGCGGCGGCGGTGGTGGTGGCGGCAACACGGCTTACGGCGGTGGTGCGGGATACGGTACCACACCGTACGGCGGGTCGAGTTGGCAATAGTTGGGTTTCGGCGGGGATATTGTGTACCAAGATTTTGGGGCATATTTGGGTCGAGAAACGGATGAAAATGAACTATCTCGGCGTTTTATGTTTTGCGAACGTTTTTTGGGGTACCCTTCTCTTTGTTCTCATGTGACTAATTGGTTGGCGTCGTTTTCCTTTTTGTTTATAATACCGGGATTCAGGGTCGTTGTACAGTAATGATATAAATCACGAAAACAGCATACAGTGAATGAATAGAAGGTGGTTCTCGGACGGGCTGTGAGCAGCAAGTGTGCTTCTTGACGGAGACAATGCTGATATGTCTCGTGCAAGTGGTGGTTGGCGACGAGCTTCCTGTCATGCACTATTCAACAGCATGGGCAAAACTGACACTGCCAATCAAGGGCTAACTTTCTAGTCTCTGCTTAACAACGACATGACACTGAGGGAACCACGACGACAGGCGTGACCAGGGCGATTGAAGTATAAATTCTATATCATGATAGCAAGTCTACATAGAGTGCAGCAAAAAGAATTGCCCATACCATTATTTCCAATATCAGCCATCGCTGGCATTTGCGTGTGCTCGTCAGAATAACAAAGGCAACTGTCTGCCAAAACAAGTCTCAGATCCGTATCCGTAAGCGCAAAGAAACCAAAACGCCATCTCGAATGCTCCATTCTATAATCCCATGCCGCACTTTTTTCTTTCATCTAAACCCATTGCTAGCTCTACTCCTTGCCATCGTCGATCCCTTTGGCCGCTCTATACAACTTGCGGTGCGCTTCTAAGAAGAGAAATGTGCAAATAGTGTGCCTATCAGTGGGTGTTAGCAGTGTGGCCTTGTGTCAAAGGTGTGTTCAGTTTTGTTACGTACGGTCCGAGTCGCAGGAAACTGGGGACCCAGCCCTTGAACATCCAGCGCATGCCCTCGGTGCGGGAAATGTCGCCAATGACCTGCACGATGCCCTGTTTCTTCGACGACGACATCACGCGCGTCTTGATGACATCGATGGGGCTTGTGGCCGTGGCCGCCGCCAGGCCGGCGAGAAATGACGCGGTAAAGTGCGTCGTCATGGTGTCGCCCAGGGGTGTGTACTCGAGCAGCAGGCGCTTAAAGGTGTCGTAGGTGGCGAGCTGGCCGGCCGTCATGACGGCAGCGCGGCTCGCGTTGGGCAGCCAGCCGCGAAAGTAGCTCGAGACGAGGCCCTCGTCGCGGGCCATGCGGACCATGCCGTCGAGGGCGTTCTTGTAGTTGCGGCGCTGGGCGGGCGGCAGCGCGGCGTCGTGCTGCATGCGCACGTTGAGCACGTCGGCAAAGTTGCCGGCGACGCCGCCGAGGAACCCCGAGGTCATGGCCATGGCCGTCAGGGCCGGGAAGCCGGCGGTGCGCCCGGTGCGGGTGTAGCGCGTCTTGAGCTCCTCGTAGACGCCGAAGCGCACGGTCGAGTAGGTTAGCTGGCGCAGGAGCGAAGCGGAGATGCCAGAGTATAGGCCGATGAGGCCGTCGTTTTTGAGAATGTGGACAAAGGTGCCGCTCATGTTTTGGGGGGCGTTGCCTTGCCGCGTTTGCAATCGGACCTACGGCGCAGGTTCACGTTAGTCTTCTTCATTTTATTTTTGGACAGTCGCAGACGGTATCATGGCCAATGGCTCAAAACTTGAGCTCGAATAGAGGGAGGGGTGTCGCAAATGTCGTACCTTGACTAAATGGAGGGTTAGCAAACAACGTCATCGGGAAGCGCCTGACCGGCGATCGGACGACGATAGAGAGACGTACCCAAATCTAAGGGATGCGTGACGCAGGCGGCCAAGCTGCTGGCGCTGCCGCCGAACCAAAAGGGATAGCGAATGGCGGGCGCGACCGTCTTCTTCTTGGGGCTCGTCTGCGCCGGCAGCCTTGAGGCCGATTCCTGTGCCGAGCTGCTCATGTTGGAAAACAGGTCTTTGCGATGCAACAAATTGGGCAGCGCAAACAGGAGAGATGAAGGAGGGGAAAGGGAGGGGAGGGCGAGAAACTACCGCGACATGCCGTTGTCAGTAGTTTTGTAAGCACGGCTGCAGGTTTGTCCCAAAATGTCGTGCGACGCAAAAGGGAAGGGAAGTCAAAAAAGGTATCAAGCTGGTGAGAGCAAGGTTTAATGATATCGGGCCAAGGCTCGTTTTGTCTCGGCAGAGCGCCGCTGGCGCCGAGCTGGAGCCGTCTAGGCGGAAAAGGAAAGCAAAGTACCTGAAAAAAATTGGAAAAGCTGGGCCTGTGGTTCGCTGGGAGAATTCCGCGGTCCACTGTCGTCATCACTTTATAGCGGTTGTTTTTAGTGCACCACGCCCCGGGTGACCAGAAGTAGGTCCGGACTCGTTTGGTGCAGTCAATCTTGTCATTGAAATTAACACGAGTAGCGTCAATATTCTGAACGACGGGGAGAGTGCTTTCAAAAACTTCAATTTCTCGTCGATCGCTGTTTGTGCCGTGGCGGACCTACTGTCCGGCGTCATCGGCGTTGTCGCCGACAGCTAGCTTCATTCCGAACCGCCGTCCACTGATAAGCGTACGTGAATGCCATAGCCGGCGGGCAATTCCGTGTTCTCCAAAGGCCTCTGTCCCAAGAAATTGAATGCTTTTCCTTCTCTGCGCTTATTAGGTTGGTGTACTGTATTACTTCCAAGTCACTAACAGCTCTCGGGACAAACTACTCATCTTCGCTGTAGTAGAGAGCGCCTCTCTTTTCAGGTCTGTTTAACATACCTAGGTACCCAAGTACATCTCCTTACCCTGCACCAACAACAGGCTGGAGAGCTTGGATCGAACCTGATCAATAATATACTTCTCACATCCAAATAATCTTCGCGCATGTCAAGATATTTCCAAAAGTGTATTTGAGAAGAAAGCGATCATCCAATACCTTCATCTCAGCTACTCTGGACTTGGGAGGGATTCGACAAAATCAGCCACTTTGGATGCAACAGCCCAAGCACTCTCCTCAAACCCGAAAAGATGGCCAACAAAATAGGTGTCGTGTACCGCATGCTGCTCATAATTTACTTCCATCTTATTACCTTGGACTGATCTCATCTCATTGGTCCATTTCTCTATCTGTCGGAACAGGACTTCATCTGTTCCCACATTCACAAACCAGGGAACAGGTGTCAAGTACGGATGACCTAGCTGCGCCATATATGGACTCTCAGAAGGGTTGGCGTGCGCACCTGCGTATGCACTCGAACCCCAAGCTATCATGTGTAAGCGCGTGCATTCAAAACGGTAAACTAGACAATGTCGCTGTGTAGACTTACCTCCATATGTCCCTGGTACAAAGTCCGTGTCGCGTTGCGGATTGCCCTCCGTCTCGTGTTCGAAAGGATTGACCCAAGGGGAGAACAGTACGGCGCACTTAGGTAGCGGCAGATCAATGGCAGACCCATAATCGTTCAGGTACCGTATCAAAGCTGCCGCCAGATTTCCGCCTGCACTGTCGCCAGAGATGATGATTTGTCGTGGCGATATCTTCCGTTCGCGAATCAGAAACACATAGGCGGCGACTGCGTCCTGCAGAGCAGCGGGGAAAGGATTCAAGCCACCATAACCCGACAAACGGTATTGCAATGAGAAGACCAGATCGGCAGTACCCTTTGTCAGGAAGTAGTCGGCGATCTTGGCACACGTACTCGTGCGACCGTCTCCTTGGACAAAGGCGCCGCCGTGGAGGTAGAGAACCACATTGCCAGATATCGAGTGCGATGCGGGAATATCAGGATACCACGTTCCTCCAACTTGCGCAGGTTGAACCTGATTCAACAGCAATGGACCTTGGTAAATCTTCGTAGTAGTTGGAACAGGCACTAGTTCGAATCTCCTTCCCTCTTTACCAGGAGTGAGGGCGAGCTTCTCTGTGATGCCAACACGAGAAATGACTCCTAGCACTGGCTTCGCCATGCGAGTCATGAAGTTCTGTTTGGCATTCCACTTTGGGTTGGCACGAAGCCGCGGGAACAGCGACGTTACCACATAGTAAGGTAACCGTAGGAGAATTGTGACGGAAACGTAGACTTGAAAGAAGAGCCTGAGGGGTTGGTAGGATAAGAGGGGGTGTCGTTTTATGGCCGCCATTGTGACTTGGTAAACATAATAGTTCAAAAGCTGACTTGAAGGAACGACAGCTACATATATATATATTGAATCACTTTGAAACTGAATGATCGATTGCTGCCAGAAATGAATTACTAATGACTTTTGATTGGTAAGGTGATGGAGTCAACCGAGGATCTAAGAACGGCGCCCGAGGACCCCGTCAACTTTCAAGGTCACTTGGAACACTAATACCTACATAGTTAACTATTTGCAGGTGGACCTCGAGCGGCGGCGGACTTTCAAGAACAACAACTCCCCTTCTCACCGGTTCACTGCTACAGGAGAGCTGTTCGTTTGCGGGGCTGGTTAGACTTGATGTCATATCGGCGCATCATTTTACAGCTTCCGCAGACAGGTCGATAAATGAAAATACGATTGTTGAAGCTTCAAGGAAGATTCGCAATAGTAACTATTAGATGGAAGGGAGGTTGGTTGGTCGCGAGTGTGCTAGTTTGAAGAAGTGGTACCCCCCACAAAAAACCCCGTCGGAGTTTGATTCCGAATCGACTTCACGGGAAGCTGCTTGTCGTGTCAGCGCAGCCATTGACCAATCAATCCACCCCTGCGAGAGCTGCTCAAAACCTTAGCTCCAGCTCAGACTGGACCCTGACAATACTGCATCACAACATTTTCATTGCCATTGTGCAGTATGGCCTGTCGCATGGGCGCCGTGCGCCTCCTTACGCGAGCTACTGCATCACCCAAGCTGTGGCCACTTAGGCTCATCCCTCTGCGACAGTTGCTGCCGACGAGAGCCTTCTCATCATCTAGTGCGCAAAGCCCATCTTCGACCGTCCTCGCTCCTCTAACCATGCCGTCCGCTCAGCACATCACCAGTCTGGCGTCACGCCCAAGATACCCTCCACAGTCACCATCCGCGGACACACGTGCCAAACCGATCCCTCATGGTTCAACATCCCCGACAATGTCCTCGAAGCCGCCGCCCGCCGGCTGCACCTCCAAAAGGACCACCCCGTCTCCATAACCCGCCAAATCATCCAGGCCAACTTTCCCGCCCCCGTCTTCCAATACCACAACGACTTCAGCCCCGTCGTGACGACGCGGCAAAACTTCGACTCGCTCGGCTTCCCCGCCGACCACCCCGGCCGCGCCCGCTCAGACACGTACTACATCAACGACACAACGCTGCTGCGCACGCACACGAGCGCCCACCAGGCCGAAACATTTCGCGCCAACGAGAGCGCCGGCTACCTCATCTCGGCCGACGTCTACCGCCGCGATGCCATTGACCGCAGCCACTACCCGGCCTTTCATCAGATGGAGGGCGCGCGCCACTGGGACCGCAGCGAGGTGCCCGGCGGCGACGTGGCGGCGGCGGTACGGCGCGACCTCGAGGCGCTGCCTGCGCACGGCGTCGTCGTCGAGGACCCGAACCCGCCGTGGCACGCGGAGCGTAATCCGGTCCAGGACGAGCACCACTCAGAGGCAGAGGCTGAGGCCATTGGCGCCCATCTGAAGCGCTCCCTGGAGAATATGGTGGTTGACGTCTTTTCACGCGCCAAGGCGGCTGCCAAGAGGGCAGACCCCGACTTTGTCGACGAGCCGCTGAAGATGAGATGGGTGGAAGCCTACTTTCCCTTTACCAGCCCCTCATGGGAGCTCGAGGTATACTACGCGGGAGACTGGCTCGAGGTCTTGGGCTGCGGCGTTGTCAAGCAGGACCTGTTTATTAATGCCGGTGTTCCTTCCAAGCTAGGCTGGGCATTCGGCATCGGAATTGACCGCATTGCTATGCTGCTTTTCAAGATCCCTGATATTCGCCTGTTTTGGTCGCGAGATGACCGCTTCATCTCGCAGTTCACTGGCGTCTCGGACGACCTGGACAAGTTGAAGCTGTTTGCGCCGTTTTCTAAATACCCACCTAGTCCCCGCGACGTCTCCTTTTGGCTCAACTCCTCTTCGTCCTCGGCGGCGGGAGGCAACACCAAGAATGTCTTTCACGAAAACGACATCATGGAGCTTGTGCGCAACATTGCCGGTGACGTCGTCGAGGACGTAAGGCTCATCGATGAGTTTACACACCCCAAAACAGGAAGGAAGAGTATGGCTTATCGCATCGTGTACCGAAGCCTAGAGAGAACCTTGACGGCCGAGGAGGCCAACAACTACCACGATGATGTTAGAGCAGCGCTCGTTGCCGAATTGGGGGTTGAGCTGCGGTAGTCGCTTTCGGGTGGACTCAGTTTTATACATGTGGGCAACTGTGGGGAGCATTGTAACATACGGAGAATGTAAATTGTACAATATATAGTGCCACTAGGGCGCTGGCAAGCATAAGAAAGCACGAAACCTATCAAAGGCCGCGGAGGCTAGGGCCATTCCAAGCTTACCACGAAGCTGCGAATAGCATGACTTGCCAATCTAAACAGCCGATCCATATGGAAAAGCAAAGATACCTCGAGTAAGGGAAACATCATAGATGCGTACTATTGGCGCAAAATTGCACAGTGAAGAACAATCTATCGGGTTGATAGTGTCATCTAGTGGTGGCTGTGAACGCAAGCCAAGCCCCAAAAAACGGAATTGCGCCGCGCCAGAAAACTCACTTGCCTAAATAGGTAGATATACTCCTAGTTACTCATTTCACAGAAGATATGGCCAATGCTAAGAGTTTTGGATAAAAAAAGGTCAAAATGAGTTTTTAGAGTGTAAACTGATACATTAATTAGGGAAGTATTAGTGAGGGGACAGTCGTTGCTTTTTCCAGGATACCAGAGTGACGATATGTTAACGTCCCATGTCCTTGTCTCGTGTGTCCGGTTTCGAGGATCAAAACCCTTTGAAAAAGTCGACTAATTCTCTGATTTATAAGTAGGCTCACTGCGTACTTGGTGGTTTTGTCCATTGTTTGAGACTGGGCCAAATGCAGACACTAGTTAGTATTCTAGGTGAGTTCTCGAGGAGCGGTTGTTCCTATGAGAGAAACCTGGTAACCCCGACATCCAAGTTACTGTTGTGCGCGGCATATTACACGGCATAACTGCACATAACTTATTAATACCCATTACGTACTATGTCATATAGAGACCGGGGTGCAGTGATGCATAGTCATTTGTTTCAGGACAAGTAACCCGTTGTCTTGGTTCTGTTTTCTTTCGCCCAGTTGATCTTTTCTTTGTTTCGAGGATAATTTTCCTTCGTTTTGAAGTTGACCTGTTCATCTTTTGTCTCAAAAGCATATCTTCTGGTTTGTTTTACCTGGGTAGTATGACACTTGTCACGTTCCAGGGCACCTGGAGGTCTGGGGTAGCCCGTCGATCGTGGGATTGCCAGCCATTGTCACTATTCAGTGGGTCCGGGTGGAAGGAGGCGCAGCACGGATGACAAAATGGTACATACTTAGTTGCCTAGCATCCTAGATAGTTATTGACCAAGAGCAGATAGATGTCAGTGTAATTTGTAGCATCATTTCAATTTTTCGACTTGGAGAGTTAGTTGCCTCTCGGTTTGTGGAATGCGAACCAAGCCAACACAGCCTCAAGACATGACCATGTCCTGTGTCGTGGACACTGCGTGGCCTGAGCTGTGCTCAGCCGACAAAGCCGGATGACAACGCCTCACGAGGTAGAATAAGCTTCTGGCAGCGCCTCTCGGCCATTGCGCGCGCCAACAAAAATCCTCCGCTGGACAAGGGTGCAGACGGTCTGTCTGGCGCTGCGGCGCAGGCTGTGCAAGCCGGGCCGCCAACCTGTGGACAGGGCGGCAGGGCGAACCCGCCTGTATCTGCGTCACTACAAATTACAGAGGCCGCTGAAACGGAAAACGTTCTTGGTTTGCCTTGAGTGACAATTTTTTCCCTCTCCCATGCACAGCCCCCCCAGCTGCTCCCGTACCCCGTGCCAAAACCCCCACTGACTCGTCCAGGTACCAGATTATCTGCGACAATGTTGAGAGATGGCTGGCGGGCGCCAGGCTCAAAGGGGCAGCTGATGAGTTTTGGCTCTGCTGCTACTGGCGGGAATTTTGGGTGGCCGCTTTAGCCAGGCGCCAACTGGGCGACAAGTTATGCATGACTGTACATGATCGAGATGTGTTGTCAATCTTTATTTCATCGGGCAGCGAATCATTGTTGAGGTTGGCGAGGGTCTCTACTTCAATGCATCTTTCTGTCTGTCGGTCGTGTCAGCCACCACCTGGTCGGGCTGTAAGTGTCTCGTGTAACGGGCAGGACAAGGCTGAGAGGAAGAGTACGCCATGACCTCGGTCTATTGCTGTCGCGACAGGCAAGTTACACGGGACTGTTCAAAGACAAGATACTGGTTATTAAAACGTGTTAGTCGAGTTGTGTTGTACAAGAAGATCGAGGCCTCGTGCAAGGTCCGATTACACAGCCTCTCTCACATGAACAGCCGTCCATGTACGTGCACAATCCGGGTACCTTGCATAATAATAAAAAGCACAACCTACCTGCCTTCTCTCCTCCACAGCCACGGCAGCTCGGCTTGGCGAGGGCTCAGCTAGAGCGGCGCAGGTGCTAGCCGAGCTGGGATGACCGCCAAAGCCGGCCCGGGGCTTCCATTTAGTACATTTAGTACACACCTAGGTAGGAGGTATGTAGGTACATTGCCACCACCACCACCACCAACTTGGTTGCCCCCCAGTCGCCCGCCAGTCGGCTTCGCCTCTTCTCTCCCACACTTTTGATACCTACATATATCTCACCTCGCTCGCTCTCTTCACGACCCTTCAGCTCTGCACCCCCCATCCTTACTGCACGTCTCTTCCAGGAACCCACAACTCCCCGTCCTTCCTGTTTCGCCTGCCACACCAGTCGCATGCTCCAGACGTCATCTTGTCCTACAGGCATCCTCTCTTCCACACCCCACCATCCACAACCCACCACACAAATGGAACTGTCACCAAAGCCCAGCCGGTCCTCGTCGACCTCGTCGCGCCGTGGCATCAACCTGACGCTCGACCTGTCTAACTTGCCACCGCTCGAGCAGCCCACACCGCCCTCCAACACGCTCCTCTTTACCAACCTCGACAATGTCGACATCTTCCGCGCCGACAAGCTGCAGTCCATACGCGACCTCATCAACCGCACCGCCACCATCCACGCCTTTGCGCCGCTCAAGTCGTTTCGCCGCATCCTCGTCTCCTTCTACGACGTCGAGTCGGCCGTCTCCATCCGCAGGATCTGGGACGGCGAGGCCATCATGGGTCAACGTGTCCGCATCTACTTTGGCCACCCCACCTCGATCCAGACCAAGCCCGACCACCTAGCGCTGCCCGACGCTGGCAAGCTCTTCTTCATCTCCCCGCCCCCGAGCCCCCCGCACGGCTGGGAGGTCCGCCTCGAGGACGCACCCAACAAGATGGTTCACGCCGACGACCTGGCCGAGGCCCTTGCCCGGCTGGGTGCCGGCTCCGGCGCCATCAGCAGCCGCGGCAGCTCCATGGACTCGCCCGTCACCCCTGTTGACGGCGCCGCTATCGGTCGCCGGAGAAGTCGCAGCTCTACTCTCATCTACCATCCCGACGCCCATGGTAGCGGATTCGGCCTGCCTGCCGTCTTTGTCGAGGACATGACGGACGAGCCCGAGGAGATGTCACCACTCGAGGCAAAGCCCATCCAGGCGCACACCTCCCGGCCGCCCGTGGAGCTCATGCACGATGCGTAAGCGCCGCTGACTTTTCGTTATGTGCCGTTTGCCTGGTCTATAATATCAATAATGGGGCGGGGATACAGAAAAATAGTTGATTATCGGCGTTAAGGATTGGTTGGCCATGGTCAAGGCGTTAAACGGGCGTTTATTATGATTCACCTCAAGCGAATAGCTCAAAATTCCATGAATACACAAAGCAAAGCGCCGGGTTCGGTATTTCGATCTCATATTCCTTGGTGATTTGTTACAGGCATGCTCGAGCTGCCTGCCGGCTTTCGTTGGCGTGTTTGCTTCGCCAACAGGGGCTGTGCCACTGCAGCGCCTCCTTTTGAGGCTTGGGTGTCTTTTTGTTTGTACCGGCAGTACAGGCCCAACAAACTGCTAGTGATTGATCTGCTGGCAACCTTTGTACTGCCTAGCATGCGCGCGGCCTTCGTCTGCGACTTGTGTTCGGACAGGATCCAGTCCTAACTCCCTAGTATCCGGCTATAGACCGTCACAAATCAGATCAGCATCTAACGAGGAGAACACAAGAAAAAACGACAGATTGCGCGTGAAATCGAAATCGATTTGCCTATTCTCTGTAGATACAGAATAATTTTAATTTTATAGCTAACGAGCTGTCTTGCTATTCGTATTGACTGTACAGTGGGCCAAACCTGGAAAACTAGGATGGGGGCCAGAGAAAATTCCTGTCGCAAAATCAGCCCCATATTAGGAGCTTCATCATCTCCCCTTTGACATCACACGACCACGCAACAGAGCCAGCTATCTGCAGCCATGAGCTGCTCGTGCAATGCCTCGGCGCTGAGGCTTTTTGCGCGTGGCTTAGTACAGGTGCACCGCCTCGAGCCTGGCATCCAGTTTGCCCTACCCGTCCGAAGCGCTTTCGCCGGCGCCTGGGCCTCGCAGCGCCGCTCTTTACATGCGTCCCGCGCTCTGCGGGACGCTGGGACTCCTGCACCAGCAACTCCGCCGCCAGAGAAGCAGCCAGCATCAGCAGAAGATAGGCAGCCGAGAATAACGAGGCCGCCGACAGAGCCAGCCAGCCAAAATCTTCCGGACGAAACCAACCCAGACGAAGATGGCATGACGGAAGCTAGGGGCAAAGCGGCCTGGCGATTCAAGCGGCAAGGATTCGACTGGAAGGCTTTCAGGTCCAACGACCCTGCGACTCGCTCAACGGTCGATTTCTCGAATTTCGACTGGAAACACTGGCAGGGAAAAAAGCACGGCAACCAGCAGCTCGGCAAACTCGTGGACAATCTGGAGGCGGCTCGGGCCCAAGACCGTGCAGCCGTCGGCATATCGCCCCGAGACGGCGACGCATTTCAGTCCCCAAACCACAGGTGGCGTAAAGCGCCTCTTCCTCCGACCAACCATGGCCGGTACGACGGCGCGACCGAGGACGGCACCTCGCCACCTCCTAGAAGGGAGGAATGGATGATCCAAAAGGAGGCCATGAAGGCCAAGTTCCCCGAGGGCTGGAAGCCGCACAAGCGGCTGTCGCCCGACGCGCTGGCGGGCATCCGGGCGCTCAACGCGCAGTTCCCCGACGTGTACACGACCAAGACGCTGGCGGACAAGTTTGCCGTGTCGCCCGAGGCGATCCGGCGCATCCTCAAGAGCCGGTGGGCGCCGTCGTCGCAGGAGGAGGAGGACCGCCAGCAGCGCTGGCACCGCCGCGGCGTCGACGTCTGGGCGCGCAAGGCCGAGCTCGGCATCAAGCCCCCCAAGCGCTGGCGCGACGAGGGCGTCGCCCGCGAGCCCGCCTACCACGACCGCAAGGCCGAGGCGCGCCGCGACCGCGCCGAGCGCGTCAACCAGGAGCGCGACGAGTACATGCGCAGCTTCACCAAGGGGCGCGGCGGCGGCGAGGACGAGCGGAGCGCCGGCTCGCCGGAGAGCCGCGGTGGTGATGGGCAAGACCGGCGACGCGGCGACGGGGAGGACAGGCCGGCGACACAGCGGCCGTGGATGGGTAGAGGGAGAGTGGAGGGCAGACGGTGATGAAGTGCGGCCGGCAGCGGGGTTTGTCTTTGGCGCGTTTGACGTCGGCCTCAAAAGCCATCGGACCGTGGAAGTCGTCCGAGCCCTCGGAGCGGTGGAGTCGTTTGCTTGTATAATAGTATCAATATGTATAATAGAGCATTGTCACGGATAAAGCAGCATAAATGTAATATAGGCCTTGACCAGCTAAAAACCCCCAAACTTGAAAGCTACCGATACAAACGTCTTGATGTCAAGTCCAGATTCCACAAGAGACTCCCGCCAAAGCAATTCAGTCAAGATACTGACATCAGACCCCATGGCATCCTGCACCCCAATAACCACGTGGCTTCGTTCTCCTTCACACCACGTTCACAGCTCCGTCTAACTATTGCCGGCCGAACCATCCTCCAGGAGCTTCACTGCCTCTTATTTCGCCTCTTCTACCACCGGCTCGTCTGACGGCTCTTCCGTCTCTTTCGCCTCTTCCGCCTCTTTCGCCTCTTCCGCCTCTTTCGCCTCTTCCGCCTCTTTCGCCTCTTCCGCCTCTTTCGCCTTTTTCGCCTCTTCCGCCACTTCCGCCTTTTGCGCCTCCTCTAACACTGTCAGTATGTCTGGCATCACTTCTGGGAGCTCTTCTACCAGCACTTCTGGGAGCTCTTCTTCCAGCACTTCTGGGAGCTCTTCTTCCAGCACTTCTGGGAGCTCTTCTACCAGCACTTCTGTCGCCTTCCTCGTTCTCTTTTTCTTTGCCCTCCCCTTCCTCACTTCTCTCGCCTTTTTATCCGCTGTTCTCTTCCTCTTTTCCCGCGCCTTTTCTCTCGCCCTTCTCACCCTCTTTTCTTTCGCCATTCTCAGCTTCTTTTCTTTCGCCCTTCTCTTCTTCTTCTCTTCCGCCTCTTGCTTCATCTTCTTTATGGTCTCTTGTTTCTTGTTTGATTTCACCGCTTCCAACGCCGCTTCTCTGACCGTGGCCCATGGCGGCATCCGGGGGCGGATCACCCAGCCCTGCCCCTTGGAAATCCGAACAAACGCGCGCCAGACCCATTCTTCGGACTCGAAAAAACCCGACTTGGAGACTTTGGTTTTTTCCCAACAGCGTAAAAGGGTTTCCATGTCGGTAATCTTGCCTAGCCACACCTTTGCAAGGAGGCGCTCGTCACTGTTGTACGTGACCGCACTTCGCCTGAACCGCCATCGTTTCTCTCTATCGGGGCCTTTTGGGTGCGGTGTTAGTTCGACGCGGCACAGCTGGCTGGGGCCTGTTGGGTCATTCTTGGGGCAGACGAGAAAGGCCCAGTGAAAGCTGCGTAGTATTAGCAAATGTGTCCAGACGGCGGGCTGTGTGAGAAGAATGCTTTACGGTGTTTCGTCGTTGGTTTCGCCGCCTTTCTCCTGACTACAGAGCGCAAGAAAGAGTCGTTTCTTGTTTCCCGGTCCCATAGTTGACTTGGAAAGTTTTCAGAAAGTTGTGGTGCTTCTGCCTAGTTCAAAATGATTTCTCTTGTCCTGTTCCTGTCAAGGCGCACTGGACTCTTCTCAGAAGCGCCGAACACTTTCTAATATATATAACAAACAGCTGCATTACACAAGACAACCAACGACTCAAGTAAAGACATATACAAGGGCATCAAGTCTCACTGTACAAAGCTATCGTGAATCATACACAATGGCAAGAATGGCGCTGCCGTCTTGTGCGAGCTTTAGACCAATCTGTTTGGCTACTGCTGGTGAATAGGTGGCAGTGATGGACACAGTCAGTGGTAGAGTAGGGTCTGACCGAAACAAGATCAAAATGATAATATGTCAAGGACAGAGGCACCTTCTTATTCACTTCTCTTGTAGCGGCGCTTGAGAGGTGATACTCGGCGCAGACCGACTGTCACACAGGCACCAGAAACTCGCGTTGGCATCTCCATTGTGAGTGAGCTGTGTTCTCTTCGCTGCGTTGCAGTTCATTGTCACAATACATTTCTCTCTCGCAATAGCAGACCCCCTCTTGCACCAGCGGCCAGATAGCTTGGCATGCTTGGTGTCAATGCGTGAGGCAGTCAGGTTGCACGGGATATCTATCCCATCACTCACTTGTTTAGACGCCCTGTAAAACCTGTGTACCATTGCAGTCTAGGTAGGTATCCGCCGGACCTCTCCCACTCTTGTTTGTACTATGGTATTACTCTCTTGCCTTCTAAGAAAGTCGGCGGAATGGTTACCTAGACGTTTCGCGACCAACAGACCAACCAAGTCTATTAGTAGGCAACAACATGTGACGGGTTTGTTCGATACCATGACCTATAACTATTACGACTTGGACGTTTCGAGCGAAGCTCCCGTATTGTCGGCGCATCGGAGATATTATGCAGTAAACCTGCAGCTTGAAACGTCGTTCTTACATCGTCTGGCTCTGTGCCCCACGTCACTACGCCCCTGATCCAGATGTGACGAAACACTCACAACGAAACTATGGCGTTACTAGAAGTCTCCCCACCACCTCTGCCTAACTCTCTCCATTTCAAGTTCATCCGGACAAGGGTCGACGAACTTGGGAATGAGATCCTGCCACGCTGCTCTTGTCTTGCTCCCAAGCCAAACAGAGGTATATTACAAGTAGCGGGGGAGCCACCCGGAAAACTCCCAGTCAATTATGGCACTGATCTTGCCGTTTTGGACCATGATATTGAAAGGGCTCAAGTCGCCGTGTGTAAACACTGGCGGTTCGTCCCACTCCTGATCTTGCGCGGCGACCATGCGCATGATTTCCGCCCACTCCTTATCGCTTACGTGCCCGGGGTTATCCATGTCAGCAGTGAGGCCTTCGCGCAGCCAGACGTGAAAGTCTCTTGTGGATGGAAACGGCCCAAATGTTGGTCGCTGGGGAATGCGCGAGTCAAAGAGCGGGCCTCGCACGCAGCTCTGGATGGCGCTTCCGGGCGGCGCAAGGGCGCGCATGTGCTCGAGTAGATGGCGAAGCTGCAGGAAGAGTGCCTCGGACTCTGGGCCGGAAAGGGTCGGCCAGGCCGCGGCAAAGGTTTGCCCCGGGACGCGTTCCATGACAATATAAGTAACGTTTTTGCGCGTGAATGCACAGTGGACACGGGGAACAGGTATGTTGGTGTGCGTAGCGACAAAAACCATGGTCGCGGCTTCCGTGAGCGTGACATGCTCGCCCCTCTTGAGAATCAGCTTTCTCGAGATTGGAACGCAGACTCCTTCATATTTGTAGAATCGCGCGGTGGTATGAAGCGCGAGGCGCGTAAAAAGTCGTTGAACCACGGTGTTGTTCACTGATAGATCCTTGGTACCCGGCGGCTTGGAAGAAGTTGCACCCATTGCGCGACATATCGTTATGATGCCATTGATGGACAATTGCAATCGGGGAAACAGGAGTTCACAAGTGAGTCTGATGTTGATGTTGGGTGTAGCTAGAATACCCAAACGGCTGTTCGCTGCCAGGGGGTGGACTGGCTACAAGTAGGAGGCAGTGGGGGCTGGCCATCCAGGGCCAAAGCACATGTCAGAAGGAGGTTTCAAGCTCAAGTGGGCAAGCTGTCCAGCACAGCACCGCTGTCTTTTTCCTACAACTTGAACTACTTAAAAGCCGGCAGCCAGTCTCCCGGTTCTTCTAGCTGCATTCTTCAATGAATTTATCTCCTCTTCAATTTATAGCATAGCGAGCCTCTTTTGGCCCCGATCCACTAGCCAAACACACAAGCCACGTCGACCGCACAACCCCTCCCTCCCACTCCCTCGAATAATTTATCAAGTCCTTGCCATGGCGTCCCGGGGCAGCTTCCCGCAGCCGCCGCAGCGCGACTCGTGGTTTGCGCCGCTATCGGTCGACCTGCTGGTCAGGGTGCTTCAGGTGACCGTATTTCACCCGTTCGTGACGGCGCTGGTGCCGCTGTGCCTCCGCGCGCGCGCCATGCTGTGGGAGGCGCCGACGATGCTGGCGGCGTTTGCATGGGCGGCATTTGTGTCGCTTCTGTGGGTGGCGTCGGCGGTAAACCAGCGCGTCGCGCACGGCGTCCCGCGCCAGGTCGACCTCGACGAGGAGGTCATTGTCATTACGGGTGGTGCGAGCGGCCTTGGCATGCTGGTCGCCGAGGTCTACGGCATGCGCGGCGCCACGGTGGCCGTGCTGGACATCAATGACATGGAGAATGGCGAGGCTCGCGGCGTTACCGTGTACAAGTGCGACGTGGGCGACTACAAGCAGGTGGCGGCGACGGCTCTCAAGATTGAGGAAGAGGTAAGGACGAATCAGGATGACGCGGCCCGTATACGTACTTATATGCATCAATTAGCTCGGGACGCCTACGGTGCTCATCAACAACGCTGCTGTCGTAATTGGCAAATCGCTTCTCGACCTGTCCGTTGACGAAATCGACCGCAGCCTGTCGACAAACCTTGTCGGCCCGTTCTACTGCCTCAAGGCGTTTCTGCCCGCCATTATCCGCAGCGGCAAGGGCGGCACTATTGTTAACATCTCGTCCGTCATCGGCCACCTCGGCGCCGCGCAGCTGAGCGACTACGCGGCGGCCAAGGCCGGCCTGTCGGCCATGCACCGGTCCGTGGCGGCGGAGCTGCGCGAGTCGCACCCGGAGATCAAGACTGTGCTCATCACACCGGGCCAGCTGAGCACGCCGCTGTTTTACGGTGTACAGACGCCGAGCAGCTTTATCGCGCCGGTCGTGGAGCCGGTCGAGGTGGCCAAGGAGATTGTAGCGGCCGTCGACCAGGGCCGCGGCGCGACGACGGGGATGCCGCTGTACGCGCGCTGGATCGACTGGTACGGGGTGCTGCCGGCGGGCGTGCAGGTGCTGGCCAGGAAGATTTCGGGCGTGGATAGGGGTATGCGGACGTTTGTTGGGAGAAATGGCCATGTTGAGGGCAAGAAGCAGCGATGATCGGGGCGTAGGCGCTGTTCTGATGCTGGCGTCGGAGTAGTAACATTGTACGAGTGTTTGGAAGAGCGCTGCCCTGTGCTATATTCCATTGCTCTGTAATTATATTATATCATTGCCCAAACGATAGGCGTCTTTGAAATGTCTTGAGTGGGATTTTCGTGTACCCGTGGGCTGCAGAAAGGCTACATGCGCATGTTGTTGATAATCAGAAGCATGAACATGCAATTTAATTGAAGAGGAAGACGGATCGTCGATGGGTCATGCAAACGGGGCATGCCTTTGCGGAGAAAATTCTCCGGGGCAGGGCCTTGTACATATGTTTGTACGAACAGCAGGATACGGATAACGATTGTTCATTGTTGAGGACTTCCGATTCAATCTTCCTTGGCAGGCTTTACCGCTCCTGCATTGATGCCCCAGCCCAACCCATCCATCGCGGCTGATGGCTGGTGCAACTAATAATGGAAAGCTTGGCTAACTAATATCGAACTAATCAGAGATGCAGACGGGACAGGAGATGAGATGCACGAGTGGCCAGTCGGCTCGACAAGGTTACCGGAGCAGGCAGGTCCTGTTAAATACTGACAGAGGGCAATGTTCGGCGATGGTGTCCAATTTATTAGATGTCGGACAGATGAGCCCAATGAAAGGCTCGTGTGCTTTGTCTGAGGCTGCTAGTGCGACATCGTACCCGGCGCCAGTCCAGTTGGTACCTGCATGCCGTCATCGGGCCCGCCACTTTTGGTTTAGTTGGTGATTGCAAGGTTTTCTTTTTTCCTACCCGTTGCCGTGTTGCCGATTTGCAGAATTTTGCATCCGTGCAATCGTGCTTGCTAGTTACCATGCATGTTGCTGATGGCCAAAGATATTTAGTGTATGTAGGTGCTCTGTCGGTCGGAACATGAGCCCCTGCGAGATTCCATCACCTCGCAGACGCCACACGAGCAGTGGCGAAATACAAAGCCCAAAAAGGAGTCGCCGGCAGCCTCGTTTACATCTCACCAAGCCAACGTGGCAACCCTTTGCTATGTAACTAGCTGGGCTCTAATTTGTACAAATTACCTAGGTAGTGTTAGTAGCGGCTGTAACCACGCCTGCTCAGACCCGAACAGTGGACTTGTCGTGATGCCCATGCACACGTATCCACCATCAGACTTTGAAGATTGGGGGAGTCTAGCCCTGCCAGGCAGGATGTTGCCAGTCTTGGCTCTTTGTGAGGCGTTTTATTACAGCGGCCCCCCGTCATCTGCACTCTGTTGGTGGACGAATGAACCGTCGGCAGGCAGGCAGGCTTTCGGCCCCGTTGGATCCCCAAAGAACGCTATTCAGTTTGATAAAAAGTAGACGAAGCCCAGCATTACCTTGTCGCACCACTCTGCCCTTGTCACCTTCCTCCGAGGCGCGTTGTCGGGTCCGTTTTCTGGTCCCTATTTGATCACCTCTCTGTCTTTGCATCCCATTGGCGCGTCTCCTCGGTTGCCTCTCGCTTCACTCGCCTCGTTTTATCCACATCGCGACTGCCGCCGTTGCGCCCCAGCCAACGCTCGGAACCATTGAACCATTGAACCATTACCCTTTTCATCCCTGCTCCTCCACCATCTCCCAACTTGGCCATTAGCATCTTACTTTTCTTGTCTTGCTTGGCCTGCTCGACAATCTGGCTCATTATGCGCTTTTCTTCCCTCGGCCTCGCCCTCTCGGGCATGGCTGCTGCCGTCTCAGCCCTCGACACCATTGAGGTTGTCGGCAACAAGTTCTTCAAAAAGGATGGTTCCCAATTCTTCCTCAAAGGTTCGTCTAGTCTCCCACATCAATTCATGACCATCTTGTTCATCTCTACTTAGGTGTTGCCTACCAACTTCGTCCCAGTGACCCTCTCATCGACACCGAACAGTGCCAGCGGGATGCCAAGCTCATGAAAGAGCTTGGCGTCAACAGCATCCGTGTCTATCACGTCGACGCCTCTGCCAACCACGATGGTTGCATGAAGGCTTTTGATGAAGCCGGGATCTATCTTCTTGTCGACCTTGACACGTTCGGCACATACGTCGTTTCCGTACGTCTGAACCCTGTCCTCATGATGGCGATCTTCCAATGCTGACCTTGCCATTAGACCGATCTGCATTGGAACCAGACACAGTACGACTCTTATGCAGCCGTCATGGATACTTTCCACAACTACGACAACGTCCTTGGATTTTTTGTCGGCAACGAGAACATCGCCAAGAAGGAGGACTCGGTCGCTGCTCCATATATCAAGGCCGCCGCCCGCGACATGAAGGCTTATCGCGACAAAAAGAACTACCGAAAAATCCCCATTGGCTACTCCGCCGCCGACATTATTGAGCTCCGCCCCATGCTCCAAAACTACCTGACTTGCGGTGGCGACTCTGCCGACACGGTCGACTTCTTTGCCCTCAACTCGTACTCGTGGTGTGATCCGGCCGATTACAAGACGTCGAGCTATAACCAGCTCCAGACCTATGCCAAGGACTTCCCCATCCCCATCTTCTTCTCCGAGACTGGCTGCAACACGCCCGGCCCCCGCCTCTTTGCCGACCAGGATGCCATCTTTGGCAAGGACATGATCAACGACTGGAGCGGCTCCATCATCTACGAGTGGATCGAGGAAGAGAACCACTACGGACTCATCAGCTACGGCGCGTCCGGTGGTGATGCGTCCAACACTGACGTCGAAGGCGGCTTTACCCGCAAAGGCACTCCCACTCCCGTCAGCCCTGATTTTAACAATCTCAAGAGCAAATGGGCTACCATCACGCCCACCGGCGTTCGCAAGTCTGACGTTGACCCCAAAACCCTGACCACTCCCGCCTGCCCTACTGCCACGAGTGGAGGTTGGTGGGCCATTGAAGGAAACGTTCGCGTTCCTTCACTCGGAGAGACCCTGGCCGGGACTTATACCTCTGTGCCAAGCGCTACTGTCGATAGCCAGCCTCAGAGTACCGTCAAGGGAACGGACGGCAAGGATGATAGCAAGAGCGACGATAAGGGCAAGAACGCCGCTTCCAAGGACGTGCAAATCACAGTTCTTGGGTCTAGCATTGCGGCTGTCATTTTGTTCGCCGCTGTGGCATTGTAAATAGATAGACTCAGGTGCTTTATTCTTGCTTGTAATTATTTTATATACATTCTTCAGACACTGAAACGGACCATGAGCTGCATGTGCTTGCCTTTGATTGAGCCTTGCATCATGTTAGCATTTTGCCACCCTACGAGAAGTCGATGCTTACCATGCGGTGATAAACTTGAGACAATGGATGGGATGGCTGGTGGTCGGCAGTGTAGAATGTTGACGTGGACGTGATGAAACCATTCATTCGGAATCCATGATTTTCAGTCCAGCGTTTCTATAGTCTTGATTGATTGCGTACACCGCTGCGGCGGTGACAATGACGCCAATGAGCACGACCAGGCACGCGATGATCATGTACAGCCGCAGAGTCTTCTGGCGCTTGAACTTGCCATCGTTTAGAATTTCTTCATCGTCTGAGCTCTGCAACTTCTTCACGGAATCATCCAGGAATTTATTTTCGAGCATTGTTCCCTTTTAAACGGGCGATATTGCTTTCAGGAGGCTGTGGTAGGTGGTCTGTAGGCTGTCTGGGACTCAAAGAAGTGGTTGATAATAGCATTTTGGCTACATTGAGCTCACTTTGGCGTCTACATGTTGTATCATTCATTTTAAGCAGGTACTCCCAACGTTTCAGCATGATATGTAAGTCGCAATGTACAAAGTCGAGACACTAGTTAGCAAGTATTGTACGTGGTAAAGAGCACCGCTCCAAATGCGGAAAGTGGGTTAGGCATGCGCTAAGATTATAATTGGGTGGTTGGAGATGTTGGACTGGGAAAGAGTTTGGGTCAGGACGAAGCGGCTTTTCTACTGGGTGGCTGTGTGACGCGACAGAGTTTCTTGGATGCCATGCTGTAACTATGTATGTACATACATAGGATGATGATGGAAAAAATTGTTTCGATAACGATAAGGAGAGTTGATACGAAGCCACACATCCACCCAGCCCACCAAAAAGTTGCAGACTCATAACTACAACCAACCTGTCTGTTGGCCTCGAAACAAAGTTTGGCGATAATTTTGAATTCTTGCCGCTGATATTATTTTTCGGTCCCTTGCCTCTGTGCCCATTGTGTATCACTCGTGGCGAAAATTTTGGGGCAAGAAATAAGGGCAGCGGTGACGACTGACTCAGCAAATTTTCTCCGCGACTGCCCGCCTTCAATCGTCCGAGCCAAAGAGTCTACCTCGAGAAGCAACAAGGGTAAATCGACAAAGCGGCCACAGGCTGTTGCGATTCTGCTTCATTGGCAAGGACGAGTCCCCGGTACCCATTGTCTGTCGGCTTTCCAATTACTCCGCCTCGGTTTGCTTTTCTTGCGCTCACATCTTCCCATGCGCGCGCGCTCGCCGTCCCGCAATCATGGCTGAGCCGGCGCAACCTGAAGCGGCGCGCCGCGCACCTGGTATGTTGGCGATGCACCCCTCTGAGAGCAGCTCCGTCGACTAGTTGACCGAACCGAAAGCTCTGCGCCCGTGTGTGGTACATAATTGTGTGCGACGGCGACTCTGGGACTACTCGATTGCTAACGACACCTCGATGGCGCAGACATTAAACAGGAACCCGATCTGTCGGGCCTCGAGGGCCTCGACTTTGCGCTGCCGCCCGATCTCATCAACCCGAAACGATCGCATGAGGAGGAAGGCGAGTCGCATCGCGACTCCGAGCCCAAGAGGGTGAAAACAGAACACGCGCAGGCCGCGCCACAGGCCGAGGAGGACAACTCGCTTGAGGATGGGCTGGCGCTTCTCGTACAGAATGCCCTGTCAAACGTCGATGATCTTGTGGGAGCCTTTGACGCGCCGATCGAGGACGAGTCTCGCGACCCCATGGACATTGACACCGCCGCATTGCTGGAAAGCGTCCCGACACTGCCAACATTCTTTTCTGACCCTCTCAAATATGTGCGCAATGTGCAAGCTCAAACATTGGGCAATCTGGTCCGTCTGCTCTCAAACTAGTACAGAAGTTTGAGTGTGCTAACCGAACAACCAGTCGTTTACGCTTTTATACTCTCTTGTACAACACCAACCCATCGACGAGATCATCCGAGCGATACGAAATGCGGAATCGGATCATGGTGGGATCTTTCGCCATCTTCAAGACTCGTTAGAGAGTGTATGGAAGCTCTTTACGACCAACGATACGATTTCTGCCGAAGACATCAATGTGGAGAGCAACGCCAGCACGTTACTAGAGATGGCGAACCTAGCCAAGTTGTGCATATGGCTCGTCAAGGCGACCGCCGAATCTTACTCGATAGCCGACTCGAAACTTCTCACGATATTCAACTGCCAAGTCTCGGATTTGCCCATCACTGCTACCGAGCTGTACCTTGGCATCAAGACGCAAAACTGCATACAGCAGCTGATCAACAAGACTGATGATCAGCAGGCCGAGCAATTGGTTGCTCAGTCCCTCACGCAAGGACTCGGCGACAAGTTGAAAGCCCAACATCCCGAGGACAGCTTACTGAACGCCGATCAAGCATTTATTACACTGGCGACAGTTCGCAAAACCGACTTGATAAATGAGACCAGAGAAGGAATTGACACAGAGTCGCTGACGAAGAAGTATCCTGCTGATGAACTATTACGGACTTTTGCCACGTATGCAAGAAGTCGATTGGCAGCAGTTGCCGATGTTGGCAGTACGTTTGGAGTTGACATGCATCTGGAAGTTGATGATGTCATGGAGTCGGCGACGTTCGGTGACCTTGGCGGCAGTGCCGACCTCGATCTGGACGACCTTTCTTCATTCTTTGAGAAGACTGCTTCTGGGCTCGTGCAGGACGCGCTGGCGGGTCTCACGGAAGTCGAGGTTACCCCTTCCATCGTCATCGACGCCCCCGAAACCAGCAACGCGACGAAAGACACAAACGGCGCAAACACCGCAAATGGTACAAATGGTACGAACGGTACGAACGGTACGAACGATGCGAATGGTACCGATAAGTCAGCGGCTACGACTACGGGAACCGGCGCCGGCGCTACTCCTGCTGCTCACAAGATTGATCTCCTGACAGACTACAAAGAGCTTGAGGCTCTGGTCGCAGAAAGCACATCCAACTATGTCAAGACGACTCTCAATGGATTGTCGCCAGTGCCGTATCAGCCAACTGTGCCGACCAGCACAGCCGAGAGCATGGCTTCTCAACATCCTTTTCTCAGCCATTTGCAACTGCAACAGCAGGGACAACATAACTATTACACGTATGCGCAGCAGTCAAGCCAGGAACCGCCACCGCAACCACCTTCATCGGGTGAAAGTCTACCTCCAAATCAGACGTTTCCGAGCGCTATTCTATATGACAATGCGCGCCAGGCTGCACTTTCCAAGACAACTGCGCATACGAGACGAGAAGGACTCCATTCCACCCGTCGGCCTTGGACGCAAGAGGAAGAAAAAGCTCTCATGGCCGGTCTTGATATGGTCAAGGGCCCTCACTGGAGCCAGATACTCACTCTTTTCGGGCAAAACGGCACCATGTCAGACATACTCAAGGATCGGACGCAAGTCCAGCTAAAGGATAAGGCGCGTAACTTGAAGTTATTCTTCCTGAAAACGAATTCGGAGATGCCGTACTACTTGCAAGCTGTCACAGGTGAGCTCAAGACCAGGGCTCCGACGCAGGCAGCCCGTAAGGAGGCTGAGGAGAGGGCAAGGATGAACTCGGAGGAAGATCAGGCAAAATTGCAAGGCATCATGACTCTTGCCGGCGGCTTGCAAAACCTGCCTCAGGGACGCCCCGGAGCAGCCGGTGTCGGCTCCGGCCCTGTCACGCCGGCACAGGCTGCTGCACAAGGCCGGCTTGCCGCGGCCATGTCAAACATTCCCAGAACTGTCGCGGCAACCCTACCACAGGTACGGCAGAATCTTGCAGCGCACCAGCAGCTGAACCCTCCACGACCGCAGGGCCAGGCACAGCTTCCTCCTCATGTTCCCCGGCCCCAGTCTCAGCAAGCCCAGAATCACCTCCCACAGCAGCAATCCCCGCAACGCCCACTCCCCATTGCTCCCCAGCAGTTGCCGCAACAACAATCACGACCACAAGCACAACCTCCGCAGCAGCCGCAACCGCAACAACCAAAGCCGGTGGTTCAGCACCTGCCACCTCAGCCTACCGTACCGCCTCCTCCTCATCCGATCTCCCTACCGAGCTCCATGTCCGCGCCGCATTCCACCACTCCCACACCCGGCGCAACCGTCTCCCCGGTGCCCGGGCACAACTCACACCCCCAAACACCGGTACTGCAGCCACCACCGGCGCCGCAACCTAAACCACAGACTGTGCAGGACACTCCCGGTCCGGCACCCAAGGAGGCTCCGAAACCACCACAAGAGCCTCTGTCGCTCGAAGCCCAGCAAGAGGCTGAAAACGCCGCCGAGGCTGCTCTGCTTGAAGGGTTACAAGCCGCTGTCGCCGAAGCACTAGGCTGAATATCAAAAAAAAAAAAGCCTGTAAAGATTACACGATGCAATATATTACGACAAGTATACACGAGAGGGGAAATTCATTATTTGAGGAAACTTGGGCGTTTTTTTTTGGAAGAGTTTATGAAAAAAGTTGGGCTTCTCTTACTTTGAAGCCTTTTCCCTCTTCTTACGAGAAGAGATGAGGACACAGGGGCGTTTTTTGACTGGTTCAATGGTTGATGACTTATTGGACAAGATACCAAGAGTGTTTTTTTTGGACGGGGGGGCGAATATTTTTATTTTTTATTTTTTCGGTTGGTGTTGGTTCAGGCACATTGCCTCTTTTTCTTGTTTGCCGCCAATAGAACGTTTTCGCAGCATCCTACCCGGAAGCTATTGTGATTGTCTCTGTACGCCCGATTTAACAGGGCGACCGCGCAAGACTTGTGGGAAATATGCGTCGCGGGCTTTGTTCTTTGCAGGTTGCCCTTCATTTGGCCTTAATAAAGGGTGTGTTGCTTGTGGTGGTCTAGTGCAGTCGTGTTGGCCGTGGCACAAAGTCTAGGTCAGTCTCCCAACTACACCGCATCTACGACACCCGACATGCACGTTGTCAACCTCTAACCAGCGTACAATCACCATGGCTTAGGCACAAGAAACCGAATCCCTTCCACAATTCTTTGGACGCCATGTGCCGTTGTCAATCATTCCTTTGCACCAGGGGTTGGGCAGCCAGCCGGGTGGGTTTACCCGCGTGATGGCTATTCTGTCATCACGCGACACAGGGGCACCTTTTTGTCTCGCCTCGACGCCCAACGCCAACAGACCTCGTTACCACGACACGGGAAGAATAGCGCTCATTTAGCGCCTTCCAGGATCTTTTGCGTCGTACTCTAACGGGCTTGCCGTTCTGTATTGTAGGATAACAGAGGATTGTGTCACTATGCCGCGGGTCAACTGGCAAGATGGACCGGTTGAATGCTCTGATGAAATGTAACCTGATTTATATAACCTAGAATTATGCCCTCTTTCTCTTGACTAGAGTGAAAACCATGCATCCAAGCCTGTTTCGCCTCGCGATCTCACCTCCTTTGCGCAACCTCCAAGAGAAGCCGTTTTTGCGCCGACGACAAAGAAAACTTGTCCGCCAGACCAACGACATCACGTACGAAACAACACACCACCGATGGAGGGGCAGGCGGAGCGCCTCCTCCAGGCGCGCGCGGCGCCACTCCTGCCCTCCTGGAGCGCCACGCCGCTGCCGTCGCTCTCGCTCTCCGCCGGCGCCCTGCTCGCGCTCGCCGACCTGGGGACCGTGGCGCGGCGCACCGCCCTCACCGGCGGCGCCTCGTGGCTCGACGCGCTCGTGCTCGCCCCCGGCCTGCACTACCAGCAAGCGGCCGACGCGGTGCAAGGCGGCGGCGGCGGCGGCGGCGGCAGCCTGCTCATGATGGAGACGACTGCCGACGACGGCGACACGGTGGCCGCGGTCCGCAACGCCGCCACCGTCGCCTACCTCGAGAGGCTGCCGCGGGGCGACGACGACGATGACGAGGACACGCTGACGGTGGTGCAGGTTTCGCTGGCGAGGACGGGCGGCGCGCTGGCCATGCTGCGCGGGACGAGACGCCGAGCGCAGCAGCGCCCGCCGCCGCCAGAGATTGACTGGCTCAGCGACCTGCTGTACGCGCTCAGTCCGCTGCTCACGCTCGGCGCGCTGACGCTCATGGTTCTCCTGGGCGACTGGTGGGGGCTGTCGTTTCTCCTGGCGCTCATGCTCGCGCGGCTGCTCAACATCATCACCATCCGGCACCGCAGCCGGTCACCGCCCCCGCCGCCGCCCGCGTCCCTCCTGCCGACGCCGACAAGCCACGTCGTCGTCATCACAGGCAGCCCCCGGCGGCGCGTGATCCTGCGCGGCCGCGCTGACGACCTGCAGGCCGTCACGGCGCGCGCGTGGCTGCGGCCCCGCGCGCCGGCCGACGGCTACCGCGAGGCCGCTGGCAAGCTGCTCGTGTACGGCGTGGCGGCGTGCGGCGGCAACATGACGCAGGCGGGCGTCTTGGTGCTCGCCGCGCTGCTGCTTGTGAGCGCTGCGCTGCTGGGCTTGAGCAATGCCTGCTTCAAGGGGTGGTGCGTGCATGGCCGCGTGGCGAGGCCGGTGTCGAGGGGAAAGCAGGACGAGGAGGAGGACTTGGAACAAGGGGGCCCGCAGTTGACTCCGGTCGAGCATGGGCGGGGGAGATGAACTTGGACCTTGGACGTGTGTGAGTTGTGCTTGGCGTTGCGTTGGATGGGCGTATTTTTTTTCTTTTCGGTTCGGCGTTTCAAGGTTTTACTTTCTGGGATATGGGATATCGTCGACGGTTGTACGATAGCGAAAACTCTTGAATTTCTTGTGCATATGCTGGCTTCTCGTGTGAGCAACGTTATAATCCTAGCAACAGGTTACAGCGAATAGAAATAAGCTCGAGGAATAATGAACAAGGAAAAAAACAACCAGCCAGTTACGCCTGTTATACACGTCAAGCTCCCCATGGTCCACATAAAGTGTATTCATACGTCTCTCCCCAAACGCGCCTGGTCTTTTGACATGTTTCTGGAATAGAAACCCGTGATAGAGACCCCGATAAACATAAACTAGCAAGCAAAAAAACAACACCGGCGCGAGATTCCTCTACGGAGCGGTAGTATCGTCGTCCTTGTTCGGTTCCGACGCTGTGGGCGCTGGCTCTGCCAGCGGCGGCGTCAACTCAACCACGGGCTCCGCAACAGCTCCAGGCTCAGCAGACCGCGGCTCCTCCGGTGCGACATCCACGATGGACTCCTCCGGCTGCGGCACCGGTTCCTCCTCAATCTTCACCTCGGCCACTGGTTCGGCGACGGGTGGTGAAGGAGTGAAGGGCTTGGCGGGCTCGTTAGCAGAGTCCGGTTCCGGCCTCAGCGAAGGCAACGAGAGCGGCGGCGCTGGAGGAGTGGCCTCGACTGAAGTTTGGGGCGCAGGCTCCGGGACAGCGGCGGCGGGTGGTGACGCCGGCTGCTCTTTAGGGGGCAGGTCTTGCTCCTCCTTGGGCAATTGCGCAGCGGGCGGCTCACCACCATATTCCGGCTTGGCCTCGGGTGTAGTTTCTTCCGCGATGACGGGTACAACAGGCACCGGCTCTGGCTGGTCTTCCGTCTCCACGGGACCGGGCGTCTGCGCCGCCGCCGCCGGCTCCTTGGTGTCATCGACCGACCCCGTGCCGACTTCCGACGGCGCGCCCGACTCCGTCAGCGGGTACCGCACAGACGCCGAGTCCTCTGGCTTGATGCTGTCCTCGGTCATGATCGAGTCTTGCTGGTGAAATGACTTGTCCCCATGCACGTGCTCGGCGTCTTTGCTCTGGTGCTCGTTGCTCGACACCCGCGACGAGGCGTCGTCGGCCTTGGGCGTGGCAATGTTGCCAACCTGCTCCGGCGGCGGGGGCAGCAGGGTACTGCTGAGGGTCGGGGCCAGCTCGAGGTCGCGGTTTTCTGCCGCCGCGGGCTCCTCGCCGACAATGGTCGAGGGCGGCTCGGCGACGGTCGAGCCCGACGCGGCCTCCAGCGACCTGGCCACCTCGCCGGGAAAGACTGGTGCATGGCCTTCGGTGGGCGAGGGGAGAACAACGTTCTTCAGGGGGCTGCCTTCGGTCTTGGACAGATCGCTTGCCAGGGAGGCGAGCGGTGGTGGTAGTGTCATGGGATTGGCGGGTAGCTTGTCGGCCGCCGCAGCATCCGCCACCATCTCCTTGACCTCGGCGGGGACGGGAGGGGCGTCGGTCATGGTCAAATCCTTGTCCTTGACCTCGTCCACGATGCTCGTATCTGGATGATCGCTATCGCCGTGCTCGTCATCGTCGTCGTCGCCCTCGTCACCATCCTCGCTCTCCTCTTCGTCGCCGTCTGCCGTTTCGCCGCCCTCTCCCTTGGCCGCGCCATTGGTGTCATTCGCCGTCGTTTCCGCCGTCGCAGGCTGGCTGGGCATGGCGACGCCGCTGCCGTTGGGCACGCTTGTGTGCGGCGGCCCGCCGGCGATGCCGCCTCGATTCTTCTTCTTTCCGCGGCCCGGTCCAGCCTTTGTCTTGCGCTTCGGCGGGGGCGGTCGCCGGCGGTGGTTGGGCGGCACCTGCGCGCCGAGCGACATTGCCCCGGCTGCGGGGACCTGCACGACCTCGACGCGCGTGGCAATGATTTCGCCGCTCACAGCCTGGCCGTCGCCGAGCGTCACCTCTTCCGTGTATGGGTTGCCAGCGGCGTCGACGCGTCGTACCGTGGCGCGCGTCACCGTCGGCCCGTGGCCCCGTTCGGCGGGCGTCTTGCTGGCAATCGTCACAGTGTTGCGGCGCCGCTTGGCCAGGCGCGTAATGTCGGACGCCTCCACGTTGCGCGGGACCTGCTTCCAGAGCTTGACGGAGAAGCCCTTGGGCGCCGGCTCCTCCTCCTTTTTCTCGGGCTTTTCGACGATGTTGGGTTCGGCCTCGGTCTCATCCTCGTCGGTCGGCACGGCGCGCTTGTAGAGTCGGCCGGAGCGGGCCGCCCGTAGCAGCTCCTGACTATGAGGGGTCAGGAGCCCAGAGTCTTTGGGCATGCCGTGGATTAGCTCGGACGCCCAGACGTCGTTAATTTGTTGCGGTTCTTGCTCGATCGGGGGCGCGACGTTGACCCATTCCTGGCGCCATTGCCTCACGGGGAGGCCTGCGTCTTTGTTAGTCGGGGCCTGAATAATGACGGGTCTGTGAGACGCTACCTTCAAAGTCATCATGCTCGGCATAGCCAGCGCGGTTAGCGCGACGAGTCTGGAAGAATGGTCAGCGGCAAGTTGTTGAAGGGGCTTTTCGGCCAGCGACTCACGCCAGGTGCCATGGTGCTTTTTGGGCGCTACAACGGTCGCGATCGGCAAGGAATCTCGCGCCAATAGAGCAAGAGAGTTGGGTGTCAATGAATTGATGCGACAGCAAAGATGCGCTGGGTGCCGTTGTCACAGCATCTCTTGACACAGTTGGTGCTGGCGCGACGACGGGAGCAGAACCTCCGGCCAATGTGGCTGGAACGCATTACATAAGCAGACTGCGCTTTGTACGTTTGACTGATTTTGATCAGTGAATTCAGGCACTGTAGGAGTATTTTGGGCATCAATGATCTTGAATATATTTCATTAGAAACAGTTGAGATTTGTATATTGTCTATTTTCCTTCAAGTGCATTCGCAGTACGCCGCGCCAACGAGGACGACCCATCCGCCCTCCAATAAAGCAACACATTTTTGACAGCCACTCTTGTATTGTACAGGTTTTTGAACCATAGATTGTCCTTGTTATTTCATAATTGTAGGGAAAGCCTGGTTCATGTTAGTCCCCCATTTTCGAGACCATCTTGGCACGAGATGGTCTCCAGCTAAACGTAACGACGGCATTTACTGCTTCGTCACTTGACCAGCCTTGCCAGCGTCCTGCCGCAGTTTCCGGTTAGCCAGGTTCTTGCGACATAGTGACAACGGTGGTCTTACGGATAGTCTCCCTTCGACGACTAATCGGTCAAGCTGGTAAAATTGTCCGATGACTGTTTGGCGCTGTGTTAAAAAAGTGTCAGCCTTGTTCAAGTAATTGTTGAGCAATATCGAGGGTTTCCGGTCTGTACCTTCATCGCTTGCAGCTCCTTGAGGCCTTTTTGAAGCAGTTCTTGGACCTTGCGCGAGTCCTTTTCACCCTTGTGCTCGTGGAAAGCATCCCTCGTTCGGCGCTTCGCATACTCGCGGAAATTGTAGGCAGTAAACTGCTCGCCCTGTCGCAGTAATTGGCGGTACTAAATTGATAGGAAAGACCCAACTGTAAGAAACACTGAACAAGCACTTTGAAAGGGGTGGCGAGCCGGCACGGCCGGGGACGCGCGCAGGTGCAACAACGGCGCACGGCGGTTGGTAGGAAATCTTTTTTTTTGCCTTTGCCAACGGTCGCAAGCCGGCGCAAGAACAGGGGCGACGGGTAGACAACGTACCAAGGATCGGACCTGCTGGGGCGTTTCGCCTCGTAATCTTATGACGGCAGACATTGTGCGGATAGATGTGAGGTTGAGGTTGAGGGGAGGGAAAGTGTGGTATGCAGGATGAGGTAGTCAAGATGTGCTAAGACAATTGTACAGGCACTGATGATGCCGCTTCGCTGTAATGTCGGCCTTAGTCGGGCCGTGCTAGCGATTGGGAGCCGAACGTTGGCTTTTACCGACCCGCACTGTGCTCTTGGGCAATTTTGCGGCCGTCGATAGTGCGAAAAACAAGCAAACTGTCAAGGGAACAATATTAGAACTTGCAACGGAGCATTTGAATGTTTTGTTTTGATATGATGTAATGTCAAATGACTCATTGCAATGTACGGAGATGGAATATATATGACTACATCATGGAGGGTATCGACGGCTTATTAATGCCGATTTGGGTTGATGGTGAAATTTTGCCCATGTGTGACTGCATATGGTCAACTTGTTTTATGGGCGACGTGCAATGTTGCGGGCTCCTTGATTCATGTCCTGGCTCGTTTTCACGAAATGCGAAATAAGCAGGGAGATGGTCATTGCGTGGCTGCATTTTTGCTCAAAGCCGAGTACGCAGTCTTCGGGGAATTCGGAGTATTCGGGCTTGCGTAACGCAGCGGCGGCGCCCTCCGACTCAGCCGGGTGGTCAAGGTCCCCGACGTATTGCAATGTCCTGTCAGCTGAAGCTGGGATTTGGAGCGGGACGGCTAATCCTCACGCCGCATCTGAGCCTGCTGCGGACGTTGCAAATGCGTGCAGCGCTCTTGTGATAGTGTCGTCTGAAAAACCAGGGGTATTGAGCATTTCCGCAAAGCGCGTAGTTGTCGAGTCTCCCACAAGTTGGGTAGAAAGGGTATACTGGTGCTGGGACTGGTTTGGCTTGACGACAGTCGGCGCTTGGTGAGACTGCTGCGAGGGGAAGAGAGGAACAAATGACAGGTTGGTGACAGCGGCGTTGAGATTTGCGAGTTCAGCTGGGTGACTGTTGTCAGTCAGATTCCACTTGAGAATCTTGCCCTTTGTATGACCAGTGATGAGGGTAGTGCCATTGTAGTCCAAGGCCAGGCATGTGGCGGGGCCGGCGTCTGCGTCAGCCACACCCAGGGGCGACTGGACCTGGACAACGATGGAGGACTGCTCGGCGGCGCGGGAGCCGAGAAGCGGCTTGTCGCCAAAGAACTCGACGAGAAAGATGGAGCCGTCCTCGACGGCGACAATGAGGGCCCGAGCACAAGGGTCCAACGTGGTGCAAAGGGGTATCGAGGGGAAGAGCAAGGTCCTCAGGACTTGGCCAGTCTGGTAGTTCCAGATGATGCAGGTCTTGTCCTTGCTGGCAGAGACACACAGGCTCGTCTCGGCATTGTCGCCGGGGGCCACGACGAGGGATGTGATGGCGCCGCGGTGATTGGAGAGGGTCAGATCAGGCTCGAAGCCGGGATCGGCGCCGTACTCGAGCAGCCTGGCCAGGGACCAGACGTTGATGTTGGAGTCATCAGAAGCAGTTAACACGTGGCTGTCTGTGGCGGCAAGACAGGAGACGGCCTGCACATGACAAGGAGGGGTGGTGATTAGACGACCGGTTGTTGTCTACACGCCACCGAGTCAGCAAACGTGATATGAGAGAGGACCAGCGATGAGCGACGAGGACGAAAGCAAGCATATAAACGGATGTGCGCACGCAAGGCATGAGTATTATACGCAAGGAAAAGGGCACGGACGATTGATGTCCGAGTGAGAATGCGGGTTTGGAACATGAAAAATTAAAGGTACCTCCCAGAGCATCAGCCTGCCCTCGGCAGTTCCCAGCAGCAAGACATTTCCCGCAAGAGCCAGGCTGCGTATCCTCTCCTGGAAGGAGACGAGGGATTCTTGGTTGCCGCGCTGGCGCGAGTAGACGTGGACGTGGGCCTTTTGGTCCTGGGCGGCAAAGACGTGGTTGTCGCTGACGGCGAGGCAGCGGGGACCAACAGAGCTCTTCTTGAACGAGGCCTTGAGACGCCAGGCGGGTGCGACGGTGTGGGTGTAGATGCCAACGTCTTTGGGCACAGAGGTGTTGGCGGCGAGGAGGGGGCCGCCGATGGCGGACACGAGCTCTTCGGTGAGCATCGTTGTTGATCTGCTGCGGTGTGGCGTGGGAGCGATCCGTTTGTTGGCGGGAGATGTCAAGGGTCGCACATGTAGCGGCTCGTGACCGAGCAGGCGGAGAGAAAGCTGGCCTCAATTGGTTGTGGGGAATATGCGCTCAGACGGTAGGCGTTGTGCACTCGCGAGAAAGGGACAAGTGAGGGGGAACAGGTGGTATGCAAAAAGAAACCAAAAGTGAAAAGTGATGTCTGGTGATGGTGTACTTTTTTTTTTTGGCGAGCTAGACGTGGAGACGATGGAAGCCGATTGGAGAAGTGGATAAGAGGTGCCTAACATGTGCTGTAGGTACGGATAGCGGTTGAAGGAGCGGCAATCGTACATTTTTGCGCCAGGGTATTTTTGGTCGAGCTAGAAAAATATACATAATTGATAAGCACTCTTTTCGTGTATCATGATATGTCAAATTCTTGGCATACTTTTTATTGAACGTGTCAAGTGCGTTGACAGCCGGAGGATACATTCCCGAGGAAGAAAGCACTGCAAACTGCCCTCGGGGCTGTTTTAGGTACATGGCACGCAGCAGCCTTGTGAATGTTATCCGTAGCCACTGTTTGATTGACCTCGTTTCGAGTGCCTGACTCTGACCGGGTGCCTGCAACCACACTGGACCCCATTGTAGATGCACAATCAAGATGCATCTGAAATACCGGTCAAGATACTGCAGACAAGATGCGTCTGAAATACCGGTCAGGATATTGCAGACTGCGGCAGCCTCCGGTGAGTGCGAATGAATGGCCTGCTTAATTATTAGGTCTTATTTGTAGTAATTGCGCCCGTCAACTAGGTACAGAGTACGGAGTACAGCCGTTACAGTACCTTGATGACCAAGCCGTGCCTTGCGCAGCCTCGTCAATTGGCTGCTAATTAACACCTTTCCCATGTATTCTGTATTCTGTATCCGCCCAACACAACGCCACTCTCCTCATTGCTTTTTTCCATCTTTCCACCCTGACCCTGCCAAGCGAACTCGTCGTTTTTTTCTTCCTTTTTCATCTCTTCTTCCTCTGCGCCTCCACCCGGACTTGGCCGCCCTTACTTTAACTATTAGCACGCCACAACGTTCTCCGAGACCCGTTTCCCATGCGATGTGTGGCCCGTCGTTGCTTTTGGCGAGAATGATGCGTCACATCCCTTGCCTGGGAGCCACGGTCTCCGCCCAACAATGCACATCATCTCTCCGACCTGCTACGTGCGTGGGGGGATATCAAGGGCAAGCCCGCGTATTCTCTCTCATCCCAGGCAAAGCAAACAGGCACAAACGCCGTCTGTGTTGCCCTGACTTTGCGTGTACGTGCCCAAGGTCGCCTCAACCAGGGACACAATCTCAGTCACCGCCGGCGATGCCTTCGCTTCTCCCTTATTGACCACGAGTAACTATTCTTGGGGGCACTCACCCAGTTGATACCCACACCGCCAAGTCTCAGCCACGGCAAGCCAGAAACATGTCGGAAAATGGAAACCAACTATTCACAAATGACAAGGGTCAGCGTCTTCTCGCTCGCCTCGTCCTCGAACCGACTCGCGTTTCTAGAGAGTACCACCAACGTAACGCAAGGGGCCTTTTCTCTTTTTCGCTCTGAGCGTCTTCGTCCCCCACCCCCGCCTCTAACTATTAGTACGTACATACCATTGTAACTCTGTTTCCCCCTTTCCCGTCTATTGTCCCTTGGTTTGCTTTGGATCAATAGTTGAATCCTCGTGCTCGGCTTGCAACGTGCTCGACTCTAACTGCATCATCCCGTGCCCCCCAGTGATGACCAGTTACTATGACCAGTTAACTAGTTACTTGAACCGCTTGAACCGATACGGAACAGCGTCGAGGTAAAACGATTCACCAAGTCCATAACGGCCCGTTAAGAGCTTGCGCCACATGGTGCTGTCGGCCGCGACTGCCTGTCCGTGTTTCTACAAGCCGTAGCAGCGCATAGAAAGCCTTGACCTTGTCGTCTCTCTCTGTCTGTCTCTCTCTCCCTCTCTCTCAGCCTTGTTGCTCAGTCATTGAATTAATCTCATTCTCCAACATACGAGGACCTCGACACGCCTTCAAATTAGTTATCGAGCAGCCCACACGCGGTTGTTCAAGGAAACCCTTTGAAGCCAACAAACTAGTACCTGCGCGTTTCTTTTTCCGCCACGCCTAGTCCTGCAACTTGCTTCTTCCAAAGTCTAACCACAGAACGAACGGTGCATACGCCCACAATACACAACACAACGGCAATTTTGGCCACGTTGAACAAGATAGAGAGAAGAAGACCCAAAAGAAGAAAAACGAAACCACGCGCTGTCAAGCGGGTAAGCCACCATTCCACCATTCCAGAATTCCATCATTCCATGTAAATCCCGCTCAACGGCGCCGTCTGCCTTGATTGTAAAAAGTCTTGCTTCCTGCTCTCTCTCTCATCGACCCAGCATGATTTCCACTCCCTTTCAAATCCACACCACCGCCCCTTTGGTGCAACGAACTCATCTTCTCGGAGACGCCTCGTAAAACCAACTGTCTTGCCTGCCCGGCCCCCAAAAGGCAACTCTCTGTGTGGCCAGGGCAAACAAATTGCTGCACCGCCCGCTGCTCCTCCTCGTCCTCCCTCCTCCCTCCTCCCTTGACCCTTGTCGCGCCCGCCCGCCCGCGCCGTCGTCTCCGCGAGCCCCCCCGGCTATACTCGCTTCGGGTGCCCGTCCACATCGCCTCTTCTGATACATCCCGCACCCGATCCCTTTTAAACAGGAACCCCAAGACAAAAAGCTGTTTGTCTTGCCCTATTTGTCTGTCCCTACTTCTATCAAATCGCAACTGTCACTGCCCGTTGCCCGTGGGGCGTCCTCTTCCCCCTCCCAGTCGCCTCGTCTTATATAACTACTGCCCGCTGGCAGCCTTCGTCGTTCCCCATGCCCGCTCCCGACTGCGACGACCCTGCCTCCACCGTGCCGCTGGATGGCTTGCATATTGACCTGCCCTCGGAACAGCAGCAGACAGTCGTCCACACGAGCCCAGACAGCCCTACCAAAACGCCGAGCTCCTCGTGCTCTCGCAGCTCATCCCTCTCGCTCTCGCGGAAGCGGTCCGTCGCGAGCATGAAGGACCTCATGCCGCTAACCCTATCCGCTTCAGCCTCGAGTTACACAAGTCCGGTGCTTGCTGACGACGTCCTGAAGGACAGGGTCAACGACTACCTGCCTGAGCTGCTGGCCCAGGACTTGGAAGTCTCTGGCGACCTGTTCGCAGCTAAACGAATGAGTGCGGGCGCACCATCGTATTCGCTCGTCGCCGACTACATGACGCGAGCCAAGGCTGCTGGGTATTGTGCCAATCGACTCAGCACTGCCAGTTTATATCAACCAGCGTCCGCCCGGGTCCAGGTTCTCGGCGCCATTGAAGAACGAGACTCGAGTGCTGCCCTCTTTGAGCAGCAAGAACACCAGCAACACCGCCACAGCAGCGGCTACCCAGACACATCCGACATGGACGACATTTCCAGCGAGGATGGCTCGTTTGGAATGCCTCCTCCCTCATTCCGCTACCGCCGAAACATGTCCGTCATTACATCGGCCACTTCCTTCACCGAGTCGGCACCGAAACACTCTCCCCAGCCCTCACCGCGGCGCCTACGGCCTACCCGCTGCAGCTGGATTGACGGTGACTCTGATTCTGGCTCTGACATGGACATTGACGAGGATGAGGTTGATGATTTTTTACCCGAACCACTTTCACCTCTTTTTCTTGCGTCCCCCACGTCGCCTACAATGGCGCATCATCATCTCAACTACGAACAATCTATATCCGCGTGTCGTAGCCGGCTCGTACGCAAAAAGTCTCATTTGCTCACCGGGGTGCCGCCCAGTGCGTCATCCATGAGCGAGACAAGAATGTCATTGAAACCTGCAGTGGCATATGGTTCCTACACCACGCCGTCCAATCGCACAAGCTTCATTGCACAAGAGTTTCAGCGAGCCACATCACCCAGCCTGCCTGCCGCCGAGCAACGGACCCCCGTGTCACACACCCGTCCCTCGACACCTCCACCCGTGCCGCAAAAACATCACCGAAGGATCTCGAAGCTGAGCGAGGAGAGCCTCTCAAGACAAAACCAGCCGCTCGCCGTCTCTGCCGTCACCGCCCGCCCACCAGCGCTCACACTGGAATCACCACCCATGAGCGACGCGCACACGTCAGATGCCGAGATTGACGAGGACGCTCCACAGCACGACCCAGCGGCATCTTGGCGCGGTGACCTGGACGTGGACTACTCCAGGACAACACCGCCGGCCTCGCCGCCTCGGCACTTTGTCACCTGGGCCAACGCGGCGACGCCGTACGTGCCCAACTTTGGCGGCGACGAGCTGGCCAGGGTCGTGCCGCTGCCGCCGGATGTGGTCGAGACCCTGCGCGTCTCGGTTGCGTGCTTCCCCGAGACAATCCTCCTGTCGTCGAGCCTGACGATTGAGACGATCCGATCGTACTCGAAGAAGATGAGACATCCCGAGACGGACCTCCTGAGACTTGCATCGCCCGCGACTCTCCAAGACAACAACAGCAGCAGCAGCAGCAGCGGCAATCATCACAGCGGGAAAAGATCGCTCTGGAACAAGGTCAACCCGCTCCGCAAAGCATCGTCCTCGAGCCTGCGGCACAGCGCCGTCGCGCGCTCTGCCAGCGGAAGCCGCGCGGGCAGCATCAGCGCCGCCCCCGCCGCCGCCGTCGCCGACGCGCAAAAGGCGTGGAGCGCCATCCAAAACGTCTTTGGCACCTGCTCCGAGTACATCTGCGACGCGCTCTTTGCGCACATCATGGCCTACAACTACGTCTCTGCGCTGCTCGCCCGCGCGAGCCTCCCGGGGCGTCATCCGAGCGGCGGCGGCGGCGGCGGCGGTCGGCCGTCAACGGCGGCAACGGTCGCCGCAGACCAGAAGCGAGACGACATTCCCAGAAAGGCCGCCTCCCTGCTCGGCCTCGACGACGGCGGCGGCGGCAGCCGCCTGGGCCGGCGCACGAGCACCATGACCAGCACCCTCCTCCTCGCGCGGCCGTGGTCCAGAGACGGCTTGCTGCCTACCACGGCGCCGAGTGCGGGCAGCAGCAGCAGCGACGCCCCGGTCAGGACCGTGCACGAGGGCCTGTACAGGTGCATCGTGCGACTCATTGCCACGGCGCGTCTCACGTCTGCGAGCGGGCGGCTGGACGAGCCCATTGTCGACGCCGACGCCACCGAGGCCGACGCCTTGTTTATGAGAAGTCTCTGCGAGATTGTGCGACTTGTGGAGGAGACGTCGTAAATTTGTTTTATTTATTTTACGAGCCATGACGTTTTCCGACTGCAGTACATTGCACAACAAACCTTTTTTTTTGTTTTCGGGGGTGTCTGATTGGTGGTACTTGAAAGTTTTCCAGGTTTTATGCTGTTTGTGTGTTGTTTATAGGCCTGCTTTCTTTGTTGATTGGATCTGCAGGATGGAAAACATGGTCATTAGCGAGGAGCTGGGTTGTTTGTCTTATTTGCAACAGTCTTTGCGCCGTCTCTTATTATTCCCCCATCATCTATACGCGCTGTACACTCTGATCATTGACCAATGAGCCGGCATCTTTTTTTCATACCCCAGCCAAGAAGAATTAATCTCACCGCTTTCCGTATTCTAACTTTCTTGTCCACCTTGACATTCGTAACTCGCGCGTCATGCGTAGCCATGTGGGCGTACGAACGGAGCGTCAGGGGCCAGCTGTGCTACAGACTTGCGACGAACTGCCCGAATCGGTCAGCTTCGGCGTATCTACGCGCAACAGTCGAGATCTTCAGTCATGGCCCTTGAGATGTGGCGTTTGAGTTGGGGGTGGAGGACCAGATGTACAGCTTTGCATCTCACCATGTGGGCGAATAGGATGATGGGGGGTTGGCAATTGCCATTCATGTATTGAAATAACGTTGGGTATCGTGTGCCTGCCTCCAAAAAAAGGAAAAAAACGGCCATCTCCCGGCTGTTGAAACGCCAAAGGGAAAAGAAGGAACTATACAAGCTATCTATGCGAACTGTATTGTATTATATGTAGTACACGAGCTGCGGTCGCGTAGCCGGCGCAGCAATTTTTTTGTTGAGAACAAATTGGTCGGTTTTTTCTTTCTTTTTTTTCCCTGCGTGTTTTACAGAGCCAAGGGACCAATCTTGTCGCCAAAGAGCTCCTCGAACCACGGCTTCTTGCCCTTTTGGCAGATACCATCCCATGAGATGGGGGAAAACGTGGCCTCCCCGCCGTCCGCCGCCGGCTCGAACACGGTGACGACCTTTTCGTGCGTCTCCGATGCAGGCGGCATGTAGACAACCTCTGTGCCATCCGCGGCCAGGGCCGGCATGCGGACGAGCGGACGGACGCCCGAGCCCGTCTGCGGGAGGATGAGGTGCGACGAGACGAGGCGGCGCAGCTGGGGATAGAACCACATGCGCTCCCACCAGTGCTCGACGCGCCAGGCCTTGAGGTTGTCGACGTAGGCGTTGTGGTGGATGCCGACGGGCGTGGTGCCGAAGAAGAAGTCGGTATAGAGCGGGACGTCGCCCCAGGCAATATCGCGGAGCGGATCACGGTACGTGGCGGCGTCGTCGTCGTCGCGGGCAGCGCTGCTGGGTGATGACGAGGCCGCATTGCTGTTCGGGGCGGCCAGCTCCGAGGGCACGCCGCGCACGCGCACGCCGTCGACGACGCCGGCCTTTTCCGACTCGGCCTCGACCTGCTCGTGGTCGTTAAGGCGCACAAAGTAGCCGTCCTCCTCAGCGGAGCACGTCGGCGGGATGGTGGCGAAGCCGTAGTCGAGGCCGATGCCAAACTCAAAGTTCTTGCCCTGCAGCGCGGCGCGGACGATGGGCCGGACGTCGCGGTGCAGGCTAGATGGCGCGCTCTCGGCGACGGCGCCGTCCCACGTCGACCCGAGATGCCGCATCCACTCCCGCCACAGCTCCTGATCGCCCATGACATCGCCAAACAGGGCCTGGTCGCTCCAGAGCTGCCGGCCGGTGCGCTCCGCCTCAGCAATCTTCTCCTTACCGCGCGAGAGGGCGGCGCGGAGCGCGCCCATGGTGCCCATGATCATGCCGCTGTTGACGCACCGCGGCCGGACCTTTTTGTATTTCCGCGCCGCGTCCAGTAGCGGCCCGGCTATCCGATCGGTGCCGGGACCGTACATAAATTCCGGCATGGGCGACTTGGGCCAGTGCTCGTAGTGCGGGTCCGAGCCGGATTGCGGTCCTGGGTGGCAGTCCTTGGCGGCCGTGACGAGGATGTTGTGCTTAGGCGGCGGTATAGGGAAATTTGTGTGCTCGCCCCAGGTCGCCTCCCACTCCTTGCGCACGCGCTGGTCGGCCTCCCTATTGAGCTGATGGTAACGGCGGATAAGGACGGACGGGGGCAGCTGGAACCAGACGTCGTAGGCGTCGACGAGGACGGCGAGGTCGTCGTCGTGGGCGACGCCTCGGGGGTCGGCGAGCAAGGCCTCGATGGCAGCGTGCAGGCTCTCGAGCTTGGCGATGTGGCTGCCGGCGAGGTGCCACTCGGGCCGGTTGAACTCGCCCTTCCAGTTCAGCAGGACGGGGAGCGGGTAGCCGAGCGCGACCGAGGACATGACGGACTTGCAGAGGCTGAGATGGGGCGCGTCGGCGGGCATGAAGACGCGGAAGCGGCGGGCGCCGGCGGCGTTGCGGGATGCGGAAGGGAGGGAGAGGTTCTGGAGCTGGGCTTGCGTGACGGTGCCGTCCCAGGAGGACTGGCGCAAGCCGCCCAAGGAGGAGCTCTTGGTGGCCTGGTTGTGTGTTAGTAGGAAGAGGAATGATATGCGCAAGGTGCAGGGGAGGGGGGACAATAGCGAGGACGAACCATGAAGCCGGTGGCCATGATGGTTACGGCGACGACAAAGACGGATAGGCGCTTGACGTTGCGGAAGCGCTTCTTTTGCTTGCGCGACGATGGCGGCGCGAGGGCGGGTTCGTCGAGGGGGAGGCTGAGACGGCCCCGACCACGACGAAAGTGTTTAAACATGGTGGGTGGGTGTGCCGAACACGCGGCGCTGCTGTCGGTGCCAAATGATGTGAATGTGCGAAGATAACAAGATGTTTACTGATTCAAGAAAAAGGGCATCAAGAGAGGACAAGGAGGAGTGATGGAATGAGATGTGAGTTGTCAGCAGCCAACACTTATTGGGAGAGGAGAGGCTAACAGGCAGCACGCACAGCTTGGAGTAAGTGGAACAGAGGGGAAACGGAGGGGGAATGTAGAGGTACATGGAGAAGCGTCTAACAGGGGGTCATTTCAGCACGGGGAACGGGATCAATGATAATTAGTGTACGGATACTCGATAAGTTTGATGGGATGGATGGAGCGGGAGTGCGTGGTGTGTGTCGGGTCTTGGGTGCACGGGCAGACAGGTTGCGGCAATAGTTAGCGTGCGGCATTCAAACAGACAGTTGGGTCTATCCGAACAAGCTTCAATTGTTGGCGGCGGGCTAACTAGGACGGAATGGTGTCTTGGACTCTTTGCTCTCTGGTCTTGGCTCTTGGGAGACGAGCTATTGTGCTGTTGCGTGCGTCATTTTGCGGCGGCAGCCAATGGATTAGGGCCGTGAGCGGACCTGGATGTACGGATTAGTGTCTAGAGAATAGTGAGTGTAATTCGTACCTACTGATACGCATCGTCTCGATACATACATCCATCTCCTTGCTGCTGCTGGTGGCTTGCTCCTTGTTCATGCGTTCCTGGTGGCGCCCCCTTGTTCCTTTTTCTGTTTTCTGTCAGTTGTATCTGAGGTACGTAATGTTTCTTTTACCCCGTACTGTACTCCTGGGTTCCTTCCTTGCCTGACCAATTCCTGCAGGGCAATCGTTTTCGCTTGCCAGTTGTACTTGCGGCTAGACGTGGCACTACAAGCTCTAAGCTGCCCCTGGTCGTCTTTCGCCGCACTGTGAGTGGCCAAGCTGGGGGCCAAGCAGGTGGCCTTCCTTTTTTGTGACACCTATTTTTTTTTTTTACGTGACTGCCGTGGGTGGTCAGTTTGTTGAGAATCACATGCCAAAAGTTGCGCATTGTACTGCGCCAACATGCGCCCCAAAGCTTTTTTGTTCTCTCGCGTGCTCATTTCGTCTCGGGAAGTTGAAATTAGCTAACCAAGAGCAAATCGAATCACGTACAAGAACCCAAATACTTGTCCATTTTAGCCAAGGGGAGGCAGCCGGGACATGGTGATGCGCACACGCAGCCGCAGATCAACTCTAGGCCAGATGCAGGTGTGTACACCTGGGATCTTGGCTTGCAGGGAACTAGTTTTGGTTCATGAAAGCCTGAGCTACTAATTCGTACTAGTGAGTCAATCAGCAATTAGCAATTGCCTCCCGTCGAGGCTCTCAACGCTTACACGTGCGGCAGAGGGGCCACCTCAGAGGCTCTCCACTGCGACTAGCGAGCTCCTCGCCATCTGGCCAAGACAATGCCCCCCCTGTAAAGTGAAATATCGTCCACTATCGCTGCAACCGTGGCATACATAAAACACTCTACTTTTATTTCCCTCTCATCCCCTGCAGCCTTTTCTTTTCTTGTAAAACGATGGCGGTCGTCCGGAGCGCTGTGGGGCCGTTCAGTATGGGGCCACGGAGTAATGGGGCATTGGACTCCCCGTACTGGAGCTCCGGCTTGGAGAAGCTACCCGAGGTGCGAGAATGCAGCATTTGTCAACGGGGGCACGAGAAAATGTTGAGAAGTGCCCGAGGGCTGGAGAGTATGTGACGGATCGAAAAAAGGTGGTGAATAATGATTGTTCCAGATGCGTTACTTGTCTACTATATCCCATGCACAGCGCAGTTCCAGAAGCGTTGCAGGCTACTGGTATCACTGCAGTTGCAGCAGCTGTGAGGCAGTCACGCGAGCAATGGCTTCTGGATAGCGGCAGGAAATAAGAAAAAACTCAAAAATAAGAAGCAAAAAACATCTGAAGTCAAGGCCAAACTCTGCTTCTGGCAATGCAAGGCGTGTGAGTGAACAAGACGCACCATATTTCAGCACACTTGGTGCCGTTGTACAGGTACCTCTGCCCGCTAAAACGCCAACCCTAGCAAGCTCCACCGCCCCCATCGACAGGCAGATTGGACCCATCCATCACAGCGTCCCGTGGGCCAGTCTACTGGTCACCGGCTTTCAATTCAAAGACAGCTTTGGCCCCCGTTTCTCGTCTATCAGTATAACCAAATATCCGTGGCCAACAAGCAAGCACCTGGGCCACGTTTTCGATTTCCTGTCTCGCGTGCTCTGTGCGCTTCTCCGTGAACTGTTCTCTGTACAAGCTGCCCGTCCAAGTTGCTCGCTGGCCGACCCGCAACGGTCCGCGAGCCCGTCCTCAACACCAACAGCGACATCAACGGCAAACGCCAAAACCTCAGCAACCAGCCCGACGATTTGACACCATGGTCCCGCAGAGCCATGAACGGCAGCAGGCCTTCAAGGCCCTGCGCAGCCAGAGCATCAAAATCATCACCGGCTACACCATCCTCGGTGCGCGGAACCCCCAATCCCCCAGACACAAAAAACCCTTCTCGCTAACCCACAACTCACCACCCAAACAGGCTTCTGCAACGTCGTCCTCGCCAACATCATCTTCTCCGCCAGCTACCTGCTGATCCCATACACGCGGCCCGTCGTCATCCTCATCCAGCTTGTCCCCGCGCTCGCCACGAAGCTCCTCGCGCCGCACCTCCTCGCCGCACTGCCGTGGACGCTGCGGCCCTTTCTCGTCGCCGGCTGCTGGTCGCTCGCCGTCGGCGTCACGGCCGTGACGCCGGCCAACGTGCCGGCCGTGTGGCGCGTGCTCATCACCATGCTCGCTGCCGCCACCGCCGCCGCCACCGAGGTGTCGTGCGCCGGCCACCTGCGGCACTTTGGCCGCGCCGGGCTCGCGGGTGGGGGGTCGGCAGCGGCGCCGCCGCCGTGCTCTGCGCCGTCGCGCCGCGCGTCATGACCGTCGGCGCCCGCGTCGTGCTCCGCGCCGCCGTCGGCTACGCCCACTACCTGATTGCCGCCGGCCTCGTCGCCGGCTCCATGATTCTCCGCCGCCCGCCCGTCTTCACCGCCACCACCGTCGACTGCGTCAAGTTTGACGCCCGCGCCAACGAGGACGGCGCCGGCTTTGTCGTCCACGAGCCGCCCCCGAGCGAGCCCGCCACCTGGACCGCCCGCGTCGAGCACAACCTGCGCCTGCTCGACCCGCTCGCCAAGCCCTACATCCGCTCCCTCTGCTTCGCCTTTACCCTGCAGGCCCTCGTCGCGCCGGGCATCGCCCGCGCCTACGGCCGGTCCGACGTCTTTGGCAGCTTCGAGACCTTTTATGCCGTATTCAACCTCGCCTTCCAGGCGGGTAACCTCGTGTCGCGCTCCACCATCCTGCTGATCCGCTTCCGCCACCTCTCTCGTCTCACATCTCTTCTGGCCGTGCTGGCCGCCGTGGTGCTGGTCAACGGCGTCGCCACACTCGTCTCCTCGCCCTACATCGTGCTACCTGCGCTCTTCGTCACCGGTCTCCTCGGTGGCGCCATCTACGCCAACGTGTATGCCTCCGCCCTCGAGCAAATGGCGACGGACAACCCTGCTGATGCTGAATTCGGCCTTGGCGTCATTGGTGCTGGCGAGACGGCTGGTACGCTCTGCGGCTCGCTGCTCGCTGCCCTGGCCGAGCAGAGCCTGTGCAGCGTAGATGCAGGAACCGGCACGCGGTGGTGCTACTCCAGAGCGTGAACAAAAAAAATGTATTCTTCATTTCACGGCGTTTTCAACAATACGGCATGGCATATACACATGATACCCAGTCTTTTGTATTCCTCTACTCACAATTTTACAATGTTCCAATGTTCCAAATCTAAGGCTAGTAAGATATCAACACATATTAATCAAATAATTTTATAGCTTCCATTCTACCAAGATTCATGCTAATAACCTCAACAGCCATCTAGCTAACAATCTTAGCACTTGGTGAGTAAAATCTTTCTGCCTATATGCGTGTTCAGTCTGTATATTTTTATCCCAAACCTTCGTCCTTTTATTGCGGCCATGAGACGGCCGCCCGCTAGCCACTGCTCCGACACAAACATAGTGCTTCACGAGGCTGCGCGAGCACCATTCATACTTTTGTTGTTCATAATTAGGGAATCGAAATGCCGGGTCGCGCATCAGGCTATGCCCACCTTGGATCCAAAGACGCCGACTTGTCTAGCATAGTCGCTGAACCCTGTGGCTTTGTCCGCAAACGCCGACCTTGTTCCCATGCAGATTGCCTCGACCAGTTCTTCCGCAAAGTACTGGAAGGAGATTTGCCACGGCGAGCCCTCTCGCACGCGCTGCTCCCAATGAACCTTGAGCGGCAACCATTCTCGGCCAGGGAGGCGCTGTTCCAGCAGAACAGGGCTTCCCTTTCTCTGGATAAATCGAAGCTCGTGCTCATTGTCAAGACGGAGCGTGACGGAAAATAGTTCAGTGTCTGCAGCACCGTCACAGTCCACCGAGTACTTTGTGGACAGGCCGCAGCAGCCGTTCATCTGGAAGGCCGACTCGACATCGGGAGTCTTGGTGGCTCCAGCATCTTCGGTCGGTAGCGGACCAATCGAGTTCGATGTGGACATGTCTTGCACCGAGGCCGGGGTGAGTGACGAACTCGTGAGCCATTCGATGAGATCGAGGAAATGAGTGGCCATGGCTAGCATCATGCCTCCTCCGGCGGCTTTGGAGAAGCCAGCGCTCCAATGGGTGAGCTTGGACAGCCGCCGAGTCAAGTACTGAATGTCAATGGCCAGAATGTTGCTTGGTTCTTTGGAGGCCGCCTTGAGCTGAATGAGCGGCGGGTAGAAGCGGAGAGGGTGGTTCATCAAGCGCAGCTGAGAGGAGCCTTGTGATTGATTGGCAAAATGTCGCATCGTTGCCATGTCCAAGGCAAGTGGCTTCTCGCATACAATGTCAAAGCCGCCGAGGTCAAGGGCCTCCTGGACAAGAGCAGCATGCTTATCGTGCGGAGAAGCGACAAAGAGCAGATTGGCGCCGTGAGTTGCTTGCACTTCGGCCAAAGAGACATCAATGCATGGTATACCGTGTTTGTTCCCCGCGGCCTCCGTCTTGGCACGGTCACGACCGCCGCACAATCCAACGACTTCAACTCCGCGCCTCTGCAGGGCTGGCAGAATGGTCTTGACACCATATCCCGTCCCCACTATGATGGCCTTGGGGCGCTCGATGACGTTAAAAGCTTCCAGAACCAGGTGGGCAGACCTGGCCAGGAACAATTCCTTGTTGCGATGCACAGTTTCGTTGCGCGATGTAAGGTCGAACGGCACTGTCATTCCCAGCTCTTCCGGGCGTCGGAGATAGTCGGTAATGAACATGAGAGGCAGTAACTGGACGCGCTCCATCGAGGGGTTCTCTTCATGCACGTCCGTGAGCGCTCTTGCCATCTGCGCCAATTCGTTATCAACGGAGGAAGCGCCATGGGCCTCCACTTGTGTCCGAAAGTCGACATCCTGCTCCACGATGGTGGGCGTCGACACATGCAGGCCGCGATCAAATGTGGGGAATCTCGATGAGAGTGGGTTGATGGGCAGGGCTGAGTGATCGTCTCCGTGCCAGCAGGCTTGGCCCTTGTCAAAGACGCAGTACCGGGTGGGCGAGTAGATTGTGCGGTGGATGTCGCCCGGCGACAGGAGGGTGCCCTGCTTAGCAATGTAGCAGATGGCGCGCGGTCTGCGGGCGGCCAGCTCCCGGACGACGCGCCCGCCTAGGTTGCCCCAGTAGCTGTACTTGGCACCGATGAGGCTGAAGACGAGCCCCGGGCGGAGCTCAAGCCGGACAAGACCGTAGTACTGCGCGTCTTGTCGCCCAATGACTCGCGCGGTGGGCACGAGAGAAGCAAACCGAGGGAGCAGCTCGGCGACGAAGCCGAGAATCAGAATATCGCCAGGCTCAACGCTGAGGGAGAGCTCTGTCAGTCCTGTCCAGGCCATCATGGACTGCGTGAGGTGCGGATACAGCACGCAGCGGATCGGTCCGTGATGCGAGGAGATTGCGCCGTCGTGCTGCGCGACCTCGAGGATGCTCGCATAGTGGCGGATGTAGTCTTCCCCAGGCATGATGGTGAGGAGGGCGACGATCCTCTGTGAGCCGGATTCCTGCGCCAGGAGCAGTTCCGGGCGGAGAAAATTGTAGGGCTTGTGCAGATCGTGGGTTCGCCAGACGAAGCGCTCCACCCAGTCAAAGCCACAGGCGCGGTGGTGCTTCTGCAGGTACTGAAAGGGGGCTGCGTGAAGCTCGACGGGAATCTTGAGCTGTCCCAGCCGCTCCAGGTGCTGCATCGGCAGGCGGCTAAGACAGTACTCAATCAGGGCATACGACATGGTGTGGTTGGCCACGGTCGGTCGTGCGAAGTCGACGAGCTGTCGGAGGGCCACCCCATTCGACCAGGTGCGTCGAAACGCCGGGTCAAAGGGTTGACGCAATGCATCACGGTGATTTTCCCGTTCAAAGGATGGAAATGTAGTCGGATAAGCGTTCTCGTTCATGGCCATGGTTACAGGAGGAGGATGGTGCAAGGCAAGGTTGGAGGAGATAAGGTCGGCGGCGCCACAAACCACTGGATGGCGTGTCGTGTCAAGAAGGAGGGGGCTTTTCCAATCGAAAAGGCAAAACCCTGTTTAAAAGAGTGCAAAGCCGAGTTGGACTCGCCTTGCTTGATTTAAGGCTCTGATGAAGGTTTTGAGCCAAGAACAGGGACTCGCACACCATGTACCGGGGCAAGAGGGATGGAGGCCCGGATGTCCGCATACTGACATGTACTTTGCGGAAGCAGCGAATACATGGCCACCTCAGGACAGGGCAGTGAAACGCAAGTACCTTGGTAGACAAGCAATCACATAGAAAATTTGGTACTATTCGCCACGACCCTTGCAGCTACGCTCTTTGGAGCAACGCGGCAAGTAACGAGTGTGCGGCGGTACCGCTGCAGGTGTAGATCTTATTGGAAATCAAGACATATTATACATGAGTGTGATATAATTTTATTACGTTGCATATGGCGGCTCCACGGAAAGTGTAGGTAGTGCTTAGGATGGTGACTGGCCGCAGTCTTGGACATGTGGGTGTGAAAGTAGTACATGAATATCTAATCTGTATCAAGTAATGAGTATTTCACGTAGAGACTGGGGAAAACAGAATATCGAGGAATATAATACAGAATTTTGTATAGGATTTATAGTAGATTTGATATGGTATAAATTCCTTTTATTCTTGTCCTCGGTATTGGTGGAATTGCATTCCACTAGGGCCCACGAACGGCGGACGGACGGGCCGAGCCGCTTATCCCGATGTCACTTACCCCGCCGACCGCCGCGCGATCCATAGCTCCAACGTCAAACAAGGTACAAGAGCAGATGTTTCCGGACCACGTCAGCGCCGAAATGCGCATATATGTTTCTTCGTTCGTTCCTCTGCCGATCCCTCCGATGATGAGATTTTCCTTTTTCCTAAAAAGGCAGTCCGCATGAGTTCGGCCCCAGCTCAGCACGACTCGTACATGCGGTCCCCCCTCGGGGGCTGATTTCGCATAAACACGGCAACATCGCATCACCATTGCGAGTGCCGACGGCCAGCTGAACGAGATTCCCTGGGCGACAAGATTTGATGCAGATGCTCGCGGTCTAGAACACGTCGACAGCGAGGTTTAAGACTGTTGAACCCGCCAAGCATGATTCATGCCCGCATGTTGCGGAAAGCCCGGTCGAACCACTGAGCAAGATTCCTGGCTGCAGCCTGCGGGAGGGAGCATCTAGTTACCGGATGGATATAGCAACGCACCAAGTTCATCGTGGTCTGTTGCCGCGAACCATCTTGGCGGCCTGATGTTGACACATCAGCCTTGGCATGGACAAGAACTTGGTAGACGACGTCAGCACTCTACTGCATGACGGCATACAATACATGCCGAATAATCCTCCCACTCGTAGCCGCGCGACGGCCTTGTTGGGCCGCTAGGTGCCGTGCCGTACACAAGGACAGACAGGTTGAAGCAGGGTCCGGCGGGACCGTGGATGGTGCTTGCTTGCAACGCCACCCTCGATGGCAGTAGGGGTGGCGTTGCCGGCGAGAACCCCGTCTACGCCTCTCAGCGTGACCACTGGGGTAGGCAAGCAGAGACAAAGATGCGAGACACCAAGCCAGTCTGAGTAAGCAGTGCATATATGTACATGTAAAAAGACTTGGCCGTTTCAGGACCCTACTTTCGCTCGTCACTGCCCCGTCTGTACGACTGGATTTTTGTCTGCGACTTGGCAACCAGTATCATCATTGTTCCTCGACGGCGCACATTCTCTTTAACACCATACCGTCTCGTACCACTCCTGTCAATACCAGTCGGGGCAGCAGAGATGTCTTGTCCTACCAGCGCCGGTGTCCTCCAGACTCACCAGCTCCTCAATGACAACAGCATCTTGATTCGGGATGAAATCTACGGGGAGGAGCTGGTTTCGGAGCCAGTTCTCGTAGAGCTGCTCCAGAGCGCAGAGGTTCAGCGACTTCAGGGCATCTGCCAACACGGAGTCACGGGATTCTTGGGCATCACGCCGCGTGTCACACGCCTCGAGCATTCGGTCGGTGCATTTATACTCGTGCGAAGAGTCGGTGCCGCGCTCGACGAGCAAGTCGCAGCCCTGCTCCATGACATTTCTCACACCACTCTCAGTCATGTCATTGACCACGCCCTCTCCAAGCCTGGGGAGGGAAGCTACCACGAGGTGCACAAGGCGCGGTATCTCAAGACGACGCGGCTGCCCGACATTGTCGCCAAACACGGCATCAGCCAGAAGGTTTTTGAAGAAGAGCTGTTTCCGCTGGTGGAGATGCCGTCGCCTCAACTGTGCGCCGACCGCCTCGACTACGCTCTACGCGACGCCGTCAGCTTTGGCAAGCTGGCCATGGAAGACGCACAAAAGGTTGTCTCGTCTCTCCGGGCATTTCCGAGTGCGACAACGGCCCGGCGTCTGCTCGTCCTCGACGATGCCGAGGTCGCTCTGACGCTGTCCCGCGCATACACGACGACGGACAAGGATGTCTGGTCGAACCCGGCCCACATCGACATGTACGAGCGGACGGGCCGCGTGATTGGCGAGCTGGTCGAGGCCGGCTCTGTCGAGGACAAGGTGCTGTGGCAGGTCTCGGACGCCGAGTTTTGGACGATGCTCCGCCAAGCAGCGAACCCGGAGCAGCGACGCGCCATTGAGCGGCTGGAAACGGAGGGCGTCCCAGAGGACGACGGCCTCGAGCTGCCACACTGCGCCAAGATCCGCACTCTTGACCCAGACGTCTGGCCGCGAGGGGAAAAGCAACCGGCGCCGCTGTCCATTGTGTTGCCGACGTGGGGAACGGAGCGACAGCAGTACATTCTGAGCCGCACGCAGCATCGATGATGATGGCTGTTTTTCCCCGGGGAAAGCAAGCCGTGGCGTCGTCAGGCGCCGAGACAAGAGACGACTGCAGATGGAACTAGCTGGCTAGCGGCACGGCGTCAGCTTCGAGGTCAATAATCTGTATGCAGTCAGCCCGTCTGCCCATCCTCTTGGCAGGAGGCGAGGCATCTGCACCCTCGAACCAGCTACCAGGTACAACCAGATAGTCGAAAATAAACACTCTACACCCGATTTATTCTCGGCCCATGTTTTCTCGCAAGGTGTGTACGGTATCGATCTTGCTCATAGCCATCGCCATATAGATGCTGCCATTCCTGATCCGTACCTGGATGGTACCTTGGATCCCTGCAAGTGTCCAAAGAGGGGAGCTGAAGTGTCCAACCCCCCACCACTCAAAAGTCCCCGGCGTCGGGCAGTCGAACAGTAGCTTAGAACGTGCAGACGCCGGCAGATGAAGCTAAAAAAAAGGGATTTACTGAGACTGGGGGTCTTTTGGGTATTCGTTTTTTATTTCTGGGTTAAATTCTGGGGCATTTGTAACGGTATAGTGGGCAGTGACGCAGGCGCATTATACATATACCTTGTCGTAGCTTTGCTTCCCCTGCCATGTGAAGAGCCACCGTCCACGTCACATGTCTCTTGTGCATGTCTTGGAGGATCCTCCGTACTCGGTCAGCATACATAAAAACGTTTTTTCAATCTCTCATCTCACTGCCCGTCTACATAGATCATCGTGGGCCTGTCTTGGCCCCCCCGTCTGATGGGGCAACCCGCAGCCCGCAGCTCCAAGCGGGAAGAAGGATGCCATTTTCCTGCAGCTCAGGCAGCCACAATTGTCAATGCAGGTTTTTTGATGCAGTTCAGGCAGCCACAGGACAGAAGATCTTTGTAAAAGAGGCAAGTCTGGATGGGTTCCAAAGGTTGCTGTGCGTTGCATGTGACGTTCCCCTCTCGCTAATGTGCTTGCAGGGTTGAATTACAACAGTGTCGTGCGACGACGCAAACGGGATATATTAATCAACGGGAAAGCTTCAAAGCTAGTGACCTTGCTTCTATCTCTCCGTACGCAGTTGAACTTTCTGAATCTCGGATCGATCAAGTTACCTCGGGACTGGCTGTACAAGGTTACGAGGTTACACAGTGCAGTGTTTGGCCCACCAACCCCTGTTTGTCTTGCAGGTGAAAAAGTGTCGTGATATTCACCTTCAAAACGTCACTTTCTCCCTAACACCCCCCCTCACCCCCCTCGTGTTTGCCCGTCATGTCCGAGTCAACCGCCTACACCATTATTCTCCACGGCAACGATGCGACTGGCAAGTCGACTCTTGTCCCCGCCCTAAGAGCAGCCGGCGAGGTCATCTACGCCCGCGGTGACGACGATGCCACTCTCGAAGACACCATCGTGGTGCGATCCTTCGACAAGTTCACGCTGCGGCTTGCTGACGACGACCGCGGGCCGCTGCCCCAGTCCTACACGGACAAGGATGGCGTCCAACGCCGCATCGTGCGCATCATCCTCGACGCCGACCTTGACGTCCTGCAGGCCCGGCTCGCCAAACGCCCGAGCACCGACCAATGGGAGTCGGAAAAGTCTCTCTTTTACTTCCGCGCGCGGTTCCTTGTCCGTTCTCTTCTTTCCGCATTCCAATTGGGGGCCACTGCTAACAGGGTCATCAGGAACTAGCGGCGTATCACGGCCTGCCCGTCATCAATACCGGAGAGAAGAGCCTCGATGAGACCATGGCGGAGATCATTGCGCTCGCCCGCAACCCCGAGACCCTGGCCCTCTTCTCCAAGCTTGCACTACGCACACTGACACCCGAGGACGTCGCCTCCCTGGCCGACCGCCGCGCAGTCATCGCCGGCGTCGACTATGCCAAGAGACTCGAGGACATCATTGCCGCCGAGTGCGGCGAGACGTCCCTCTTCACGCCCGAAGACGTTCGCGCCCAGTGCCTTGAAGACCCGGGCCTCGTGCATGCCCTTGTCAACCACCACGACAACCTGCACGACGCAGAGGCCCCCCTGCGCCTTCGCCAGATCGTCGAGGGCGAGTCCAAGCAAATCTACAAGGTCGAGTCGCCCCTCACCCACCACTTTGACAACCTCGTCCTCGTCTTCCTCAAGCCCACCATCTACTCGCACAGCAAGCAGGCGACGGCCGAGATTTCCGGTCTCAGCGCCGTCCGCGCAAGCGGCTCCCGCCTCTTCCTCGAAATGCTCCACCGCGCCGGCATCAGCCACACGTACCACGGCCTCAGTGCCCATGGCCTAATCTGGGCGCGCAGCACCGAGATCACCCAGATCGAGACGGTCTACAAGGAGCTCTGCGCCGGCACCGACAAGCACTCTTTCTTCGGCATGGCCGCCGACCCCAACGTCACGCTGCCCACTGGTCAGTACAAGCGCGGGCCCTACGTCCGCTTCGACTGGCGGAACCCGAACCACGTCTACAACGGTGTCAACCCGGCCACGCACCCCTTCTACCACCTCATGGAGGCATCTGTGGGCAAGAACGCTTTTTACGACAAGTACCTCACCGGCCGCGCGAAGCCGCTCGGCGACAAGTGCGTGCCCGAGGAGCTCGTCCACAGCGTGCAGGCTGTCGAGGCGTCGGTCGACTGGACCACGCGCATCTTCTTCACCATCCAGCACTACCTCCACCAGATCGGACTTGAGGTCCAGGACGGCTGCGTCATGCTCGACCCGACCGGGCGCATCATGTGGTCCGAGATCAACCAGGACTGCATGCGCATCAAGCGGCGCGAGCGGACCGAGACCACCAACGGCAGCCACCAGGGCGTCTTTGACAAGGATGTCTGGCGCGCCGGCGGCAGCTCCGTCAAGGAGGCCATCCTTGACAAGTGGACGCAGCTCAACGGGCTGCTCCGCGAGCACCTGGCCGGCCGCCCCTTTCACGAGAACGAAATGGTCGCCGCCTTTGAGCCGTACGGTATGCACGCGACCGAGGTGCTGGCGGACAAGACGCTGACGCTCACGCCGCGCTACCGGGCGCTGTACGAGCGCCTCGCCACGCATGACCGCTCCCTCCTGCGGTCCGGGGGCTCGGCCGACAAGGCGGCCTCGGAGCGCCTGCTCGCGCTCATGCAGGAGCACATCTGGCAGGCCATCGCCGCCGTGCCGCCGCTCAACGGGCACGACGAGGCCAAGCGCATGGTGCGGCTCGCCAACACGTTTGCGCGCCGCGTCGGGCTACCCCCCGCCGAGGTGAGCGCGCTCAGCGACGCCGACGCCGAGACCATTCTCGGGCGGACGGCCACGCCGCCCGGCTCCAAGGCCATTGGCGTCACGGCCAACAAGTACGCCGACAAGACGGACGAGTTTGCGCTCGCGGAGCTCGGCATCAAGCTCCTCCGCCCTACCGGCCGTTGCCTGCGCATCACGTACGAACTCGTGGATCAGGCCAAATACACAAAGGCCTTTGGCGCCGGCGTCACCGTGCACTTTGTGCCGACCCGGCCCAAGGACATGCCGGGCCTGCTCGCGCAGGGCATGCTCGACGGCGCCGTCACGTACAGCTCCGTCATGGACAACTTCCCGACCGTCGCGCGTCTCGTGGCCTCCACGCCCGACGCTGACATTTCCCTCGCCCTCATTCGTCGCCGCGGCCAGGCGATTGACCCGCACGGATGGAGCGCTGACCGGCCCGCCCGGATCGTTGCCGAGCACGGACGCATGGTCCGCGCCCACCTGGCAGGTCTCGGCGTCTCACCCACCACCTACGAGATTCAGCACGTCCTCGGATCGTCCGAGTCGTACCTGGTTAATGACCCACGCGAGACGTATCTTCTCTGCGATGCCGTCATTGCGACCGGTGGCACCATTCAAGAAAATGACTTGGACGTGTGGCAGGTTGTCAAAAATAAGGGTGAGCTCCTCGTCGGCCTTTATCAGCGTGTGTAAGGTTGGTGGAAGATGCATCAAAAGTCAATCTCGGTACATGAAAAAAAAATTGGCGTAAGATTTGCTGCACTGGTACATTTCTCGTGAGCTGCATCTTGGTGATTTTAACTGTAGTGCGTCGGCAAGGGAAAAAGAGCATCATGCAAGCCTGGTTTCTGTACATCTTGCTCAACTCACTCCCTCGTAGTTATGGCCCCAACAGTAGCAAAAATAGCAACACGGCTATGCATACTCAATCTGTCAGAGGCATGACGCTCGAGTCATTTTTGACACATGTCTGCGCCTTCCAATTCCGTAGTATCCCTGTACGTACATGGCGGCAAGATGCCCGTGCTGATTGCGTGACGATGAGCACCTTAGGCTGTCGGCTACGTAGGTAGTTGGTTGGAAAGGGCAATAGTCGCCGAATATACCCATTGTGCCGTATTCCTACACCGAGTGCCGGGAAGATCCGATGAATCTCTGGTCTGCATGTCCAACCCAACCACAACAGCGCGGCGGGAAGAAGGACCGATTGCACACGAATCGACAGAAGCCGAGTTTCGTTCTCCAGTCGTTTACAGATTTCTGCGCCTTCCAGGCCCTCCGGTGTCGCCCAAATAAGCTCCGTCATTGCATGGAGTGTGCCTGGAAGAGGGGCATGTTGTCAATTTGCTCATTCTACTACTACTCTCTACTTCCAAAGTCCGGTGCGGTGGCTTCTTCTCGCCAACCACGTAAAGCTAGCCTCGGCCGCTACCTTTTTCTAGATTGCCTTGCCCCTAAATCCACGACGCAACCGATGCGCAATGCAACAATCGAATCACATAAAACGTAGCCAGTTCTTGGCAAAGTAGAGGAATAATCTCACGACTCGGCCTTCTTGCTTGCCTTTGTTCTAAGTTTCCTATTCGGCTCCTATTAGACAGGTCGACGACAGGGGAAAGCAAGTGAACTCACATCAGTGCATATACGCACGCATAACTTGAAATGGCAAACAGCGCCACAATTCCGGCATCTCTCCAACCGTAATAGTAGTCTTTCAGGTTCAAAGTGTAAAGATAATCGCCTCCTGTCCGAAATTGGCAGACCTTGCAGTCCCGCGTAGCGCTCGGATTGACGAGGTTCGTTCTCGATCCAAGACCCTGCATGTACTCGGCGAGGTACTCGCCACATGTCTGGCCGTCCGGCGTGTTAAAAACAGCGAATTCTTCCTTTTCGCAGTGAACTGGTGCATCAAATGTTGTGAATATCAGCAGCGATCCCATGAGGTAATTGAAGGGGTCCAGGTAGTATAGCCAGTATCGCCAGACCGCTTGAATCTGCGCATAGGGAACGTAAACGCCACAAAAAAATACCAGGATTGCAATGATGAGCGGATTGATCAAAACAGCAAATATAGCGTTGGGCGTATATGCCGCAATGGCTTGGCCGATTCCTGTGTAAATGAACTCGTACATGAGTACGACGAAGAAGACGGCGCCAGCTTTGTCGCTGCCGCTAGGGAATCCGACAGTATAGTACCAGGTCATGTAGTACACGACTGCACAAACGACGAGGTAGGGAAGTTCCGAGACGATTAGTCCCGTGGCGAAAGCAGACCAGTGGTACATTTTACTCTTCTTCTCACGAGCCTCGTAGATATCGCGCCTCTCTAAGAAGAGAGGCTGTAGCTGAGCTATGACTCCCGGAGCAACGAAGATGAAGTTGAATATGGTGAAAAGATGCATTTGCAGATCGGCAACTGTATTGCCTATTTTCCAGAATGAAAAGCCATTCAAGAGGCCCGAGGTAATGTGAAGCATTAGTTTGTTGTTGATATAGTTCGTGTTACGCCAAAGTGAAGTATTATTCCTGTGCGTGACAAGCTTCAATTGTGTCCAAATAGGCGTTGCGAATTCGTGGCCGTCATCCAGGGTGGCTGGTGGTTTCGACGCGGCGTCCCTGATAAGATGGTCGAGCTCCTGGGTCATGGCAGTGTATTCTGGGCTAGCGAGCCAGACTTCGTTCCAGTCCTTGCTTCCGGAGACAACGTCAATCATATGCTCAGCCGGATTTGTATTCTGAGGACAAGGGGCTCCATTCCGACCGAAATACTCGTTAACAGTGGCGCCGTTCACGCCAACATTGCCGAAATAAACCTGAGTACATCCATTAGCAATTTTCTACCGAAATGAAAAAGCAATACTTGCAGTTTTGCCTCCCTTAGCTAAGAGAAGTAACGTGTCAAATTGAGCAAACAGTGAAGCCGAGGGCTGATGGATGGTGACAAGGACAGCCTGTCCAACATCCGCAAGTTTCCTTAAAAACCGAACAATGTTAAACGCAGCCTGTCCATCTAGTCCACTTGTGGGCTCGTCGAGAAAAATCAAGATGCTTGGCTTAGATACAAGTTCAACGCCGATAGTAAGTCGTTTGCGCTGCTCCACTGAGAGGCCAGCAGCAGTTGTACCGATGAGAGTGTTTTCAATGTCGTGCATTTCGAGTAAGTCGATGATAGTGTCGACATACTTCAACTTGTTCTCCACTGACGTATCTCTGCTCTGTCTCAACAAAGCCGAAAACTCCAGGGCCTCTCGAACCGTGGCAAGTGGCTCGTGGACATCGAGTTGCTCGCAGTACCCTGCAGAGCGCTGAAAGGAGACAGGAAGATCTCTCCCATCAACCAAGATGCTGCCCTTGATTATACCTTCCGTCTTGCGTTGAGCAAGCACGTCTAATAGAGTTGTCTTGCCTGCTCCTGACGAGCCCATTAATGCGCCGAGCATGCCGGGTTTGACCCAGCCCTGAACATGATCTAGGAGAACGCGGTCTCCCGATGGAGTCTTCACGGTATAGGTGAGACCCTTCCACGTGAAGACTGACGTATTGCGTATTAATTGAGAATCGATTTTGGAGGGTCCGTCGGTAGAGGTTTCTTGTTTATCACCAATGGGTGAAATTCCACTTCGATTCCTTGAGTCGTGAGAGTCGGGTCCGGATCCAACTTCTTCGTCCACGGCTGTGTGCATCGTTTTATTTGCCTTTTCGCGGGGAACAACCAAGTAACCGCTATTTCCAGATACTTGGCTCCAGTTACTAGTAAAGTAAACAGTAAGAATGACGAACAAGGCCCACCATACCCAAACGATGGCAAAGTTGCGCCAGACATGAGCGTGACTATATGACAGGCCTTGCAGGTACTGGTCGCCAGTGATGACAGAAGCACCCATGGGAGCGCCTCGAATTCCGGCGCACGCTTGAAATTCCGAGTTATTGTAGCCAGGGCCATTTGGGACCAAATTGTTGTTGACACAAGGTATCAGCTGTCCGTGGAACTCGTTGCTGAGGACTGCCTCGTAACCGTAAGCCAATGGGTTAATCCAGAATATCCAGCCGAGCCACGGATGCATTCTAGATTTCGGAATCAAGAAGCCGGTGTACATGATGAGCGCTGACATCAGAAATCCCGTCACTTTGATGGCGGCATCAAAGCTCGAGAAGGCGGCACCGATGGCACGAAACAAGGCCGTCATACACATTGTCACAGAGATTGTAATGATCCAATACGTCAAGAAAGCCTCGCCGGTTGGTTTGAGACCAGTCATCCAATAGACTGGTAACGCGAATAGCGTGACTTGCATGGCGATGAGTGGTATATCGGCGGCGATTTGGGCGAAGCAGTAGGCGGCCGGGTGATAGAGGGCGAAGCCACGGTGCTTTGCTAAAACTGGGCGTGCTGCAAAGGAACCGGTGACCTCGCTCATGGAAAGTAGTGCATTCAGTAATACGGCGAAGAACAGAGAACCACTTTTGAAAGCTAGCCCCGAAGAATCGTGGGGAGCATTGTAGAATAAAGAGCCACTGATGAGAGCTTGGACGAAGTTCAAGCATTGTGGAATGAGAAATGTTGCTTTGTCACTCCATAGTAGCTGGTACTGTCTGATAATTGCGGATTTGACTTGGGTATAGAAGCTGACAGTGAGCGGCGAGCCCGCTGGAAGGCCGGGGTGTTTCTCCAAGTGAACGGCTTCTTTAAATTCTTTCGTCGCTTCAGCCGCCTGCGGCGAGTTTGGATAGTTGTATTCCAATGCCATTGTGCGCTTCAGCTGTGTCTTTTCGTAATGTGAGCGAAGTTCATTGGCGTTGCGAGGAAATCGATTCTCCATATCAGGTCTAACCTGTCGCTCGGTAGGAACAGTGACGCTGGTCAGGTAATCGGCGATGTTTGCTCCATCGGTGTAAAGAAATCCCATCTCTTCCATGAAAGGTTTTGCTTGATGCATTGGGCCGTAGAAGGTCTGTTTTCCTTCATCTAGGACGAGAACCTTGTCGAAGAGATCGTAGATGCCGTTGCCTGCCTGGTAAAGTGTCACGATAGAGCTCAGACCGAGAACGTCAGTCATTGATCTCATGCACCGCACGTACTCCAGGGCAGTCGAGGCATCGAGGCCCCTGGTAGAGTTGTCCCAACAGAAGACGGAGCCTCTTGTTGCCATGGTCTCGATGATGGAGACACGCTTTCTCTCGCCGCCCGAGACGCCACGAACGAACTCATTTCCAACCCTGGTGTCGCCAGTGTGCTCAATTCCCATGGCGCGCAGGAGGAAATCACGATTGGTCTTTTGAAATTCCTCGGGGTTGGTCAAATTGGTGGGGAGGTGGTGTGGCACCTTCATGCGGGTGGCAAAGTCGATGGTTTGTTGCACCGTCAGGGTCGGAAAAAACAATTCCTCCTCAGTGTTCATGACAATCTGCCCTCGATACTGTTTTGCCTCGTCGGCAGTCATTGATCCATACCAGACTTCACCAGTGACTTTGGTGTAGCCTAGTCTCCGGTTGGCTAGTACCTTGAGGAGGGAGGTGCAGCCTGCTCCTGGTCGCCCGAGGACCAAGAGCATCTCTCCCGGCTTCACACAGCCATGACTATTGTCGACGATAGTTTTAAGCAGGGGTTTTGCTCGGCTTTCTTTGACACGTGAGGGAATGTTGAATTGACTGGCCACATTCTCGTGAAATGCTGCGTCCTTGCCGATGCCCTTGACAGTTAGGTCATGCCAGGTGATGCCGAGTCGTTTCTCTTTGTCCGGCTGCTGCTCAGTCATTTTTACCATGATTGCCAGCTTTCAATGCTGAGCGTTTCTGGCAACATGCAGGCCTCGAAGTCGTCTGGAACTTCGTTGGGTCGTTTGCGGGTGCGGCCGCTAAAATAGAGGATGAAGGACGGGAAGAAGTCCCACTTGGTCGATCTTTTTCTTTTGGGCAGTGGCGGGAGCCGACGCCTCCTTCGGCCCACCGGCTCCGCTGCCCAGCTTGTCAGACAACTAATTTATTTTTTTCAAATGAACGAGCAGGATGCAACGCACTGACGCTGTAATATGTCGCTGACAGCTGGCTTACAAGAAACATTTGGCTGCCGTCTGGAGATACCGAGTCATTTCTATATTTTGGAGTTCCAACGTTCAATGGTACATGATATACGATGCGAACCAGGATAATAAGCCATTTATTACATACCTTTCCCTCTATCAAACAACCTTTTTTTGTTGCTGTTGTATACAAATTCTACAACTACATTTTTAATCGAAAGGTATAATAATCAAAGGTCTTTGGATCCTATCGAATTTTTGCCTGACGGATACAGTGCCTGGGTACGCCGCGCGGAGTACCTAGTACTCCCTAACTACTGGGTACCCCGTCTGTCTGTTGTAAACATCTCCCGTGCCAAGCAACTCATTACGAGTCACGGATACGTATACAGGTATATTAATCGGAAGCAGTTATTTTCCTACTAGGTACAACCCCTGCCCAACAGATACCCTAGTTCTAGCACCAACTATCTTCTTCACAGGCGTTTTCTGAGACCCATCATCAGAAAAAGTGGTCGCAGCAATTCCTCCTCGCTAAACTCGCCAGCTTCCGCCTCTTCCTTGGTCGGGAGCAGCTCAATCAACCCCGTCAGGTCAAACCCAGCACCGAGGAATGCATCCAAGTAGCCCTGCACCGTCCGGTGCTGCTTGCGCAGGCCCGGCGCCAGCCAGTCCACCACCCGCTCGCCCTCGTCCCAGTAGTCACTAAAATTCCACGACCGCTCCCCCGTCGCCGCGTCCGCCACCACGCGCGGCCGCCGCGGCGCCGTGTACACGGGATGCTCGACATTGACCGCAAACACGGCGCCCGGGCGGAGCGCCCGGTGCACCGCGGCGACGAGCGCGCCCAGGCCCGCCAGGTAGTGCAGCGCCAGCGAACTAAACGCCAAGTCGTACGTCTGGCCGGCGACGATTCCCGCCGCCGGGTCCGCGTCGAGGTCCGCGATGCGGTAGTCAATCCTGGCCGCGTAGGATGCGTCGTCGCCGTTGAGGCCGCGCGCCTTGGCGATCATGTTGTGGGAAATGTCGACGGCCGTCACGGACGCGGCGCCGTGGTCTACGGCCCACCGCGCGAACCACCCCGAGCCGCACCCGACATCGAGGATGTGGAAGCCGGCGACGGACGCGGGTAAGAGGGTGCGAAGGCGCTTCCACAGGACGTCGTTGTCGAGATCCTTGCGCCCGGACCGGTCAATGATTTCCGAGTAGGCAGTGAAGAAATCCTGCCTGTCGTAGATGTTTTGTGACATGGTGGATAATAGCCAGCTGCGATCAAAATCAGGTTATGAGTAGATTCCTGCACTGCATTTCCTCGGCTTTGTTTATGTAGATGGGAGACTTCTCGGTTTCCACTCATTCAGCCGTTACGCTTGTTGTAGGGTATGAACAGACTAAATTCTTTCCTATTTAGGCCAAGGCCCCTTTTCTAATTGATTCGATGGAAACGAGTTGACTCACAGATAAACTCTCGCAAATGAAGCTCTTCTTCGACTTATGCAAACAGACAGAAACTGCGCAGAAATGAGTGTGGGTGGCCAGCCTGCGCCCCTTGCATGAGTCACTGAGCTTCCGCGGCATGCGATAAAACCGATGCCGATCTATCGTGTGGTAGCACAGCAAATTTTCCGCAATTTACTTCTCCAATCCAACTCCTGAGCTCGAGCTTCGCTGCGAAGTTTCCTCCTCAACCCGACCGCACTGCTTGTTCCTGGTATAGGGTGGGATGCTTGGGAGAGCCCAAGCTAAATGCACCCTCTTCCGGTGAGCTGCGCTTAAATCTCACAGGCAGTTTGCAAGAACAATGGCTTCTCATCCAACAAAAAGAAAAGCCTTAAACAACTTGCATGGGTGGAGCAGTAACCTTTGAATGCACACGCCCGGTTCTCCCTGCTGCCGCGTGGTCCTGCCACTGTCCATTACTTGCAATGTAATTTATTAGCAAATCCCTTTACTGTATATAAGCTCATAGCTCAATTTCGCTGCTAGTAGTAGTCTTCGTTACCACCATAGACGCCATCGTACTCCCAGTAGTCGTCTTCGCCACCACCATAGACGCCATCGTACTCCCAGCAGCCATCGTCGTCACCACCGCGGACGCAGTCATACACCTAGTAGTCATCGTCACCATAGGTCTCCTCGTACGCCTCCTCGTACTCCTCCCGCGCCTCCTCCAGCTCCTCCTGGTCACTGCTGCTCGCCGATGAGCTAGCTGCGTCACGCAGAGCCTCTTCGTACCGCTCTCTCGCTTCCTCAACCTCTTCCCGGTCGCTCGACGACACCGAGTCGCCATCAATGTCGTGAGCGGGCAGGACTGCAGGCACATAAGCCGCTTCCTCCCAGCGATCCTCGGTTCTCTCCACTCTCTCCTCGACCCTGTCTTCGGTCCTATTCTCGAGCCGGTCGAGCCGGCCCTCAACACTGTCCACCTTGTCCTCGATCGCATCTTCCGCCTTACCAAAGAGATACGAGCCGGCGGCACCGGCGGCTAAGCCTGCGACAGCGCCCACGGCTAGGCCGCCGGCCATCCCCATTCCGCCCCCGCTGCCCTTGGTATTGCCAGGAGGGGGGCCTGGCGGCGCACCGTACTGGCCGTACTGCTGCTGTTGCGGCTGAGGCGTATCGTAGCCACGGTTATCACTGCCTGGCTCAGAGGGTGCATAGTAGCCGGGAGCCTCCCACTGCGTCTCGCGCGTCGACTCATTGACGTAGTACCAGCGTTGGTTCTGGTTGTCGAAAAAGGGCCGCCAGTCACGCGGGATTGGAGGCTTGTCCTGGGGCGGCTGGTACGGCGGTGCGGGCGGCGGCGAACCATACTGGTCCTGTGGCGGCGGAGAGCTGTATTGTGAGGGCGGCGGCTGCTGCTGGTATCCGTAACCTTGTTGCGCTGAGGGGGGTGCCTTGTGAGCAACATGCTCGAGTTTCGTTTGTCGGGGTCTACTCACGAGGGGGGTATTGGCCGTTGTTGGGTCCCAGGCCCATGTTGCCAAAATTTTGGGAAAGATGATCTTGATACGCAGCCATGGCGGTGTATATACGGCGATGCCTTGCAAAATGCCTCAAAGCGTAAGAGCGCGGCTACTGCAGCTCGGGGTGGTAGCTTGGGCTGTGAGGGGTCGAGGTTGGCGAGAATGGCAGCTTGTTTGTGTTTTGTGTAAGAGAAAACGCCAAGGACAGCTTCGTTGAACATCCAACAACGGGCCCAATTTTGCCCAGAACGGGCCGCTCGGGATCCTGAAGCAGGGCGCGCTATTTTTTTTTTCAGGGTCCCTTTCGTTTGATGCGTGACACTACGACGCAATGCTAGGCGTGCAGCAGCTGTGTCATTCTGACTGGGGTCAGATGTGGGTGAAGGCGAATTAACTCGCTAGTTATTGGGTTTTGTGGCGGAGGCCTCAAAGGAGCGGGCGAGTGATTCGTACGACCTACTTTTCGGCCAGGGAGCGGATAACTAGGTACCTAGGTAGGTAACCAAACAACAATAGAGATGAAAGAATCATGTATGTATTGATTCATCTCAGAGGGGCAAGGCCTGCGGATCCCTGCCGAGAATCCCGTTTCGCCTGGAATTCTGCTTCGCCAATTCCGTGGATGCCTCTGAGGCCGAGGTTACAAAGACGTGGGCAAAACTCTTGGCGAAGGATAGGGGGCTAGAGAGTGTTCATAAAGGATACTCTGAAACTTGTATTTTGAACACAGTTATCCTTCGTCCTATATCTGATTCATCTTCACTAGTCGTCCCGTCTGTCACCAGCGAAGCGGAGTACCCTGTCATAGCCGGTCTGACTAACTAGCAACAATTCATTTGTTGACACCCATCGATCGATTCTACAGATATGATCATAAATTATCGACTGAATTCGAGCATGTCTCTCCCAAAAGATATCAGAGTCTCCGCTCATATAGCTCACGAAAAGGTACACCAGTCTGCCTGTTTCATACACCGCAGTACTGGGAGCCGCCCCTCCCCGAGTCCTGTGTTGCTTGAAGCGGGATTGATCATACTAGCCACTAATGTGGCCCTCTTACTTCTATTGGACTTCTCTCATTTTTTTTTTCAAAAGAAATTTGCGAGATTCTCTTCAACATATGCCCAGAGTTACACAAGCTGTCACAAATGGCCACGCGCTGGTTTAAACCCGTGAATCCATTACCGTACAAAGAGCGGACGGGGTACTTCTCATAATCTGCTTCCAACATGACATTTTCGGGAAGAAGCAGAATTGAATTCCGTGGGAAAATACCGACAACGGCCAGCTTGACAGGTCAAGAGCTTGGCGGCAAGCCGAAAGCTTGGCGCAATAGCGTCGAGTGCTGGCACTTGTGCTGTCACTAAGAGCGCCCAAGCTAAACCATTCACAGAAGCGAAAAGAAGCCCTGCTCCGCCCCAAAGGCTGCCCCGCTATGATGATTCTTGCCCCTCTGGTCAGCCGCGGGCCGGGTCGCATGCTTTGTTGCTGATGACGCCTCTCGCCTTGAAACCTTTTCCCATCCTTTTCTCCTAATCTACCTCTCCCGTTGGCGATCGTCCATCAGAACTTCGCCATCTCCGCATCGATCGACGCCACATATCATCCTCGACCGCGACACACGGGAACCAACACCCTCCAAGCACGCTATCCACAACTACCCCGCGCTCACTAGCCGGCAAACTCGCGCAAGTCGCGCCAACACTTCGCATCGAACCGCCTTCGCCACCATGTCGGGATATCCGGGACAGGGAGGCTACGGCGCTCAGCAGCACAATGGCGGCGCTTCGGGCTGGGGCTACGGCGGCAGTCCTGCCCCGGGCTACGGTTACAACGGACCACCCCAGCAAGGAGGCTATGGCGGCCCTCCTCCGCCCCAGGGATACGGCGGCCCCCCTCCTCAAGGATATGGCGGTCCTCCTCCCCAGGGGTATGGCGGTCCTCCTCCACAGGGCTACGGGCAGGGCTATCACGGCGGCGGTCCTCCTCCGCCTCCCCAATACAGCCGGCCTCCGCAGAACCAGTACCCTCCTCCGAACCGACCACCTCCTCAGGGCCACGATTCGTACGGCTACCCCATGGGCGGAGGCGGCGGTGGCCAGCGAACTGGCCCGCCTCCGCCCCAGGGTGCGCAGGCCTTCGGTCACGGCGCACCGCAAGGCTACACCTTTCAGTACTCCAACTGCACCGGTCGCCGCAAGGCGCTGCTCATCGGCATCAACTACTTTGGCCAAAAGGGCGAGTTGCGCGGCTGCATCAATGATGTCTCTAATGTGTCGCGATTCCTCAACGAGCGCTACGGATACAAGTGGGAGGACATGGTTATCTTGACGGATGATCAGAAAGACCCTCGCAAGATTCCCACTAAGCAAAATATGCAGAACGCCATGGATTGGCTGGTGCGCGATGCGCAGCCCAACGACGCTCTCTTCTTCCACTACTCCGGTACGTACCGCTGCACTTTCAAGCATATGAATACTGGAACCAATGCTAACTTTGCAATATAGGACACGGTGGACAGACAGAAGACTTGGACGGCGACGAAGACGATGGCTTCGACGAAGTCATTTACCCAGTCGACTACCAGCGGGCCGGCCACATTGTCGACGACGAAATCCACTACCGAGTTGTCCGGCCGCTCAAGCCCGGCGTGCGCCTGACGGCCATTTTCGACTCGTGCCACTCAGCCACCGCCATGGATCTGCCCTACGTTTACTCCACCAAGGGTGTCCTCAAGGAGCCCAACCTGGCCAAGGAAGCTGGCCAGGGTCTGCTAAGCGCCTTGGGCTCGTATGCCCGCGGTGACCTGGCGGGCGTGGCCACGACCGTGTTTGGCTTTGCCAAGAACGCGTTCAAGGGCGACGATGCGTACGAGAAGACCAAGCAGACCAGAACGTCGCCCGCCGATGTTGTCATGTGGTCCGGCAGTCGAGACGACCAGACATCGTAAGTGTGACGAATACTATCAAAATAATGACACGCTAACAGCCCTGGTAGTGCCGATGCGACCATCAACGCGCAGGCCACCGGCGCCATGTCGTGGGCTTTCATCACGGCGATGAAGCAGAACCCGAACCAGAGCTACGTGCAGCTTCTCAACAGCATCCGCGACGTATTGGCGTCCAAGTATACCCAGAAGCCTCAGCTCTCGTGCTCTCACCCTCTTGGTAAGTCTGGCTCATAACGTGAGCTTTCTAGTGCGTCGCTAACTGACTATAGACACGAACCTTCGCTTTGTCATGTAAACGGTCTGTCTTACACGCATGGTTTGCGTATCTTGTCTGGTTCTTCTGGTTACGGTTGGTTTATGCTGTCACAAGTAGGCTTACTAGGTAAAATGAATAAAATATGCTACTTCTAACCAGTGTTCCTTGTATGTGCGTATGCGTCACGAAATAGCAAGAACAAAGCGCCCATCACGCGACTGGGCAGCACTAAGAGCAGGTGCGGAATTGTGTACCCTAACTTTCATTCGGGGCAAAAAATGTGGCAATTCTGAGAATACTGTTAGTCGCCGGCCACTTTGTATTGAAGACAAGATGAAACACTCACCCAATCACGAGGAAGCAGGCGCACAGTATCCCGCCTTTGAGTCCCGTCGCCCTGCGCCCATCACCGGCATGCGCCCCGCCCAGCACCAGCAAGTTGACGAGCGACACGGCGCCAAGCAGCACGGCCATCTGCAGCCCGTCGAGCGCCAGCCCGACGGGCCGCCCCAGCGCCCAGCCCGCGAGCACCGTCAGCGGCGCCGCGCACAGCGCGACCTGGATCGCCGAGCCGGCCGACACGGCCACGGCCAGGTCCAGGTTGTCGCGCGCCGCCACGGCCACCACCGTCAGGAACCCCGACAGGTTGCCGGCCAGCGGCAGCAGCACGAGCCCGATGACGGCCCCGGACACGCCCCGGCGGCGCGTCACCGCGTCGAGCGTGCCGGCGAGCAGCCGCGCCGAGACGGCGAGCAGCAGCGACGCGACGAGGAGCACAGTGCCGGATGCCAGGATGGTGCCGAGCCGGCCGCTGGTGTCGTCGTCGTCGTCGTCGTCCGCCATCTCTTCGCGCTGCTGCTGCCGATCGTTGCTGAGGACGCGCGCCAGGCCGGCCCGCGCAAAGGAGCGCGGCCGCCGCCGGCTGCTCATCCCGGACGAGGCGCGGCTGCGGCTCGATCCGGCGGACCGGGAGCGTGACTGGTAGAGGCGCATGTGCGGCGGGAGAAGCAGTGGCGAGGACACGGTGTAGGCGCTGTGCGGGCCGTGGGTGCCGGTCAGGGAGCGGCCGCGCGGGGTTGGTGGCGGCGGCTGCTCCTCGGGGCCGCCGCCGCCGTCCGAGTCCACGCTGGCGGGGCCAATCTCAAAGATGCGACGGGCGTACAGGTCCGACGTGGGCTTGGTCTTGGCGCCGTCGGCGAAGCGGAGGGTGCGCGGTCCGGGTGTCAATGGGGGAGAGGGGCGGCGCAGCAGCGGCGGCGGCGTCACGGGCGGGGGCAGGTCTTGCTCCTCGTCGTCGGAGAAGACGCGGTGGCTGCTTTGCAGGGTGTGCAGGAAGTAGGCAACGTACATGACGAGGATGAGGATGGCGGAGGCGCGGCTCATGTCGACGACCATGTCATTGATGCGGTGGGCGTCATTGAATGTGAAGTGGAATGCAGTCTGGAGGTCTGTGTAAGTCTGTGGTGAGGTGCAAAGTTGGAGGGCAAGAGTCCTACAGGGATCATAAAGACAAAGACGGACACAAAGAGCAGACAAGCCAAAATCTGGGTTTCGGTACTGCGGAGGGAGTCGTCGCCACCGGTGGTGTCGGCGGCAATGAGAGCGCTGCCAAGAATAGGGAGGAGGTTGACGAGGATGGACCCCAAAATGGAGGCCTGCACGATCCTTACGTGTCCATTCATGAGGGTAAAACTTTCAGAGTCAGACCTTTTGTACGCTTGAGGAAAGGGCCATGTATCTTACTAACTAAGAGCCAGTGTCAGTAGACGTCATGCCCACTCTCCACATGCCACTTACAAGAGAATCAGCTCCCCGATGTTGCCCAAGCTGATGTTCAAAAAGGCGCCGACGGCATCTCCGGCCTCGAGCGCGATGCGCTCCGTGGCATCCGTGAGCAGCGCCGACAGGGGCACAATGGCCAGGGCATTGACGGTGAAGACGACAATGGACGGCGCGGCGGCCCAGTACGAGGAGATGCCGAGGGGCACGCAGATGAGCAGGCCGTTGATGTACGGCTCCAGGATCATGTAGCCCATCGCAGCACTGAACGCGGCGGTATTGGTTGCCGGGGTGCTGCAGCAGACACCATCGTCGCATGCGCTGCTGTAGGGAAAGGTGTCGTAGTGCGGCGGCTGGGAGCGCGCACGGGGGCGGCGGCACGGGGCGGCAGGCTCGCGGAACGCGCGGTGGAGGCCCATCCAGGAATGTAGTATGTCATGGTAGGCATCTGTTCCAAGTGCTCAGGTTTATGGTTAGACTGCAAGATTCTCGCCGTACTTTTGTTGGGAACGTTTGGTCGCTGGTGGGCGGGGGATGGCTCACTTGCAAGCACCTGAGCAAGCCCCCCGCGAGGCTGGCGATGGCTACTCGTCTTGACATCATGGCAGGTCTCATCAATGTGAGGGGTAGAGAAGCGCACGTCCAAGGATGGGGGAAGCGTGACTTGCTGTTGGTCGTCATGGTCCCGCGGAATGTCGTTGTTTGGAGTCGGTGATGCGGTGCGGGTAGTGTCGGCTGCGGCCATGGAGCCCAAGACGAGAACTTGTCAAACGAACAGAGTACGGGGGAAAGGGAGTAGGGCAAAAGGAGGATATTAAAGGGCCTTGGCGAGTGGCATGGGCTGCTTGGGTATGGGATCAGGCCAGAATTGGGAGCACGTCACCGTAAGGCAGCGAGGGGACCGAGGAGGGGGGGGGGCAGGCAGAGCAGGTTTAAACATATTGCGCGGAGCAGACTATATGTGAGGGTATTGATACATGTAAAGGCTTGACGGGGTTACATTTTGATAAAACAGGTGACAAGTGGCGGTCGGCCTCGTTTCCGGTTCACCGTTGGTGTTTGGATGCTATCGCCCGTGCGGGATATTCGATCGGGCCGTGTTGGGAACATGGTGCGCAGCAGCGACGCGAACATGGCGTATAAACTGGGTACAGGGCAGGAGAAGAAAGTGTCAGGGTATGCGGGATTTTATTCGTCATCACGAGTTTGTTTTGCGTCAAATGGGATGGCACTTTGGCATGGGCAACAGTCTGGCAACCCGAGTTCCGCGTACTCGGTCAGAGTTCGTTTCGTGTAAGTGGGCGTGGGGTTGATCGGCAGCCCAGGCCCGATGATGGGGGTGGTCGGACCCGCGGACAGCGAGACAAGCTTTGACAGGAATAGAGCATAGCTTTGACGGGGAGAGGACGGTACGGGCCAACTATTACATTCAAAGTCACAAGCAGCAAGCATGTGGAAACAAATGGGCGTCGCAGCACGTCTTGCAGGGGGTGGCATGCGATTCGCGCCAGTGAGTGGCTGCGCTCAGCCCGAATAGGCATTGTTGGCGGCCGTGTGTCTCGGGGCAAGTTCATTCGGACGACTCCGATCGAGCGGGCCGATGCATAATACGCACGAGTACTTGGCGTGTACTTGTCCATGTCAAACGTTCTTGGAGTATCCTGCCGAGGCTGTGCAGGTTGTTGACGACTGAGGGGTTTTTTGGACCGGGTTCTGCCAAGTAATGCCCTCACGCCCAATCCGCCGATCGTTTCGTTTCGTTCCGTTTCCCATCGTCATCCATTGCAACTTGGTCGCCATTGGTCAAGAGCGGTTCGTGGCCGGGCTGCCTCCCGATGGATCCCCTCCCTTGCGCCCCCCTCAGACTCCACGATGTCACGAGGCCGGAGTCTCGCTAGCCCACGCGACAATGATGAGCGGATTTCTTGACCTGGAAGGTGGGAGTTGAACATGAGGTTAGAGTCTGCGGACAACTTGTTGACGGCTGGTAGCGGTGGGCACAGTTGGTTATAAACTGTTAGCCACATAGAGTTCTTTGTGAAGTAAAAAGAAACTATTCTCTTCATTTTCTTCTTCTTATATAGAGAATTCTAAAAAGTTATAAAAAATCTACAATAAACATTACTTTGAAAACCATATATTGTCAAGCTCACAAAGTCATTTACTGGAAAAGTTCACTCAGCCACCAGCGGACAGGAGACGGCCACATCGCTCACATTTTATATTAACAGACAACGGACTCACGTATCGATGCCGTCGAATCCTTGTCAAATTTTCCCATTTATTTCACTTCGTATTCTGTACTCCTCCTCTGCAGCCATCTTCAATCCCGGGTAGCCCTACTCTCAGGCGACGCCATCCACCCATGTCTACTCCAGGCCACTTCATATTAAAACGGCCCCATCTCCCACCCATCATTCTCGTCTTTCTTCCAT